ATGTGGCTCGGAGCGCTTACCTATTATGATGTGTTCAAAAGCACAAGAAGAAACTGTTCGTAATAGAGAAGCGTCCCTAGTGGCGTATGACAGCACTTCCAGACATGGATTTCTTTGCAATTTCAATCCGGATGATGAGCCTTAACTCTATATTATGCATAATGTTTATAAAATTGTACATTTTGAATAAAAATATACTAAAAATGTGTTTTAAAAGAACTGTAGCTTGGAAAGAGAAATTGATTGCAGATGTGAAATTAGCGATGCGAAAGTATTTAAGATCTGTTAAAAATAATCTCATGTAACAGAAAACAAAAAAAAAAATGTTAGCCGGTTTAATCTATGGAAAATGTATGAAATATGCGAATTTCTCATATAAAGTATTGTAACATTGTAAAGAATCCTATATTATTTTTAATTAAGAAAAATAAAAAAAAAGAATTCTGAAAGTTGAAACTATTTAGATTACTTAAATTATTTTATCAAAAATATAAATACGTTACCCAAATTTATTTTCTTAATTTTAGTTTTGGTATCAAAAAGCTTCCATTTTTCAAAAAATAACTATCGATGAAAACTACTTAATTGGAGGGATTGTCCACTGAACCAGAATGGGACAGTGGTTAATGCAGTTGCAGTGAGCTGTCATTTTTAAGGTCTGTGGTTCAATCTCTGCAATTTCAAGGTCACATAGCTTCATATTCATAGGTACTAGCTTGCCTCAGAAGTAAAGGTAATCATTGCAAAATATTGACCTCACTGCAACCATCACGCACTTGGGCATGATATTGGAGATCCTTTACCTCCAAAACCTTTTTAGCCTCCAACTGTTTGTTACAGGAGAGATTTCCTTTTAACTAGTCTTGAAGAGCGTCTAGATATTGAAGAGCGTTTACCTCCAAAACCTTTTTAGCCTCCAACTGTCTGTTACAGGAGGGATTTGCTTTTAACTACTCTTTACTACGATATTGGAGACTCTTTACCTCCAAAACCATTTTAGCCTCCAACTGTCTGTTACAGGAGAGATTTCCTTTTAACTAGTCTTGAAGAGCGTCTAGATATTGAAGAGCGTTTACCTCCAAAACCTTTTTAGCCTCCAACTGTATGTTACAGGAGGGATTTGCTTTTAACTACTCTTTACTACGATATTGGAGAGTCTTTACCTCTAAAACCATTTTAGCCTCCAACTAACTGTTGCAGGAGGGATTTGCTTTTAACTAGTCTTTACTACGATATTGGAGAGTCTTTACCTCCAAAACCTTTTTAGCCTCCAACTGTCTGTTACAGGAGGGATTTCCTTTTAACTAGTCTTTACTACTGTATTGAAGAGCGTTTACCTCCAAAACCTTTTTAGCCTCCAACTGTCTGTTACTGCAGGGGTTTGCTTTTAACTACACTTTACTATGATATTGGAGAGTCTTTACCTCCAAAATCTTTTTAGTCTCCAACTGTCTGTTACAGAAGAATTTACTTTAAACTATTATTTGCTTAAGGGGATACATTTATCGTGATTGTTTCTTAATAAATAATTAATTTCAGAACAAAATTTATTATGCAAAGCTAACAGCGAGTTATAGAATAAAAATTTATGTTCAAAAAGTTTTGTAGTATAAGGGAATACAAGTAAATGCTCCAAAAGGTGCAAAATGAAAAGCACGATTGGAAAATTGTTTTTAGTATACGGTAATACAATTATTATGTAAATGCACCAAAAGGTGGGAATTGAAAAGCTACATTTAGAAAGTTCTTTGTAGCATGAGACAATACAGGTATTGCTCAAAATACGCCAAAAGGTGTAAAAAGAAAATGTACCTTTAGAATGTTCATAGTAGTATGTAGTAATGCAATTATTATGTAAATGCGAAAAGTCAATATTGCTGGATCAAAAACTTAAACTGCAAATTAAATTCGATGCTGTGATTACCACTTCAGATTTCAATATCAAAGAAATATATTACTTTGCAGATAAATAGCTTTAAATAGAATACGTAAATTATAAAACAATTCATCACATCAATAAATTAATTGGTTGCTGGTTTCTAAGAGGACATAAGTAAACTAAATCATTCGTATTCCTGGTCTGTCTTAATTCTTTTAAAACCTTAATTAATTTAAAATAGTTGCATGGTTTTTATGCACTAAAAATACTTTAATAATTACAAAAACTGTAGTTTAATCTATTTTTAGACATGTTTCTGACAAAAAATTTTATTTAGTAATTTTTTTTATTTTGATTTTAAAGCTTCTTTTATTCCGAGATTTTTATTCTTTTACGTTCTAATAGCTCTATATTTTTCTTAATTTTTTAAACAAGGAAAATTACAGAAATAAACGATGATTCAAATCTTCAGCATTTTAGTTTAATTCAACAAAATTGAGATACAAAAAATGAAATTTCTTGAGGTTAAATATTTTAAACACGCAAGTCTAACAAACAACGTGCTAACCTATAAAATCTAGGAATTTGCAAAACGTTCAAATACAGACGTGTGTTGATATATTTCTTTTAATTCTGCGAAGTTTTTCTATCTTTTCTCGGTTTGGTTGTTGAAAACCAGCCAAAAATATCTAAAATATCCGTTTCAGAAACATTTCCATATTGCATGCCATTTTTTTTTCTCCGTTGATGTGTCAAAAGAAAATGAAACAGGAAAAATATTTCTCATAAATTCAAAACTGTGCGTGCAAGTAAAATTGGACTTCCTTAGGTATAAGTTACAGCAAAGAAAGTGTTGATTGCCTGAAAAAATAAAACTTAAGTTGAATTTTCTTCTTTTTAAAAAGTAAAAAGTTAAAATTGTGTTATGAGTTTTATTTGCGGTTTGCTTATTTTTCGTGAGTCCATCGTATTTAAATATTTATAAAAAAATTATTAATGCGTGAAAAATCAATAAAAATGTAATAAAAACATGAAATACTTTAGAATGAATTCGAAAAAAAATATATTGTTTTATGATATATTACTTTATAAAGTGCATGGAAAAACACTTGTGTTTAAAAAATTCTATCATATTTGAAATTTTTTTAAAAATTTCAATTGTATAGTATCTGCAATTTTAATCTTACATTACTTGTAAGAAAATGAAAAATTTTAAACTGCCTTATTTTTGCAGTTTATTTTCCACATTTTCACTTAATATTTTACCAAAACTTTATAATGCTGATAGTTTATATCAGCTGAACGGTACAAAAGGAAATTAAAACCTCGTTTATTTCTTTTAAAATTCCAGCTTTTCTTGAATAATATATCAAATACAATTTGCAGAACAATATCACAGAATTTCACTATGTATAAACATATTCAGAAAAATAAAATAAATAAAAAAACTACGTTAATTAGAAAAATTTCATAAAATTAAACAAGCAACAGCTGAGATATTTATCTTGTGCAATATATTCAATTTTCAACATTGTTCTATCAGAGGAGATCATAATTTTTTATTTCTTTTTTTATAAATTTTATATTTAAAAAATCTAATGCTTAGTTATTCTGTAATGTTTTTCTTTTCTATAATGCGCAGTTGCTCAAATGTTTTGTTTTACCTATAATCAGTAAACATGACATTTATGATTACAAAACAATATTGTGGCTTTCTTCCATTTTTTACTTTTTTCGTTTTATTTTCCTTCTCTTTTTAATGACAAACTTTTCGGGTGACCAAGAATGATCGATGATTTAAGAAATTAATTGAAGGGAAGTGTAATATTAGAGAAATATAAGATTTGCTGATTTCTGCTTTGGAGACGCTTTCTAATTATTTTAGAATTAGTTTCAAATTTATTTTTATTAAATTTAAATTATTTATTCATTATATTTATATTAGATGAAATACGTTATTACTTCCGTATTATTTGATATTTGTATGGTTTTTTGGTCTTATTTTGGAGCACGATCTTGTAATGAACTTTATAATTAGTTTTGAAACTTAGTGAAAATAAATTATTTGGTTTCTAAATTGGAACGCGGTTAACATTTAATTATTTAATCATTTATATTCATTCCCTTTAATTAATTATTCAAATTGTAGTTCATTTTTGGAACACCTAGTAGGTACTAACAACCCTAATTTTTGTTTTTGAATACTTAGTGTGTGAGATTGAAACTCCTGTTTGAGATTGATATGAAACTACTGTTTCGGGTGTTTTCAATCAATTAAAATATTTATGAAATGGTCCCATATTGGCAGCTCTTGCAAATTATGGAAGAAATGGTGATTAAATTGCAAGTTAGATTAGTTTGTATCAAGTTAAATTCCGATTCAATTTTCCGAATAGTTACTAAGCACCAATTTTAATACGATAACCCAAGACTAATTTACATATTGCAGTACATGTTTCTACGTTATTTATTATTATCGCAGCATGTGTAAAAATAGTAAATATTGTAAATGTACATGTATTTTATCGTATTCCGACAACTTATTATATGTTTTATAATTATATATTTACTTATTATGCAGTTAATTATTATATATTTAATTATTATATATTTAATTATTATATACTTAATCATAAGATTAAATATTTTAAACGTTATTCTATTTGAAGACAAATGAATGTATAATCACTTAACGTGCAATATTTCTATTGGAGTTCAAAATATAGTAAGTCTGTGTGTAAGGAAAAACGATTACCAGATAAAAATTAATAAATAAAAACATTATTCGACATTTTTTACTATGACTACAATTCATATTAAAACTTAAATTATTAAACAAAAATTCTTTTTCTTAATTTCTAAATTAAGACTTTAAATTTGCAATACTGCATTACATAATTCTTTAAATTGCATCGTAGTTAATAACAAAAATAGTTAGTTACACTTTCACTTAAAATTTTAATTAAAAATTAAACGGTTGATATCTCTCGCTTTTAGTTACGTAAATTATTTCCGTTTAACTATTATAAGGACGAAACTATTAGTTTTATCTATGTTGTTTGCATAAAATCTGGACATAAAAATATCATTTTTGACTTACTTTCTTTTTCTTCCTTTTTAGTATTATAAGTACAGCTCTTTCAGCCTTGATGAAAGAGGGTTTTGATGTGAAAGCCTTACGTGCATTTCGTGTTTTACGACCTCTTAAATTAGTTTCTGGCGTCCCAAGTAAGAAATCCTATTTTTACTTTTAATAATTAAGGTTGTATTATAAGCCTCTTTTCATTTATAAAAACATCTTCGACAATTTTCTTAAAGCATATTATGTTTTCATTTCAAGAATCTTGTTTTAAATTAATTATATCGTCTGAAAAAATTTGAATTTATGGTAAGTAAAATATGTGTGTTTTTTAATATAATCAATTACCCCTTTTGTTCGTAAAAAATATATTGTTAAAGTATTTTATGCGTCTTTAGGCAATGCTATCATTTCGTATAAAATATAGACTTATTCCATTACACGCTTGAACATTTATTACATACTTCAAAATTTATTACATATTTATTACGCATTTCAGTTATGACATACTTTAATACGAACACTTTAACACAAAATTTATATTTTCTGCTATTCTAATCATGTTAAAAATCTTTTTTAAGTGGTTAAAATTAAATTTTCGGTAATTTAACATTTTATAATCACGTGAAAGAAATATTCAAAATTACTTCAGAACAAATACCAATTGAAAGTCAATTACCAATGCCAATTGATATTTGACTATATTTTACCCGATGCCTTAAAAAACACGCAATTATATATTACATGAGATTTATGGGAAAATAGGTAAAATTTTTTAATTTATTTCGAATTTTTAATGGATTTGTAAAATTAAGCAGCAGCTGTGTTGATAGATTTATATAAGATTTAATCACGAATTTGCATACATTAAAAATCAATTTTATACTATAATTCTTTTGCGTAACATGCTCTTTGAATTATAATCAAATTTATGTATTGCCAATCAAATTTCAGAAATTGTTTCCTATAAATCATTGAAAACTTGGGAATATAACAAACTTATGTTTTATTGATTCTTGTATTAATATTTTTATAAAAATCAGACACAAAAATATATATTGAAGATATTTTAATGAACCGATCGAAGAGAATGTCATGAATTTTCCATTTTTATGATATTCGAAATCCTTCCGGAAAATATCTACATATTGCATAGCTATCAGTTTCCAATCATATATTGCTTCCATTCTCAAATAATGTAAAAGAACCTACAAAAAAGATCCTCATACACATAAGCCCAGGTCTCAGATATACCCAGAAGCCGCTATTATGTTGAAAGAATAATACGCCAAATATCATAAGAGAACATTTTTATTTCCTATGCATCGAAATGATAGTTGGGTTTTATTTTTTTACCGTTATATTTGTCGATTTACAATATTATTCACAATGATTTAAACATACGCAAATTAATAACACTGTTAACAATGCATGAGAATTAGCAGAGTTCTAATTAACAAATTATATATTACTATTTACTAATTGGCTACTAATCGAATTGACTAAGATCATTTTTATAATTAAAGAAATTAGGCAATAAATACTCTTTTCTGTAAATTTTTGTAAAAGTTTATTTAGCTTCGTGCTTTCAAATTCCTAGTTTATAAATGCGTATCATAGTTTAGAGAAATGGTCAGCAAATTTATGAAAAATGAATTATTGTACAGTTTTTAAATCTTATTGTGGGCTACTAACCAAAATAACAAAAAAAATTTTTACAATATTCACACTTGGTTAATTGTCTATAAACATATATTAATATGTTTAGTCCAATAAAGTGTTAACTCGATCTACAGAATATATCCCAACAAGCTGCTAGTAGCTCGTAATCGATGGTTTGGTGATCAGTGGTTTATTGTGTATAAGTACATTAAAAAATGAAAAATTTGGTAATAGCGCATAAAATGTATAATAATAGCAGATAAAATAACTTAGTCATGACGATTTTTGTGTTTTAATGATTGTTTACAGAATTGCGAACGGAAAATAGATGGATAAGTATAATTTACAAATATTTTAAAATTACTAATCTAAAAATTACTTATCTTAAAAATAGAGTATAGGTTTTATATTTTGATAAGTAAAATAAAATTTTTTAATCAGGCAAACATTTCGGTACAGATGTAGTATTTACTTAAAACAACAGTTTCTTAATCCGAATAAAAAAATGTTTTACTTAGAGGAGAGTTATCTAAATCGTACCATTTTTCACATATTAATTTTCATCAGTCTCAAATTACTGGCAATTACATTTGAAATATTTTGATTGAAAATATAGTTATTCAGTTATTTTTATTATTTTTTTGGTAAAAATAGTTTTGCAGAAAGTGCCAAAAATTTATTGTTTCCTGAATCGTACCGACCCATAAAATTTGAGCAAGAGTAACTAAACAAATAACTAGAGAATAAGTAATACAAAACAAGTGTTTATTATTTTAATGTTAAATGCTGTACTACATTTTCTGGTGAGCTACGAGTTCAGTAAATGGCATTATAAGTCAAAAAAGTTATCATAAAACATGATTGTTTTCTTCTAGAAAGGTAAATTATGATTTTTACATGAAATTAAAAACGTAATTAATTATAAAAGCGAACACTTACAAAGGAAATCATTAGGTAATTCACTGTTGAATTGGCTTTTGGTTCAGTTACGTTTTAAGTACAACATGCATACCTTTTTTTCACATTTTGGCAGGCACATTTTTCACTAACCCAAGTTATACATTGCAAACATTGCACCATATTTTCAACTAGATGAGTCTAATACACAAAGCAAACCATTCGTCAGCTCTGGAGAATAGGTGCCTATTTTTGAGCTCTTGAAGGATGTCGATAATTTTATTTGTATATTTTGAAGTCAATGAAGTTTTTTTTTTAAATAAAAGGGTATCTCACTGCTTCAATTTCTTAAGATTATTTATTTAAATACATTTAACTTGCTTCGTTTCCTTGCTTCGAAGAGCTATTTTCTTAGATTTAGTTTACTGCTTTACAATTTTTTAAGACTGAATTTGTGAGTTTTTGATCTGACTTCTTCAATTTTATATTCCTCTCAAGCTCTTTAGCTTTTTCTTTGGGGAGTTTAAGTTCAATCGTTAGTTCAAGTTTATTTTTAAAAGAGCTGCTTGTTAAAACTGCAGTTCTTAGTGATTTCGAAGCAACTTTTTTTTCTTGGGTATTGGAAACATGACAATTGATTTTATTTAAACCTTTGGCACAGAGAAAATCACTGAAGCATATTTGTATGTTAAATCCTTAACAGACTCATGATTACTTGCTTCACGAAGAGGCAATCACTTGGATCCAATTGATTCGTCTCCATGATTACTATTTCAGCTGGTGAAAAATCAGTTTCATTAAAAACTGATGAATCAAAGGGTTACACAACTAAACATTTAATTCTTGATAAGAATTTTCAATTGTTGAATTGTTGTTGTCCTATTGTAAGACTCGGTCACTAGATTCGACTCTTGGTTCTGTGTAATAATCAGACCAGGATAGCTTCACAACCACTTTTCTACTGCTTAAATACAGTTTAAAGGGCTTGAAAAGTGACCTGTCCAATGGTTGGAGCAGATGCGTCGCTTGTTCTGGTAGCTGCAACGCAATTAATACAACATTCCTAACCAACTTCAAAGAATTAATACAACATTCCTAACCAACATTCGTCGAAAAACCATCTAAAAGAAGTAGAACTTTCATTATACGGGAACAGGTAGCAAATCTGCATGACATTAAGTGAATAATTGAAAGTTCTATTTGATTTCGTGAATTTCAATCGTCTACAAATCGTGTGAATTTTTTTTATTGTTAAAGAAATTATTGGAATAAATTAAACTGATTAAGATATATTAAACTTATGCGGCAGATGTGGATCTTGGAATAGGCCCCAAAATCGTACCTGTACGATTTAGTAGCCCTCAAAATGTACAATTTAGGTTACTACGTCACTTTTTAATCAAGGCATTAATACTGGCCTTAAAAATAGTTAGTTACCGAATAAACAAGTAGAACATACCAGAATAAGTTGTATAACAATTATCTGATGCATTTAATAATTTTGCACATTACATTAGATCTGTTATATACTACCTTTACACAATTAGTTCAAAAATTACATTGAAAACTTATAAAACTGATAAACTTAATGCGTATACACAACGACTCAATTCTTCTGCCTGGATCACCATATGAAAAAAAGCTTTCTTATTTATCTGCTAGGGCATTCTGCCCTTAATATTTTTTTTAGAAATCAAAGGTGGTATGATTTAGGCAACTTTCCTAAGCATAAAATACCACAATCCCTGTCACAAATAATTCTGCCTAAATTAGTTTGAGCAGATTATTGTAATTAACATCTAAAAACCTATCTAATGTACTTTTTGTACAAAAAATAAAAAAGTGTGTTTCATAAAATATAAATGATATTCTCTTTCATAATATTTATATTTTTTAATCAATTGCATACATTAAAAACATTTTAATCTTGCATATACATGATCATTTAATAAACAAAATGGTTTTAGATAATAACCATATCTAACGTGATATATCATAGATATTTTGATTATTTTTCTCTAGGTTTACAAGTAGTTTTAAATTCTATTCTTCGTGCCATGGTGCCCTTACTTCACATTGCTCTCCTCGTCATCTTTGTAATAATCATTTATGCCATCATAGGTTTAGAACTATTTTCTGGTAAAATGCACGAAACATGCATAAACAACGTAACAGGTAAGAAATATTTTGATTATTTAACAGAAAATAAACAGTTTTTACATTTATCGTACGTATCGTAATTTCAAGAAATTAGGAATTATTTCAAAAACTAAACTGACTGGAGAGGGCGGCTTACATGACATTAACTAAAAAGTACCAAACCTTGTCCTAGAAATTAAATGGAATACCATAGTTAACACTGTGAACGAGAAGATACTTAAAATTTTTATACACTTTGAAAAAGAGATGAAAAAAACCATATATTTCTTTAAAAGTCCAGGTCAGATTACTAGTTTTAAAGTAATTGAGAAAATGCACTTCCATTTTTTGAGTTGATTATGGAATTTTCGTAATAAGTTTAATCTTGGCGTATACTTTTATTTCAAAACTATTTTGATCACAGCATATTTAAACACATACATGAAAAAATTTATGACCACATGATTATTTTCTTTTGTTAACATGAAATAATTTTTTGAAGAATTGAAGAGGTAGGATTATTACTTTGATTTCAAAAATAATTTTCTTTTAAGATCGTAAAAGTTGGCAATTTTGTTATACAGGATGATCCATTTTCATAATCATTTGTTATAAATAAAGTCTTAGGAGTAATAAAGTAACAAATTTAATGAAAGTAGCAAATTTAACGATTCACTTTTCCATAAGATACGTAGATTTTACCAAACAATATTTGATACAAACTTTTTCCATAAGATACGCAGAAGTTTGCAATTTTGTTATGCAGGATGATCCGTTAGAACCTCCATTTTCGTAATCTTTGTCATAAATAAAGTCTTCAAAGTAACAAATTTAACAACTCTCTTTTCCATAAGATACGTAGATTTTGCAAAACAATATTTGATACAAAAGTTTTCCATAAAATACGTAGAATTTTGTATTTCAATAAAATAGGATGATCAATTAGAACCTCCATTGTCATAATCGTTGTCTTGAATAAAGTCATAGGAGTAACAAAGTAACAAATTTAAAGAAAGTAACAAATTTAACGATTCACTTCTATAAGTATCAAAACCTGTTTGAAAAATAACAGGGTGGAGATAAAAGACTATTGTTAGAAAACCATTCACGTTTCCTCAGGTATTTAATTAGGTTTTGATGGTTATCAGAGTGCTTTTCTAAGCAGAGATTCATTTGATTTAAATATTTATTATTTTCGCCTTTTACTCGTTTAAACGTTTATTTACAAACCACCATTTCTCAAAGTGCAAAGGGACGTTTTTAAAAATTAATTACACTGGCGTGGGTGCAGACTATATGTTAAAAATTACATATTTATTCTTTGAAAGGTGACTTTTGTTCTAACGCATTTTATTTTCAAGCACACCTTATAGTCCTTTTCGGTAAACTTCATCTTTATCATAAAATATATTTAATTTATAAAAAAGATTGGGAAGTGCAACTAAAAGAGTAAGTGAGCTTCAACAGAGCATGATTTGCTGCTGCGAAATTATAGAATGTATTGGTATATGGAAATTATAAAACATTTGCCAGGCCTGAATTAGGAGTTCAAGGTTTGGCTAGTAACTGCTATTGGTTGCGAAGAGTATTATTCCCCTTTTTAAAATTTAGAACTTTAAATGTGTTTACGGTGGTAAATAAACATGACTATTTTATGAAGCTGAAACATTGCGACAAATCTTTCATGATTTTAGAATTTTGCTGTTATGGTTGAAAGTTAAATAAAGAATATCTATTTATATAATTTGATTTTCTCTCTGAGCATTAGCATTGCGAAACATATATAAATAATTATATTTATTGAGAGGCTGATCGATCGGTGTAGGGGTCAGAGAACTGACCTTACATCAGAAAAGTTCTGGGTTCGAATCCCAAACAAGGAATGGTTGTCCTTTCATTCTATGTTCTATCTGTCCTTACTGTGAGAGCAACGTTGGCCCGCTTACAATGGTGCCCCAGAAAGAGTGGCCAACAAATCTGCTCTTCAGATGCCTGTATTAACGAAATGAGATTTATTGAGAGAAGATTAAATGAAATAAACATTTTATTTTGATAATAAATATGAAAATAACAGTTATGTTCTGACACATACTACGAAAACGAAACGAACGAGAACGAAATGAACGAAAGAAAAAATAAACGAAAAAGAATTTCGAAAAATTACAATATGCTCTGTGACATAATGTGTTTAATTATCTCAATCGTGAATATATCTTGAAATTTATGTGTGTACATAGGTTTTCGCAATTTCTGAATTTTTTTTTTTTTGACACAATATATTTTTTTTTGGAGATGTGTTTCGAGAATTAAAAAAAAAAATGCTGAATTTGAAAGTTTGTAATTTTTTGAAAAATATATATTTTTTCTGTTTTAAACTTGTCGAACAATAAATATAAGCATGACATGACATGAATTTTATTCTAAAAATATCTCTAAAAAAACGCATCAATAAATTTAAATTCTTATCTCTCCTTCAAGAGTCAGAAACCAGGAAAAGTTTCTGCTTTCAATCATCGTCTATTTCCGGCTTTCCCTCAGGCATTTATTAGAATAAAAGACTTCTCACGTCTCAGATTTCTTTGTCAGCGAAAAGACGTTGTGCTGCTTGTGTCATTCAAAAGTGAACACAAAAGTGCTAAATAAACCTTTTAATTCTTAGAGCAGTAAAGTTTGGCATTCTGAAGAATTATTTTTCAATAAAGTTTCCCATACTTTATTTGAAGTTTCGAACGCAGAGCTTTCTTTCATGGCTCAAACGCGAAACTGAAGTAGCTCTTTGAAAATGATTTAATATAGAATAACTAACTCTTCATGGGAAGAAATACAATGAAGTATTAAACCACAAAGTTTTGTTTCAAGACTCAAGTGACATGCTAAAATAGTTCTTTCAAAAAGATTCAGTCTAAATAGACTCATCAGGTAAAAGAAATACACTGTATTTTTTTTCATTTCAAAGAAAAAACTTTCTTTGGAAATAACTTAAACTATAATCATGCAACACAATATAGTGAGTTAAGAGGAGATTTATTTTATGGATCAAATGATAAGATAAAACAATTTTTTTGGAGAATGATTTAATCTAAAATAACTCATCATGGGAAAAAATATAACTAAGTATTAAACCCAGAGTTTCGTTTCAAGGCTCAAATGAAAACTAAGATAGTTCTTTCATGATGATTTAATCTGAAAAGACTTATCAGGCGAAAAAATACAGTGAAGTGTTGAGCAAGGAGTTTTGTTTCATGGATCGAATGATAAACTAAAACAATTCTTTGAGAAATATTTAATCTAGAATGATAAGAAATACGAAGAAATACCGTGAAATATCGAAAGCAGAGTTATTTTTTTTATCGTAGTTTAAACGATAAACCAAAACAATATTTTGAGAAATATTTAATCTAGAATAACTCATCATGCGGAGAAATACAGTGAAATATCGAACGAAGATTTTTTTAATCGTAGTTTAAATGATAAACTAAAACAGTTGTTTGAAGATGATCAATCTAGAATAACACATCACGCGAAGAAATACGGTGAAGTTTTCCACGCAGAGTTTTGTTTTATAGCTACGATAAACTAAAACAATTCTTTGAAAATTATTTAATCTAGAATAACTCATCTTTCAATGAATAACAGTAGGTTGCCAAACGCAGAGTTTGGTTTCATTGCTTAAATGATAAGTTAGAAAGTTCTTTGTTATCTGAAATAACTCATCATACAAGCAGTGAGGAGTCGAAAACAGACTTTGTTTTTGTTGAAATACTAAAATTATAAACTACTAAGAGAGTACATTAAAAAACAATGTATTTTATTGTTTAAGTTTTTACTTTTTTGCTTTTTGGGGGGATAAGGGGAAATGTTCTTCTCTAGAAGTAGAAATATACAATGAATTTTAGCTTTTAACTATCCGTTTCTGCGTAAATATTTCCTCGTTTTTATGTTCCTCATCAGTTTAAGCTGCAATATTCATCACCAATTATAAATCCTTTTTTAGCTATTCATCATTGTTGAGCATCGTATGAAATTGGGAATTAAATTTAAATTTACGGCATCAAACATCATAAATTTTTAGTACATCTTTTGGTATCATAAATAGTATACAAATAGTATACAAATAATAAACAAAGAAATCGAAATCTATGCAATACCAAACGAGAAACAACTTCTCGAAAAATGATTCAGAATTTTTAACTATTATTGCCAAAATAAAATCATAAAAGTATTTTTATTACAGCAAGCTATCTCAATCATATAAAATTATTTTTTAGCTTAATTGCACGCAAACAGTATTTGTAGAAACTTTATTACGAGTCTGTAGTGATATTTAATTGGTAATCATCACTCATTTATTCTTACTAAACCATATAATTATTTGGTTTTATTAACACTAGAACAGCTGTATTTGAAACTTAACTAAAACCGTCATTCAGGGTCAATTAGACCCTTATTAGAAATTGATGAATTTTCAAAGTAAATAATTTTTTACATGATGAATATTGTTAAAAATACAAAATATGTAAGAGTTTTTTAGAAATCTAAGTTTTTTTTCGTTTTTTTATTACCGCTATGACAATATTATATTACATTATATACATATTGCATCGATTATATATTGCAATGCAATATTACATTATAATGTAATATTGTATTGGAGACTATTTCGCAAGAGCGCAGGTAATACGAAAATAAACAAACGACATGAATAGAAATAGTATACATTAGCATACAACATGTTTTAAAATGCTAAGTTTCATAACTAGTTAGGCATTAGAGTAGACATATACAGTACATACGAGTGACGTAAAAGTGACAACCAAGCATCGACAAATCATTTTCTAGCATTTCTCATAGCTAGTATTCGTTTTATTTTGTGCTTTGCGGTGTTTTCTGTGCACTGCGTAGTTTTTGTTTTGCAATGCAAAAGATGTATGTCTAGACAATGAAGTGGCAATGAAATTTATTTTACTCAAATTCAGTATTCCTGTAATATAGGTCTTTTTTTACGAAAAACACTTATCTGCAAGTTTTACTGAGAAGTAGGACAGTAATTCCGGTGCACCTGGAGTTTCGGTGTGATTCCATAATTAGAGCTTTATACTTTTCCCCGATCGTAATTCATTTGCCCATTTTTCAACCTACACAAATAAAAAAAGCATTCAAAAAACATTATTTTTTGGACTTCATATCAAATGAAATCAAAGTTATGTGGCTTGACAGCCATAATACCGAATAAATTTTCATTATTATTTACATAACAATTACTGCTCCCAACAATACTATCTTGTCCAGGATTATGACAAATATAACCACTTATAACCAACATGTACATGGTTTCTTTTAGACGCTATTAATGAAATTCTAATTCAATAAGAACGAAGTAGTCACTTCGAGAATCGTATCTAAGATACATAATTTCACAAAAAATGGTGCACGTGGCATTTATTTAACACGATGGACGCTAATTTCAGTTCTACAATTCATCTTCATAATGTTTGCAGTTCTGCAAAATCAAAAACAGACATAAGACTTAAAAAAATGAACTTTTTTTGGTGTCAAAATGATTCCTTTTTGTCTGTTTCAGGCATTTCCTCAATTTATTATTTTAATAATCAACAGAAAGGGATGAAATTTTGACATAGTAGATTTAGAAACGTTATAGGAAACATACAATTTAGCTTCGAAACTCACTTGTGTATTCAAAAATAACATAAGAAATGGCAAAAAACGATAAAAATAACCCCAGTATTAAAACCATTCTCTGTACATAAATAAGACTCGGGTAATAAGTATTTATTTTTATATCAGGTTTAAAGAATGCTTACATTTAACGATGAAACATAAAAACGTCTAAACATGCGAAAAAAGTTAGGTTGTAATTCAAATTTGTCACCCCTGTTCAATGTTGAGCATTAATGGCTTATAAGGGTTTAATTTACGAATAGGAAGACATTAAGATTAAATAAGAAGTTGATATTAACTAACTGTGCTACAGAAAGAAAAAGTTTTTTAAAAAAAACTTTTCGAAATTGCAATTGATTTTTTTATTAAATTCCAAAGGGTAAACTCTTGTAGTAATGTAAATTTTTGTATTTGAATCTTATTAATTAAAATCTCTGAGGATCCTATTAGATCTTCTTAAATATTTTAGGAGAATTTGCCTTAGAAGAACCTCACCCTTGTGGTGAAAATGGGTACCACTGTAACTCATCAAGCAGTGAAGTGTGCATGGGATATTGGGAAGGACCAAATTTCGGAATAACTAACTTTGATAATTTCGGTCTTGCTATGTTGACTGTCTTCCAATGTGTCACCAATGAAGGATGGACCAATGTGCTTTATAATGTGAGTGTGATTTATAAAAATGATCTATTTTTAACATGTTTAAAGCTTAATCAGATTTCAAGAAAAGAAAAAAAAATCTAAAACTCTTTTTTTACAGATAAATGATTCTGTTGGAAATGAATGGCCATGGATTTATTTTATAAGTTTAATCATTATTGGTTCATTCTTCGTGCTCAACCTTGTTCTTGGTGTACTCAGTGGGTAAGTGTTCATTTTGAAATTGCTATCCTTAAACAACACTTATCAGTTTTCATTTCAAAATTACTATCACTTAACAGCATTTATTATTTTTTCATTTCAAAATTACTATCCTTATATTTTTATAACTTTTTATTTCAAAATAATCATTTATTTACATCATTTAAAAGTTTTTATTTTGAAATTTCTATAATTTAATAACATTCATCAGTTTTCAGTTTAAAATTATTGATAGTTTCAGATTTTTAAAGCTTTTATTAAAACCAACTGCCTTGAAAATGAATTATGGAAAAAAGTAAAACTAAAATAAACGTGTATTTATTAAATGAAGAATAAAAAATGCATATCTTAGATAATTAAGTTAGTTTTTATTACTTAAAAGCAATTTAAATTTTATGCAAAATTAAATACCTCGTCAATTTCATTTGTTACGAGAAATAATTTATATTTGGTATTGAAGAAAACCCGACGGTACCTGCAATTTATTGTAACTAAAATACATTAACTAAAATCAAAAATCTAAAGAAAAAATGCAATTGATATTTAAAATAATTTCTATTTTGTAAATGAAAAAAAAATAGATATGTTTATCACATTTTTTAAAATATTTCAGGGCTTATGTTCAATATATTTCCGAAAAAAAAAATGTTTTAACAATTTGTTTAAAAAAAACGGTTTTTTTTTAGAGAAGAGTTTTATTTTAAAGCATAAAAATGATTAATTTTATTTAAAAAAATTCCTACTTTTAATTTACTGTTTTGAAAATATTCCTTCTTATTTTCAATGGAAAACTCAAAGTATTAAAATTGAAGTAACGTGTTTGCTCCAGGTTTATAATATGATGCATGATAAAGAATAGTCCTTGTCAAGATATGTATCTCATTTCCGAATTCATTTTTTTCCAGGGAATTTTCCAAAGAGAGAGAAAAAGCCAAAGCTCGGGGGGATTTTCACAAACTGAGGGAAAAGCAACAAATTGAAGATGACTTGCGTGGTTACTTAGAATGGATTACGCAGGGAGGTTAGTTTAATAAAGTGCATGTGGATGTTGATTTGAACTGTTCTTTTATCTCATTCTTTTGTTTTAGTAGAAATTCATCAATGTTGTTATTTGTGTCATCATTTTCATAGTTAGAAATTTATCAGAAAAAGAAAATGGTTAAATAACGTTTTATTTAAATGTTATTTTACCTTATTTAAATAAAACAGTCAAATAGCCATAAATAAGATAGTATTCAAGCTGTTGACTGTACAGAAAAAACCGTTTATTAACTGCTTTCATCTAATACTGTTAAACAGTCAGAAACCAGATTCTTATCACCCTAACTATACCCACCTATTGAATCCACTTAGCTCATCGTGGCTGCGTACGTATCATAGCCGAGAAAGCTAATTTGTCTATCTCATAACCGATAGATAGTAGGTTCGAGTCCAAGCGTTGACACCGCAATATTTACTCAATTCCCTTTAACACATGAAGAGTTTCCAGTGTCCTGCACTCCCCAACTTATGACCCTGGACTAATAGAATATGGTAATTTCATTCACGCATAGATGCTGAGACTCACGTATAGAGGCTGATAATGATAGATGCTGCATCATAAGGGTGCTTAACACAAAATAAGTTTAGCATTTTCCATTTCTTATGGTAGGGGAAACAACCAGATAAACTAATTAAGCCGCATTCCATTGGGTTCATTTGATAAAACACAACTCAACCACAACCTAACTTCAATGCCCGTTACCAAACAAAAAAACCTAGCTGCAAGATTTGTTAAATTTCTTTTTTAGGGCTATGACACCATGATAGTTGTAAATGGTAAAAAAAAAAAACAGTATAGTTTTGTATTTATGGTTTTTTTAACCATACTAGTAGTAAGCGATTTCAAAAAAGTAAAGGTTAAAATGTTCTTTACCTTAAACTTTACGATTAATTGGATGGACAGACTGTTGCTGGTTATTTGACAGTAGTTTTAGAATGAAACGTAGAGTACGGAGAAAAAAATTTTTTCTCCAAGATTTAGAAAAGAAAAGGGAAAATTTCAATTTCCATTTTTTCTCTAAGATTTTCTTCCGAAATTTAGAATTTATTATATTACATACATAATTCATTTGATAACAAAAAGACCAAGAATTAAATAACTTTAGTTATCAGCTATAAATCACGCAAAAGTATTGACACCCTGAGTGACGGTGCTTTTTATCGTAAAATTAATTTTTTATTGGAATGTATTAAGAACAAAAAATCATTATTTTACAGTTATAACTACAGTAAAATCATTGAATCACTCTAATTAAAAAACATTATTTTAAAAATTACAACATAATATTTTACGGTTAAAAATGGATTTTACGGATGATGAATCCAAAGTGCCGGTACTTTATACCATAATTTTCTACAGTGCTCCAACTTGAAAATGATAGAATATTTAAATATAATACTTAGCTCACGTAATGAACAATCACAGATGTGTTTTAACTATTAATTTACTGATTGATATTTTTAAAGATATGGACTTCTGAAAAACCTAAATTAGGTTTTGTTAATTTATATTAAACTGGTTCAATAACTGAGTCTATGATAAGTTTAACTTTATTCAGTTGGAAGCTTGTTAAAAATTTTAAGCACACGGGAAAATGTGTTTTAGTTAGAGAAGTGATAGATATTAGAATGTATTAAAATCGAGAGACTGTTGAAGATTTATAAAAGGTAACTTATTATTGTGTCAAATATTACATATAATGAAAATTTTATTTATTATCTAGTCCGTACCACCGCATAACATATTTAGTAATTGATTACTTGGCAACACTTGTTTTCTTTCAAAGTAAAATAACAGTTAATTATTAAAGAAGTTTACATGTCATGAATTATTCGCGGGAATTTTATATCCAAGATGACAAGTGATCTATAGTGTAAAGTCTTTGTCTTACTTCATGCATTATGTAATATTAATATAATATGCTTGTAAGGGTTATTTGAATAGAAACAATACATTGCAAATCAGTAATAATAAGAAAGATGTACCAATATATGTTGATAAATATTAAACACAAATGGGAATCATTTAAATGACTATGTACTTATATTTTTTTAATCATCGAATTTCGCTGGTATGAGATATAGTTACACGGTTGCGTGTTGACTCTAAAATTCAATTTGCAAAACAAAACACTCTGATAGAAGTTTTTTGAGGATATTAGCTAGCAATATATATATATATTTCTGCTATTATGCAGTTCTGTTAGTCAGTCTGTTCCTAATTATCATTCTACCTATTACCTTTTATTTTATAGGAAGCTTCAAATATTAATCTATTTAAAATTATTGCGTTTAATAGTTCAGGTAATCAATATTTCAGACACGTGTAAAGGAAATTCAGAGCTTGTATAATATTTTTTTTGAAAAACAAAAATTTAACAAGTAGTGAAAGTTGTTCAAAAGTTATTATTTCTTCTTACAATTTTATTAACAAGAAACTAAAAAATATGAATTCTCTAAGAACTCTGTGCAGTGCTATGTATTCTCAAAGGATCATTGAACCCTAGACAACGTTTCTCAACGTAGGGGGGGGGCAAGAAAATATATCAGGGGCGTCGTGAAATTGAAAGTAACATACATATAAATAAAAATATATATTTCATATGACTCTAAACAAAAACATAGATTTTAAGGAAATTATAGTACGAGCTATTGTTAGATTGTTGTCAATTAATTCCATGGTTGATTTTGTTTTCTTTGATATTAACTCTGATTTTTATTGGTTGATGAGTTATACTGACTTTCAAAGAAATGTTTTCATTGTTCATACTTATCTAACTGCTTGAAAATAACTCGCTTTCTTTTTAAATTTCATATTGTTGTTCATTTTGAAATGTGATAATTTGACCTGTGAACTAAATTTAGAAATAATTGCTTCAAGTTATAATATGCTGTACATTAAAAAAATGACTTTTTTAGAGGATATTGAGCAAGACGATAAAGAAAATAAGAATGAATCCAGAAATAGTAAGTCTAAAATGTGAAAATTGTATTCTTAATATAATTTTTACTTCCTCTTGATATTTATAAATAAACTCTGAAACAAGTCCTTTATTTGCTTCTTATAAGCACACGGAGATATTTTTATCTAAACGAAACATTATTTCGCCTTTCTCAATTAATTTTTTACTTTTCTAATCTAGGAAGTCCTGTTTTCTGTTTGCAACAAAGTAAAGAAATAATTACTTATTTTATTCCTTTATTAATAGATAAAATGGTTTTTTTTACAATTTTCATAGGATATCTAATTAATCAGCATCTCTAGTGATTGAACTGAAATAAAATTTATTATTTTTTTTTTCTTGCAATAGCTTTATTGATGTTTAAATTTTTTTCTTATTTTGCCTTTTTTTGACAGCAGATGTCTCTGACTCAAATAGACAGTGATTAATAGTAGTAAATTTCATTGATTATTTTTGTTTTAGTCACATGTAAAAGTAGTACAAAAACATCACCAAAACAAATATCTACCCTGTAAAAAAGGGTTTTCCAAATAAGAGCAAAAATATGCCAAAATAGCTCCGAAAGAGATATAGTCGAATTTTAATATTCCATGTACTCATTATTAAGTATAGTGACATGCACAAAACAATATATAATCATTTTTGAGACTCTGTCCACTTTCGTTTAAACGACAAATTATTCAAAATGTGTAATTTGTGTAAAAAATTATGTGTAATTTTTTACACATTTCCGAAAAAACTATCTTAAATCTGTATTTATAATATTTCAACTTAAAACTATTAAATAATATAGATTAATCGTAGTGCCATTATAGAATTTTTTGCAGAAAATTCTAAGCTGGAAATATTTAATGTACATAGAAGTGTTCGGTATGCAAATCATTTAAATATCACACATCAATTATTAAAATTCATAATCAAATATTAAATATCCCAGTTTAATCTCCTAAATGAGTTTTCACATAATATCTAACCAAATCATTAATTAACAACTATATAAAATATAGTTAAACTGTTGCTCCATTAGAGCCTTTTATGTAGAAAATTCTAAGCTAGAGAAATTTTAGGTACATCGAAGTGTTTGTCATGTAAATCATTTAAATAATGCAGATCAATTATAAAATATCATATTTAAATATTAAATATCAAATATTAATAATTTAAATATCATTTGAGACAGAGAACTAAACAGAAATCTTAAAACAATACTCATAATACTTTAATTTTTAAAAACTATTTAAAATATAGATAAATTGTGCTGCTATTAAAGAATTTTCTGTAGACAATTTCAAGTTTGTGAAATTTTGTGCACTTGAAGTGTTTGTCATGAATATCATTCAAATATCACAGATCAATTTATAATTACCATAATAAAATATTAAATATTGCAGCTTAATCCTCTAAATATGTTTCAAGACAGAGCCCTGAAAACGCGGTCTTAAAACAACACTAATAACATTTTAATGTATTAACATCTGTATAAAATATAGATAAATCGTAGTGTCAAGTTAGAGAAATTTTGTGTACATCGAAGTCAATGTCATGAATATCATTTAAATATCACAGATCAATTATTAAATATTAAATATCACAGATTAATCATTTAAATATCTCTTAATACAGAGGCCTAGAAAGCAGTCTTAAATCAATATTCGTAAGACTCTTATGTATCACACAATAAAAATTATTTAAACTAAAGATAAATCACAGTTCTACATAAAATTCTACGTTGGCGAAATTTTGTGTGAATTGAAGTGTTTGTCATGAAAATCATTTAAATATCACAGATTAATTATTGAATATCATAATCAATTATCACAGATTAATAACACGTTTCGAGACAGAGCCTGTAAAAATTAGTCTTAAAACAATGCTTATAATATGAAAATGTTTCCCTCATTAACAACTATTTAAAATATAGATAAAAGCCTAGTGTCATTAAAGCATCTCATGTAGAAAATTCTAAGCTGGAGAAATTTTGAGTACATCGAAGAGTTTTCCAGGCAAATCCTTGAAATATCACCCAGATATAACATATACAAACATTAGTCATCATAAACCGTTTCTCAAACGGCACTGGATGTATCTCTCGCAATATGTTTATGTAAATACTTTACATTAAGTCGTTTGATGATGCATTTTATGGGAATTCATATCCTTTTTAGGTGACGACAAAGTAAAAAAAGGACTTTGAAAAATAAAGCTTCTTAGTTTGCTCTAACCAGCTAAAAATGCTTTTTTTTCTAAAAAATTCTTCAGAGTAATAAAGACGCCAGAAGAAAAATCATTAAGAGGAATTTTCCATATGCATCATTAGGCAAGCTGATGATCCTGCTTGTACTTCCGTTGACTTATTTTTCCCCTCATCTGACTTGCAATACCCCATTTTTCCACTCTTCATTTTCTAGTTTGTTATTTTTCTCCCGTTTGCTTGGTGAAAGGCTATTATCAACGGTGCTTTAATAGACTCTGCACTTAAGTCGGAATAGAATGTATCAGATGGTTTAGCTAAAGATTGATTCACTGCTGTTGCTTTTAACAAGAATGTGCTTTGAATCAGCACATGGTTTGGAACCGTTTTTCCGAATATAGGAGATAAAAGGAAGAAAATAAAAATTTCAATACAAAAAAATTCTTAATTTTTTTGGATTATGCTCTATGCGTAAGCATTTGCAAGATTGCATATTTTTGCATTGTATTTTTGCATAGACCCATTGCATATTTTTGCATTGTTTTACAAATTAGACTTACATCATTTTCTAAATATTTCGAAGAAAATTTATAACAATTAAAATCAATTGGACTATGGTTATTGAAATGAGGAAAATAATGAATCTGAAAAAGCCAATATAGAAGTAAACATATCATTATTAATTCATTGATAATTGAAATCGATATTCTTCTTGAATTAATCAAACTTAATATAATAGTGTAAATACACTTGCTTCTTCACTGAAAAAAATTTTAATGCATCTTAGCACCGAAAATGGGGGCAACTACTGTATACCAAAGTAGTGTTGGACAGTTCCGACAGCAACAGTGTTCTTTATATTACTCGGTGAAGAAAAGCTGTCAGCAGTTATGATCTACAGTAACAGAAATATTTATAATTACTGTAAAATAAAATGCTCATAAGAGTTATTAAAGTTATTTTTATGAGACAATATAAAGTAAGAATCATTTGTTTAGGATGCTTATATTCCTTAATTCTTGAAATAAAATTAGTTTTTTTAATCAAACATACTCGTAATACAGAAAGAATATTAAAAACTCGAACTAGACATAATGAAACTGAAGCAGATATTATAAAATTATTTAATACAGCTTACAGATACTTAAAGACTAAAATATAACTATCCTTACTACACAACTAAAAACGTACATACATACCGTAACGTCGAAATTTTCTTTAAGTAAATGTATAACAGCATTAAAGACATCAACTACTTGTAGCAATCGGTAACTTGCATTCAAATGTAAACTAGTTACAGATATCTAAAACTCTTCAACAATTTGTGTGATTTAGGAAGTGAAAATATTTAAAGCATGGTGTGAAAGCGCGTGAGATTGGAGTAAACATTTTCTATTAAAAGAGTTTCAGATTTATTCACAGCCTTTAAATTGTATTTGAAAGTCCGATTTAATACGAACTTGAAGAAAGATATTCCTTCACACAATTTCTTAGGTTGTTCACCATCAAATTCGGAGAGATGGTACTCCACAGTTTTTAAAGTGTTATGTTAATTTGATTGAAATAAAGATTTAAATATTTTATCCATTACCTAGCATTAACCTATGTCTATAATTTTGAAACTTATAAGAAAAATGTTTCTAATAAATATGTTGTTTAAACCGAAGTTGAGGAAATAAATGTATTTATATTTGTTCAAAAAATATTCTTTAAAGGTATAAAGGTAATATAGGAAAATACCGTGGATCGTAAGAAAAAAAAACTATTTAAAAAATTCAATTTATTCAAAACTTGACAAATATTTCTATTATTCATAAATACTATTCATAAAATTTAAATTATTTAAAACTTGAGAAATATTTTTACTATTCATAAAAACTATTAATAAAATTAAAATTATTTGAAACTTGACAAATATTTCTACTATTCATACAAACTATTCATAAAATTAAAATTATTTAAAACTTCACAAATGTTTCTACCATTCATAAAATTTAAATTATTTAAAACTTGACAAATATTTCGATTATTCATAAATTTCAAATTACTTAAAACCTGACAAATATTTCCTTGCCATTAAAATTTCTTTTGTCAATTTTATAACGCGCTATTTCAAGCCAATTTCTTGTAATATTTTAAATCAGTATGATTTATGATTTTACATCAAAATGCTGAATTTTCCTTGAAAAGGCTAAACATCTAATGAAATTTTCAAAGCGTGTTTTGAAATTATCTGCTCCAATTTATGTTTTGAACAAGCCAAACAATTAAAATAATCCTAATTTGCGCAAAACATGACTGAAGCATTTGTAACTTAAAACTTTAAAATTTATAATGCTGAACTAAATATCCGGTACATATAAACCATAATTTATTTTTTGGAATAATTTTAAATTCAAAATTTTATACTAATTTTTAATGTATCTATCATAAAACTTTGAAAAATAAAATAAATTCTTTTTTAGGTAAAACATTGCGTGATATAGATAGAACAGATACACTACAAGCAGAAACAAATAGTTTAGACATCAGTCATGTTCCTTCCTGGTGGGCAATAAAAAGGTAAATCTGAGTTCAATTAATTTCTATGTTTATTCACTGACCAAGTAAAAAATATTTCTGGTGATAAGTTACGTAAAGATAACTTGACATTCTTTAACTTCTTCATATATTGCCATTTAGTCGTAACTTAGCACTGAAATATTTCATCTCCTGGTCTGTAATTAGATCTTAATTATAATAAAAATTGCAAAATCATAAAATAAAAATATTTTACAGGAAAAAAATTAGTCGAAACAATAGAAGGTTAAGAAGAATGTGCCGAAGAATGGTGAAATCAAAAGCCTTTTATTGGATTATTATTGTTCTTGTTTTCCTAAACACTTTAGCATTAGCCTCAGAGCACAATAGCCAGCCACCTTGGTTGGATTATTTTCAAGGTAATTATTTATCTGGAAAACATTTTATTTTGAAGTTATTTTGTATCATTTTAATGGTTAAGGGATTAGGAAAAAAAAATTCCCCTCCAACGAACACTTTATTTTAATTGAGGGAATTAATATCCAAACTTTCTTTAAAATAAAAATTTAGTCAACTATATTAAGCTTAATGCAATATATTGATTAACAGGATTGGCGAATAGAAAAAAAGCGATTCCGACTTTCAGTACGTTCTGAGAGTATACATACGCACGAGACAGGGTGAACCAAATTTCATTTAATACCATTACTGCAATTAAATGCGCTAAAATATGTATTGATAGTAGTCGAATATACTGTTATAAAATATTCTTAATATTTATAAAAACAAATGTGAAACAATTCTTCGACCTAAGACATGCAAAGTACTATCTAGCAAATCCAAACTGAAAACGTCAAGTCTACACTCGGATAAACCAATTGGTATTCCATTGTTTTCTTACAATGACTCACACTTCCGTTCTTTTCTCAAGCTTCTCACAATGACAAAGTGTAAGCAAAAATCCAGAGCACAGTAATTCAGCTACCCAATCCTTCTGAAAGATCCGAACACGAGTAATTGTTTAAATGTTTAAATACCCGTATCAAATAAAAATAATAATGAAATGTGAAGAAAAAAACACACAGATTAAGTCTTAAACAATGCAAAACGTAGCTTTCTTCAATGACCAAATTTTATAACATAAAAATAACAACTGTAATCGCTTTATTACGATCTCTGATTAGCCATTGGTCAAATTTTTTTCCCCTTCTGACTCCGATAAACGCCACAACTTTTCAAATCATGGGTTGCAAAAACTGTTTCAATTGATGTTTGTCCTCATGTCGTCAGATTGGTTTTCAAATCTTGCCTATATACGTGTTTCAAGATGTCACAAAATACTTTTCCTTCGCCAGTATTCATATTTACAATAAAATCACAATCAGGAAAGCGATTATAAGTTAATAATAAAAAAATATTAAAATTCTTTAAGTTATTATTATGTAAATACCTGCTGGTGAAAATAAAAGGAAAAAAAAAGAATTCTAAAAATACTATCAAACAGCAGCGGTGAGCATAGCAACGCATGCACACTGTTTACTGTTAATCTTGAACACAGTTGAAAAGTGTGATGACGTCCAAATAAGGTGCGCGAGCCATCAAACCCAAAACAACACCCATTTTGCCAATGGGTAAAAAATACTCGGGAAAAAAAAGCGTATATTGAAGGTCAAGCTACCGTCTGCAATTACTCGAATCAGTCATCTAATGCTGTTTAAAAACTGAAGCAAAATGTTCCAAATTAAAATCACCGTAGTGTGATCACGGGCAGCTGGTGTCGGAAAGGGTCGTCCCATGTACGATACCGTGGGCCATGTAAGGAATATTGCCTCATCACGGCCCTGAAAGTATTTACGCAATTGCTTAGAAAATATACAACATTAAATAAAAAGAGTATGAGTGAGAACTCAGTTATGATTAAAACACGGGAAACTTGCTTGAAAAGGAACATCCTGCCTTCCAACGCAAACGGTATTAAAAATAGATAAAAAAAAATTACAAAATATTTCATGATGATGTCGTAATTATTTAATTGAAAGTTATCATGGCCTTCGATTTACGAGTATGTTAATTTAAACTACTTTACCAGTATAGTTTTTATTATAAAATATTCGAAATATTTATAATCTCTATTAATTTACATTGTAGATATATTAATAATACATATTATGAAATATTCGAAAGATTTATAATCTTAATTAACTTACATTGTTATGTCTCTCTTTTAATTGCAGAAATTGCCAACCTATTTTTTGTTGCCCTTTTTACATTGGAAATGCTACTAAAAATATTCAGTCTTGGCTTCCAAGGATATTTTGTATCACTTTTCAACCGTTTTGATTGTTTCGTAGTGTTGAGTTCTATTTTAGAAACAGTTTTAACTTACTCGGACGTTATGCCACCTTTAGGTATTTCTGTTCTGAGGTGTGTTCGCCTTCTTAGGATATTTAAAGTAACTAAGTAAGTATTAAATTTTTTTATTAGGATCTTAGAACTACAATTTTTTTTAAAAATATTTTATGTTTAATTTTTTTAATATGTATTGCGTCTTTAAGAGTTTTAAAATTTTCGAGTTCTTCACATATATTTTGAAACAGTACATTCACTATAAGCAACGAATATATATATGGGTAGAAGTCTAGCTTTCATTAACATAATGTAAACTTGTCCCAGAAGGTTAGGCGTGGTCTCTATGTTTAAGGGACAAAACAACATTTAGGGGCACAATAGCAGAGGTTCTATAAACTGGACCCTTCTCTCTTCCCAACCAATGCTGGAAAAGGGGAAGCGTGGGGTTAAAAACGAAAAGTTTTTATTAAATTATTAATTATTATTTTTAATTAAATCTGCTAACACATTTTGATATAGAAAGAAAGAATAAAATGGTACTTGGGAGGGAAGCAGTGTACCTAACCATGCATGTAAAGTTGTCCAAGAATTGGTTCACAGGTGACGTACCACTTTGCTTACCACTTTGCATGCGCTGGAACTTCATTCAAAGGACACTCCTCTAAGTCTGAGTAGCTCACCCTTTAAGTAGTTTTTCTGGTATAGCTTACCAAACCAAGCAGTTCCCCGATTTCGTTACACATTCGAAGAGCTGGATTTCTTCTGGGCATTCGCTATTAAGATACAAAATGTTAAAGAAAAAAAAACCAACGTAGCCATTAGTGGTGATACAAACGAAACATTTTATATTAAAAATAATATTTTTACTTTATAAAAACATTTGATTTGATGTCTCGTTTAAATATATTTTATTTTATAATGCCTTGCGCATTGAAAACTAGTTTAAACTTTTTCATTGTAAAGCAACTCACAGAAGTAAATTGAATGTGAAACAAAAATAAAAGGTTTCCTAAAAGCGCATAAAGAAGCAGATAATTAAATTAAACTACTTCATAGACTATTTGATAGACTAATGTGATATTTTTTTTCGGAACTTTAATATTTTCAAAGTAAACTTAAGTCGTATTGTCACGGAGAAAGAGTCGGAGATATTTCAGAAAATCTAACACATTTATTGATTTAATGAGACACTTCAAGTTCTCAATAAAGAAGGCAACTGACGCTTCTACTTGAAACATTGGAGCTCTTATTGATATGAATAAGGAACAAGAAATGACGTAATGTAATGTTCTAGAAATTTCTAAAAGACAGAAAATATGACTATAGGCTTAAGTAGCATATATACATATTTATAATTCGTCTATGAAAAGAATTTCCCTAGCTACAAAGTCTAAGGTCGCCTGTTGCGATAGAAACAAGGAATAGAGTATTTTAAACAGAGGGTGCTTTTGTCTTCCTTAATTTCATTTTTCTCCTCAACTCGAGCCAAACGTAGCTTAAAAATTGATCCAACACTCCTACTTGAAACAATTATATCTCGTAACCATAATCACCGACACTGCTTCAAACGAATAGCGAGAGAAGTTTTTTCCATAGACAGACTATAAATTGTTTCGAACTTTGGGGATCAAAACTCGCCACCTTTGCCTTGCCAGGACAATGACTATAACCACGTCAATGTTTTATTACACATGGCATTAAAATGTGCTACACAGTCTAACTTCTTGTTCAAAACATAATTTAAAGCCGAATCTTAAAACCAAAAAAATAAACGTGAAAAAATGAAAAAAAGTATAGTTTTACTTTATGTAAGATAAAAAAAAACACTGTTTAAAATAATTAAAAATTGACTTAATTTCAAAATTGATCATTTTTAATAAATTGAAGAAGTACATTCTCTGAGTATATTATAAATATAACGTTAAATTACGAGAAAGCTAATAAGCCTATTTTAAACCAAAAACATTTCAGGCACAAAAAAAAACATGAACATTTTTCTTAGAATTTAGAAACATCCATACTGAAAACCTTTCTAGTATTAACTTGGTACCATTCTACAGAATTCTTAAGCCTGTCCTGTAAAAACCAGTAATGTTTCCGAAATAAATAATTATCTTTGAACTGTGAATGAGTACAGTGCTTTTTCAAGCCATATCATAACCGTGAAATGTGGCTTAGTTAGTTGGTTTAATGGGGCCATCTAGAACATGAGAGAGAGATAGTACTAGAGTTTATCTAGTCGATTGAATCGAATGGCGATGACCAAAGCTAAGGTATTGCTTATCTATGTCCGCTTAACCCTTTGACGCAGAAGGGACACAGGTGTCATTTTATATATTTTTTCTGGAGCTCTAATAACAAGCATAAATATATTTTGGTATTATATATAGTTATTAAAAACAGTTTAATAGTTACTAAAAATCTGTTAGATTATCGGAATTATATTTATACAAAAATGTNAAAAAAAAAAAAAAAAAAAAAAAAAAAAAAAAAAAAAAAAAAAAAAAAAGAAAAAAAAAATTATCTTTTTTATTTTCAAAAGTAAATTAATAAATGGTTTTATACATTTAATAAATTTCAATTATAGATAACTGTTTCTCTTAGATCTAAAAAACTGCAAGCAAGTGCAAATGTGAAAAATTCTTCTTTGAAAGTGTTTGGAAGATTTCTTCCTTGGAGCGGAAAAAGACAACCGGTGTTCATGCTGTATTTCATTTCTATTAAAATGCTAAATTTAATATTTTTAACTTTATTGACATAAATTAACACAAAATAATTTTAAAAAGGTTTCAAAAATATGTTTAAGAAAAGTTCTGTGTTATAGGATTGAAACGATTGTGCACGTAAAAAACATTCTAGTAAAATTACCGCATTGTATGGTAATAATATTTCTGACTAAAAAACAACTTAATTCTGGTTATTAAAACCAAAATGTACCATATTTAACCTATTTATTTGGTAATTTTTCGTTCATATAGCAATGGTTTACCACAGAATCTAGTTTTCATCACACATATAGAAAACTTAAAAATCAATCTAACAGAATAAATGTTTTTTTGCCATACTCTAAGATATAATAAAATTTCTAACATTTACCAAATTTTGTATCATACATTGTATAAAATTATATCATATAAAAAATTTTACCAAAATCCAAATTTTATCATTATTTTTACCTAAACGCTTTATCTCCAAAGCTGAGAATCTTCTAAGAATTTATGTTCCTGTTCATGTGATGCATTCACTATCTAGTCACGTTTTTCAGCTGTAAAGAAAAGAATTCGAGAAGAAAGTCAGACAAGTGTCTCCACAGCCATTTCTTAAAAAAATAAGAATCGATTTCTTTGTGCGATAATCCAAAAAAATAATAATGTTTTCTAGTTAAGTCAGACAGATTAAAAAATAAAGTTCTATGATAAATTACTGCTGCTAAAAAGAAATGATAAATCTGAGTAACTATGTTTTGTGATTAATGTAACATAATATTATTAAAGTTTTTAAGAAAATACATATTTTAATATAATAATATTTTGCATTATATCTAATTATTAAAATTGATCATGCTTAATGATTTGTAGAAGAGTTTTAACTAAACGTAAATGAAATTATAAAATGTGTAATAAACCAAAGTAATATTTCCAAGTTGGTATTTCATCTAACTGAACTGTGAATAATGAAGCAGTTAATAAATCTTAAACTTATCCATTTTTTGTAAATAATTTCATTTAGAAATGAGTTTTTTAATAACTAACTTAATTTTGAGTAACTTGTCATTAATCAAGACTTGACGTTATGACTTGAATTGCAGACTATTCTCTTTTTGATAATTTAAAAGATGTATATCACCCGCAACGTTTCCTGAATTGTAGCCCTATTTATAACAATAAATAAAATGTCTCACTTAATGTCATATTTTTAACAATTCTTTCCATTTGTTCTTTATTAAGGAAATCAGCATTAATATATAGATTTTGTGCCATGTTTGAGAGACGTATCTACAAAATAAAAAAAGTTTAAAAACTATTGTTAACCACGTACTTATTTTGCTAAAAAACACGCTTTCCAACCTAAATAATCTAAAGTCAACTCGCATTGAAAGAATATTAAAACATAAAATATACTCTAAAAGCCATTACACTGAAGAATTTCATTAGATGGGGTAAAATATTGACTTGTGTAATTCGCTGTAATTCGTAGAATTTTTTCAGTGCCGAATATGGTATGTTACGTTTACCTTTCTTCTGGTAAATAGAACTAAACTAAAGCGTGTTCTGATTAATTTAATAACGTCAAGTTACTGTAAATGATATCAAGCATAGGAAGGATAAAGGGAAAATGTGTAAAATATGTTGAAAGTTTGAAGTGGATAATTTGTAATATGGTTAAAAAGGTTAAAAGTTAAGGATGTACCACGACACTTACTAAACAATTATTAGAAAAATACGAATATGACTGCAGTGTGATATTTGACTTTTGCGAATTGACGTAAAACATATAAGTAAACACATTTCTTATTTGTTTGTATAATGACAGTTAATTAATCTAATTATGTAAGGTCACGAGAAATTGCCAAATTAAAGTTATGTATTTAACGAAAACTCTGAGAGAAAAAATTTTGTTTTGCTAAATAGATGTGTTGCGTGCCCTTATGCCTTTAGTTTACATAAAATGATTATGAAATATTAAGACCAGAAATTCTTACTTTTGTGAAGTATTTACTGTTTATACAAATAAATTAATGTGTTTTTTTTTATCCAATCTAAGCCGAGATCAGCAGCTAGTAAAAATGAATGAAATAAATAACATTAAAATAAACACTCATATAAGAAAACACTTACTTAAGAGTATTTCTCTAAGTTCTGATAATATCCTTTTGTTTTCTAATAAAGCAGAAGTAATGTAGTATAAATAACTCGGCCCTTATACGTTGTGTTTTGCTTTTCTGTAACACGTCACAAGGATATTCTTCGTATTTGGTTTCTTTAAGTTAGAATTCAGAGTAAATAAAATTATATTACCTGAAAATATTACTAGTAATTTCCATATTTCTGTCAATATCTATATTCTGTAATCTTTAAATTATAGATCTTACAACCAGTCATTTAAAATACAAAACAGAAAAGCAAATTTAACCGTATGAAAAACGGTTTTCATGCTATGCTCAAAGATATCCTGATAAAACAACCAAATTTTTCCACGTTCACCAAAATTTTATTTTTTTAAAACCATATTTTTTTGTTACTTTTTAATTACTACAAAAGATCTTCGGTAAAAATTGTCGAGTGTTTTGGTGTTCCCATAGAGCTGGGAACATTGTGAATATTACCATGCTCTGGTAGATTTGACAGTACTTTTTTCTTCAGGTAGAATTGTTTTTGATAATTTGAAAAAACTGATTTTTTTTTAAAATTAAAGTGCGTACTTACAATTTTCCTGTAGTCTGATGGATGCAGACAAACACCAAAGGAAATAAATATATATCGATATTGTTACCAAATTCCCGAATGATTAATAATTCAAAAGGTAATCCCTTCAAGTAGTTTTCTTACTTGAAATTAAACCTGTTTCTTGTTTCAGATATTGGTCATCTTTACGAAATCTGGTGGCTTCCCTAATAAATTCCATGCGATCAATTGCTAGTTTGTTGTTGCTTCTTTTTTTATTCATCGTAATATTTGCTTTACTTGGAATGCAAGTGTTTGGTGGAAAGTTTAACAACAATCCACATGAGGATAAGCCGAGAAGTAATTTCGACTCTTTTTGGCAAAGTCTGTTGACGGTTTTTCAGGTGAGATATCTTTTAGTAAATAAATTTAAAACTCTTACTTTCCAGATAGGCGTGTATCCATCGATTTAAACTTTAATGGCTTCAAGCCAAAGAATATACATAGGAGAAGAAGCCTAGCTTCCATTGTTACAATCCTCCAAGCAAGGCCACCACCTCAGATAAAACCTTGGAATTTTACATTGACAACCCAGTGCTTTAAATAGCTATAGCTGCATATATCAATATTTAATTTCATGAAATAATTAGTTTCATTCTGCTTAATTTTAAAATACATGTTTATTCTACATGTTTATTGTAAATACGAAAATGAATTTAATGAAGATTATTTTAGAATAATTAAAACATATTCTTTCAAAAAAATTATAATGTAAAAAAGCAAACAATATGATGATATTTAATGAGATAGGGATTAAAGTAATATCAAAATAAATTTAATTTAAATAGTAAATATTGCAAATTCTAACAATGGTATGGTACTTTTATAAACAGGAAATATGCTAGTATTAGCTTTAATAAAATTCAAGAAAATAAATTTTTTTACAAATTTTAGAAAGTGTAAGCATTGCTACTACTAAATACTTAGTAATGCAATGATCTTTTGCGTATGCATTATTAAAAAATATGATGCAGTATTTACCTCACTGCTTTGATGTTGGAGGAAAAAAACATCTGAGATATCAAATTGAGCTTCAATTATAACTTTGCTGCGAATACCGTTAATTTGAAATAATTCTTTTAAAGAGAACACTAATAGATTTAATTTATTTTTCAAAAGGTAATAGATTTTTTCAAAGAAATTGTTCCAATTAATGACCCAATTTTTATTAAAAAAATAATTTCGAATAAAATAAAATAAATATTATTTATTCGAAAAAAATATATTAAAAAACTCTGCTGAAGAAAAATAATCTTTTTTGAAGATACATTCACTGTAAATAAATTTCGGATCAAATTACAGTATAAATTACCGGCACTTTGGGTACATTATCCGTAAAATCTATTTTTACCGTGAAATATTATACCGTACTGTGGAGGAGGTTTGTTATTTTCATAAGTTTTATCATACATTTTATTTAAATCCGAAATAATTTTATCCAAATAATGACCTTTATCTATTTGTTGTACCTGAATATCGGGATTATAAGTATCAAAAATTAAGGACAAATTTCGACCGAAATGTATTACATTAGGTGAAAATCCAGTTGTGCTCTGCTTAGCACCATTATACAAATTTTTATGAATTCTTGCTGCAGCTTTAAAATTTACGCCATCTTTCATTAAAGAATTTATTGTTGATTTTATGCTGTTATTAATTCGTTCACTAACAGAATTAGCGGCGGGATGTGCACAAGTAGTGTGATTCATTTTAATTCCTAATGATTTTGAAAAATATTCAAATATTTCTGATGTAAATTGAGTACCTAAATTACTAATTCAAAACTATTTTAATTCGCAATAATTTTTCTTTCAATGAATAAATGGTTTCACTGATAATTTTCTTTACAGATTTTAACTGGAGAAGATTGGAATGAAGTAATGTATCATGGTATCAACGCATATGGAGGCGTTGGATCACCTGGTGTCTTAGCCTGTATTTATTTTATTATTTTATTCATTTGCGGAAACTGTATCCTTTCGGAATTATTTATTCTCTTTTTTTTGCACTTATCGTATCTCAAAATTTTTAAATATAATCTTGTTGTATTTTTTTCTTCTGAAATAGTCATTATTACTACCATTGTCTAATTGAATTAATCTACACATCCCTTAAATGTTTAAATTTAATTATTATTTATTATACAATTACTCAGACGCTTTCAGAAACACACTGTTTGATATAACATTTAACCTACTAAATTGATATTTAAGTATTGATTGTGGTATTAGATTAAATTCAGGCTTTTGTATACAATGAGATTATACTGTTTATAATAATAGTCTTCTAAAACATTCTTATAACATTTCGGCGAAATTTTGTTTCTGAATTTTTCTATACAAATTCTTGCCTTTCTTAATAAACTGTTTATAAATAAACTGAAATTAAAAACTTTCGCGTAGTTATTTTTGTGTTATAACATATTATCTCTTTATATTGTATATTATTTTTAAACTGTGTTATTCTACATAAAAACAATAAATGTGAAAATTAATATGGATTCATTTTAAATTTTTATCTTAAATATTCTTTAATATTCTTTGAAATTTACTTTTTAAAAACATTTAAGACTAAAAGGAAGAACACTCAGTTGAAATTAATTACTCCTGTTCATTAAATGTTTACCTAAAAATAACACCATTTCAGCAATTATTAGCCATTTGGTGACTATTTAAACATTTTAAGAACTTTTAATGAGATTTCCTTCTTTTGTAGTTGTAGGGTAAATTTTTTTCATCAAATTTAAGGGAAAATTTCTCGCTGCAGTCTCAAATTTTCATGAAGTGTTTTCATGCACTAACATCGAATCTTGATAAAACTTTAAAATTGTTACTTTGATTTTTATAAAGAGATAACATAAATCTAAACAAGGTGCTAATTCAAAGAAAAGAATTAAACACTATTGTTTTTATTTAATATTTGGTCCAAAATTCCATAAATAAATTTGTTAAATTTGTCTCTAGACTATCTTTTAAATTTTGTTTTGATTTTTGCCAAGAATTGTATTTCCAATACGAGTCTTTTGTTAATATGTCAGTAAACTACATTTTTCAGATGTGACAAATACATAAAAATTTCCTTAGCAAATTTAGATATCTTGTTAAACGTATTTTTAGCTATCGCTGTGGATAATTTAGCTGATGCAGAAAGTCTAACAGCAATAGAAAAAGTATATAAATTATATTGATTTTAGTTTTTTTAAAGAATTTTTTTCATATAAATGTATATACATTTATCACTGTTAAAAATGTTATGCTTCTAAACTAGCTTCAAAGCAAACTGTTGCTTTTACCACATCAAAAGCTACAATTTGTTCTGAAGTTATCGTAAACTCTATGTAGTTGATTTTCATCTTCGTATTTTCTTTCAAAATCATGTTTATTTGTTTGTGTACTTCTAATTTCTTATATTAAAATTACAAAAGCAATAGAAATTAAGTAATAATATTATTAAATATACAGATAAATATTAAAAACGTTTCGTCTAAGCGAATAAAATTTCAAACCAAAAAATTTTGTAAACCTCTACTGTTATTGAGCAGGAAGAAGAAGAAAATGAGAAAGAACAGGGGAGCATCATTTATTCAAAAGATGATGATTTTGAAGATGAAGACGGAAGGCATACCAGCAAAAGAAGGAAAAAGAAAAGACACAGCATCTCTTCTTCCAGTTGTTCTATGGAAAAAGCTGTTAAGCCTGAAACACCTCAGATGAATCATAATATGTTCATTCGCATGTAAGTTTTGAAATAAATGATCATTAAGCTAAATTAATAATCTAAAAAAGACTGTGGTCGATAACTGTCGTATCAGAAAAAAAAATTAAAATACGCTTGCTCCTTGCTTTGCTTATTCAATAATTAACCAACACTAATATGTTCTGTAATTAAATAATTTGATTCATCCATTCATTTCACATCCACTCTTCTATTCATTCACTCACTCAATCTCACATTCATTCATTCCTTCAGTCACTGATAATTCACTCATTCTCTAATTTATTCATTCACTTAACTACCCCGTCTTTTATTTATTCATTCATTCACTCAGCTACTCATTTTTTAATTTATTTATTCATTCAATTACTCATGTTTCATTCTTTCATTCACTCTGTCATTCATTCACTCACAATCCCGTATTCATTTAGCTTCATTTATTCATTTGCTACATTATTATTCAGTTTATAACGAACTCTTCAGCACGCTATTGTTTGATAATAATGCTCACTTGAGTATTTATCTTCTCTCAGATCACATAGGTTTTTAGACCTATACATTATTTCTGTGCCAATATAATGTTTATTAGTTATATTTAATTAATTATATTTAATAAATTATATTTAATAAATTATATTTGATGAATTATATTTAATAAATTATATTTAATAAATTATTTTTAATTATTGTTGAAGTATATTATCTATGGTTTTATTGTATGGCATTTTATTTTGGTATTATCGGAATATTTTATAAGAAAGACAGAAGACAACCATAGGGTTTTAGACCTATATATTATTTCTGTGTCAATATAGAGTTTATTGTCTGTATTTAATTAAATATAATTAATTATATTTAAATAATTAAAATTAATTATACTTCATTAATTATAATTAATTATATTTAATTAATTATAATTAAAGTTTATTATCTATATTTTTATCGTATGGAATTTTATTTCGGCATTTTCGGAATATTTTATAAGTTACAAAAAATGATTTTTTTGTTTTTAGGCAACGAGAAAAAGCTGACAACCTGGTAAGAATTTTCATTTTTCTTTTCACTATTATTCTAGAACTAATGTTGCTCTCGATTACAAAATCTGTTTCCGTTGAATTTGCTGATTGATCTCGTTGATTTGCTCGTTGACATACTTATTGAGCTCAAGCGAAACCCTTCTTTTGAAAGAGGGTTGGTTTTAAAATTAAGTCACTACTAAAAAAGCTATTTAACTTTCATTTGAACTATATAAGCAGCATATACATTATCGTTTGAATGAACTATATTAAAATACTTTTATTTGTTTGCTTAATTAAATTTTATGTTGCTTCTGCCACTTTTTTCATAAAAAGTTATACTCGAAACTCCCGAAATCATCCCTAGCAGCAAAACAACTCGGGCCCTTATTGAGCCAATATTCATAATTCTTGGCTCACTAATTGTTCAAAGGGCCGTTATTTTCCCGATATTAGAACTATATCGAACTTTTGATATACGCGATATTTTAAAGCCTCTTTACAACCAATATCGGTCATAATTAGAATTGCCAGATTCACTCTATATTTTATATAAATTATTCAGCCAATGTAGGTTCTATATTTTGGCCAATATAGGCCCTATATAGATCATTCTAAGATCAATATTAAACAATCTATCTATCCCAATATTGGTCCCTGGTGCATGTTCTTATAAGACACATATCGAGCCAATTTTAAGCCCAACTAGGGCCAAGGTAAAATTGTTACTAGGGATCTTCGCTTTGATTAAACTGCATTTTAGGCATGCTCCACGCAAATATTTCGCCAAATTTAGGAAATTAATTTCATCACTTGCTTGAGGATATTGATTTTATCATAAATATTACGCTAATTGCAACGCATCACAATCGATTAGGCATTCAATTTCAGAATTGATTAGGAAGAACAAGATAAAAAAAGAGATTCATTGAAAGAGTTCTTTGTCATATCTAAAAAAAGAAATCGAGAGACTGTTTGACAGGATAGATCTTAGTGCAGCAATGTATTTCCAATATCTTTGAAACGTTAAAACTGCTTAAAATTTAGGTAAAATTTGATGAACTTCTATAATGCACTGAAATGATACAAGAGTAAAAAAATAGTTCCGTAAAATATTAATGAGTTCATGTAAGTCAAAAGTGGCAGAATTTATGATGAAATAATAATAATAATAATAAAGCGAAATGCAGCTTAAAGATTAAAAAATTTTCAAAAATGAGAGTTTTGTTTCTTATTGTAAGATTAATCTTCTGAAGTAAGTTACGTAATTGTAAGAACTCCGGGGTATAACAACAGGAGGATTATCCTGCAAATAGGAAATTATTCTGCTAAAAATATGAATTATACGAATGAAATTTCAAAAGTCACAAGATATCTTGATGAAATAGTAATAATTATAATAATAAATGAAATATAGCTTAAGGATTACTAAATTGTCAAAAATGAGCGTTTTATTTCTAATTGTAAGAATAATCTTCTGAAACTATTTACGTAGTTGCAAGAGCTCAGGGGTATGACTATTAGAGGATTGTTCAGCAAATAGGGAATTATTCTGGAACAAATATGAACTGTTAGGATGAAAAGTCAAAAATTGTGATGAGTGAATAAGCAAGGATAAAATAAAAATTTTCATTTCATTCAGTTATAATATTAAATCAATAATCTATTATATAAAATCTGTGGAAAATAAATGCTTAATGACATGAATTTCAATTATGTGTTCTTCTTTCTTGCTTAGATAACTTAAGCTAAAACTGGATTTAGAGAATAATGTTTTTAAAATATTTTACAATTGTATCCCATAAAATTTACGATTTAAAACCAGCAGTTGGGTTGGTTGAGTAAAATCGTAAAATTTGTGAAGTAAATCCGTAGCCTCAACGGGTTTTTAGCGTACAAGAACAATTTTTTAAAAAGTAAAATTACAAAAAAAACTCCGCAATCAGACTGAGCTTTTACCGCAATAAAACACGTTATTACCGCAAAAATATGTTTATTGTCTCAATAGATTTTTAACATATGGAGAAAAGTTTTCTCTTGCGAAAGTTACGAAATAAATCTGTAATCACACCATATGGGAATCTTTTATGTCACTTCACTAAAAAGAACTCGCTGTGTACCCTGAGCCACTGAGGCTCGAATAGTTTATTATGAAAAAATTGTTATACTGAGAATTTCTCTTCAGTATTCTATCAGTTTGACTAAATAGTCGAATCGCAATTTTGTTTATGCGATGTTCTAAAACATAAAGTAATTGCTAAAAAATAAGAGCAAATATAGATAAAATGATTAAAAAAAAGCATAAAGTTACATTGCGGAACTCAAAACTCCAGTGCAAAAATTAGGAGTTCAATTGAAGGTTTTAATCCCTTTGAGATTTAGGTGAAAAACGGAGAAAAACCGGTTTATCAACAAAACGGATTTAAAACGTTAAATATACAGAGAAATTACGAAAAAACAGCGGGGAATTTTTACAGCATATGTGCAGTTAATTTTTGATGACCAATTAGTTTCATACAGATTAAAACTAAATCATCATAAAAATTCTAATTTTTTTTAATTATTTTCCTTTCTAGATAAAAACAACTCAAGACTCTGCTTATGAGAAAGTAGATGGCGAGGCAGAAAATGAAGTAACGGCAAGTACGTTGATTACATTTCTTTTCTGAAAGATTTTTACTAATTTTTCAAACCTTGCGTTACGTTATTAATACATAAGCACCTACATAAGTTCAGCATATCTAAACTTATATGTAGTAATTCTCTGACCTCTTCTTTTCTTTTTTCCAACTCCTAGCATACTCCTCATTGTGGTTCATCATGGGTTTTTTTTTCTACGTACTTGGCCTTATATAGTTTAAAAAGTACGTAGTAAAAAACTACTCAGAAAATATTTCGTGCTAAACGCGCTAATGAAACGCTTTTCTGCCATAACCGTCTTTGGGAACTTGTTGCGATTTTTGTTATTTAGTATCATTCGCGGCTAATATTTGCTGTTACAAAGAGTTTTCACAAAGAGTCTTATAAGCAATGGGCTTATGAATTATTCATGCTGCAAATATTGTCAGACGTTTTATTATCTAATCTCGCTCAGAAAACGATACACCAAGTGCCAATTTATATGGAAAAGGCTTAACTAAGGACAGGAGTTTCGGAAAAGTGTTTAAAAATTTTTAAATTGTTTTCTACTAACCCATTTCTTTTCAAATGATCACAGCTACATCTGTATAAAAACGAAAATCTGAGAAAAATAAAATATTTATTCATAAGATATTCCGAAAGATATTCGTGGTCTTTAATAAATCGAGAACGGTGGTAACGAACTGCGTTTTCTTTGAACTTAAAGTTCGTTCCGTTTTAGCAAAAAAAACCTTACAAATGAAATTCATTGGCTATCATAATTAATAATAGCATATAAATCCATAGCCTGATTTCGACAAAGTTGATAATTAATGAATTATTCATCAACGAAGCAATGGTGATAGTTAGCGTATTTGTTTTGTTTTTTAATATTAGCATATGTTGTACTGAATATATTAAAAACAAAATACGTCATGATACCCACGATGCCATACGAGCATGCGAGAGACAAAATATGAATCATATCGCACGTGCGCAATATGATGATTTTATTATACTTACATATTGTCTTGATTTTTGACAGTTCGATTTTAAATCTTGAAATACTTGAAATTCTACGTATTTAAAAAGGCAGAACAGCTGGTCCTCGGTGGCGGCTAAGAGGTTATAAAAATGAACTTTGAAAATTTTCAAACTGCATTTTAGAATTCCAAAATCAAAAAAAGAACTTTTACAAATAAAGTTTTATTAAATATTAGAATTGCACCTTCTGCTTACGAATCATTTTCGTTTCTCAAAACAGTAATATTTAGTAGCAATTTTTTTCTTTCAAAACAGTGATATTTTGTAGCCATTTCTGTTTCTCCAAACAGTGATATTTCATAGCTATTTTAACTTCCCGACTCAAAGCAGACTATTCCTTTATGTCAAGATTACTCAAATAAAAGACGCAAAATCGCTTCATTGTATTATGTTTCTCTAAATTGTTTGATTATTTGCTTAACCTCATTCAAAGATTTGATTTATTTCCGAACTGCGTAGTTATTCAAAGAGAGGAAAAGCAATATATTGCTTAAAAATAGAATGAACTCGTCCTCTTATTTCTACAAAGAAAATAAGTATTTCCTTAAGATTGCTAAATATGACAGTATAAAGCATGTTTTATCAACAACAAAAATAAAGGGGGAACACTTTAGTTCCGACTACCTCACTACTTAATTTACTTTATTTTCACACCAAAGAAAATTATTAATAAAGATTAGAAATGGAAAACATCAAGAAAAAAAGAAAACAAATTACAAAATATGGGATTATATTTATTTTTCTTTAAACGTCAACTCGTCCCGCAGTGTACTGATCGTTAAGAGACGGTTCCCAGCAGATCACCGAAGTCAAGCATCACTGACTGCTGTCAGTGTGCGGATGGGTGACCACTTGGGTCTGCGTAGTCTGTCTTAGGTGTCTGCGTAGGGACCGAGGGTGTGCGGTATTGGTCCTCGTTAAACTTTTCTACTGTAAAGTGCTCGGCTTCGCGTGCAGGTCGTCTGGCTACCGAAGTGGGGGTGCCATCCCCTCTGCAGAGGATCAAAATTGTGATGGTATGTCTTCGGATCATCATCAGGGAAGTTTGCCAGACCGTCGCCAATAGCCCATTGTGCAGCTCTAGTGCAACGTAAATGAACAAATCAAATAAAATTGAACGTCAACTCAGTTATGTTTTTACTTTATGTTTCTCTTTTTTTCACATTTCTTACATTTTACATACTTATTAAGGTTCATAACTATATAATAATATAGTTATAAACTTTCATAATATTATGTGAAAGTTAATAATTTTACAAAGTTTTAATAAGGCTTATAACTTTTCATATAATTATAAAAAAAAAGAAAAAAACTATCGAACTAGCATTTATTTTCCTTTCAGAGGAGCAATAAAAATGATTTGCTCATCGCATCTGTAAAAAATTAATTTATCATAATCATTGTGAGAAGACAACAAGTAATTTAATCATGTTTTCAAAGCAACATTAACATCTTTCATCTTATAACTGCATAGTATATTTTGAATATATTACTTTTAGTCAATTTAAATGAATCAACAATACTTAAACAACAATTAATGCAATAAAAAAAATAGTCAAACATGCATCTTGCAAATATGAAAAAGAAACTGAATAGTAATCCGACGTAATGTACTTGCGTGTAATTAAAACTGTTTAAATGTAACTGCTTAGAACATTCTTTAGGAAATATTTCTGATATGGATTGCTGGTCGACAATTTTCCTCGTCTCTCTAAGGCGAAGGTTAATGAGCATCCGTTGTTGAAAATATTTCTTGGGAAATCTAGGTCATGCTATCGTTTATCAACAAACGCGAAGTTATTAAAAGGTTAAAAGATTGCTAGCAAAGCTATCAATAAAAAGTCTTGCTAGGGTGTCGGTTATACTCCTTTTCGCGGCGGCTAATGATCTTAAAGAGACTGATATGATGACTAGAATCTAAAAAATAATTTATTACGTGTCTCTTTTAGTTTTTTGTGCTATTATTTCTTGTTTATTTTTAAAGACATTATTGTAAATTATTCTGACATTTACATTCCTACCTTCATAATTCTTGAAAGTTTAAAACTATTTAAAATTGTTACTATGGAATATCTTTCCTTTTTAAGCGTTGTAATTGAATTCTAAAGTAGTTTGGCTTTGATTTCTTAAATATTATGAGTGATAGGGGTTACGTAGATTTTGAAACTTACTAAATCCAATTAAAATAGTTCATTTGTTTTAGTATAAAAAGACTAGAAATTATTGTTATAATAAAAACTATAAACTCTTTTTCAAAACATTAAATAATATATTAAAGTTAGAAGTAAGTTAATATACGATTTCAAAATTTTAGTTTTATTTTAAATACAATTGCAGCTTTAAATAGAAATATTTTCACTGAAAATAAACTATCGAATCCTGTAAGTATAGTTAATCACTCTTTTCAATCTTTTGTTTATCTTACCAACTCACCGTCAAAATTAATGCAAAGATAAATAGAAAAAAAATGTTTATAGGTATTTTTGTAAACATACTCAATTAGATCAACATACATACATAGATGTACAGGTTGCTCAGTTAAAAATCTAGTAATGTATGCAATACCCGGTATTCTCTACTTTGAAGTCATTTACGTGTAATAGCTTTGTCCGATAATCCCTACTTTAATATTCCTCCTAATGGGGTATTATTATTTATTTCCAAATAAGATGGTTAAATTGAAATCTGTGTATCATTAAAAATCAATTTAATGAGTTAAGAATAAAATTAAAATAAGATATTTACAATGAATGATTTAGAGAATTTTTCTCTGATCATCAGCTCATCTTTTTTTTTAAAAAAATGCGATAATATGCAGCTTTTTTATCTGGGTTTCTGATGTTTCATACTTTTCCCAAACAGCATTTGCCTTTGTATAAGTCGCAAGGAAATGATGAAACGGAAATTTGATCAAATCCCAGAGTTGATTATCAACTCATGGAAGATATCAAAATAGTAACTCTATGGGTGTTCTTTCCCTCTCTCAATCCTGTTGGGCACGATTTACCCAAGATTTATTATTTTTTTAGGCAAAATGATAGTTTCCGGTGCGCATTTTTCCTGTATAACTTTCACTGATGCTTTTTTTAAAGTGAAGTGCCACTACCCGGTACGCATTTGCCCAGTACACTTTACACAGTGTTTTTTTTAGGTTAAGAGCCCCTGCATGGTATGCATTGAGCAGTAAAACTCAAAACTGATGTGTTTTTTACGCTTAAGGGTCTAAAAAAAGACCAATGTAAAAATAATAAAAAAAACATTCAAACCTTCTATCACGAAGAATTCACACAATAAATGAATAACTCATATAAAGTGCGTACTTATATTTTGTAATTTAGATGCTAGTCTTATGTGGTCTTTAAAAATCCAACATAACAATTAACAAAAAACTATGGTATGTGAAAAAAGAATTTTTCTAAAAGTTTTGAAGTGTCTTTGAATATCAAGATATTTTTAGAAAAATTTTCATTTGAGTCATAAAACTAAGCTTGCCAAAAATTATACATTTATGGTTTTGATATGATGAGACATGATTGAATGGAATTTGTTAAGATTTGTAACTTTGTACAAAGTGCATTCTTAAAATCAATATAATTTTTCATATGACTTTAAGGGATTTTTTTATGACTTTACAATTTGTGAATAATTTTCTAATTTCTCAAAAAAATACATCAAAAAGTAACTTATTATTTGTCAACAGAATTAAAACCTTTGACAATATTAAAACTGAACTTACGTTGTTAAATTGTACGCTATTAAATTATTTTAATTGAAAACTTAATAATGTTCACTACTAAATTATTCATTCATTTTCTTTTTCAATTTATTTTGTGCATGCACGGCATGACATTAGCATGAGAAGTGTAAAATAACGTTTCTTAATTACAGTTTTAGATATTTTCATGCTTAATTTGTTGTAATAGAAACACATCATCTTTCGATAAAACTCTGAGACAGAAGTCTCCAAATACAGAAATCCCAAAGTTAAATATCATTTTTATCTGTGTTCTACACTTCTACATAAAAACAACTCCTTTACAGTAAACTTCAACACTGAAGATGGAGATGCTGATGAGGATGATGAGGAAGATGACGACGAAGACAATACATCGGTTTCCACTGCACGACCCCGGCGTCTTTCAGATATTCACATGGACACAAAAATAAAGCCCATTCCTGCTTACACATCATTCTTCATTTTTTCACACAACAACAGGTAAGTAAATGTACTGAATAATTTAATAAATTAAATTCAGACTAAACACACATTCAGATTTCATCAGTTTTAAGTAGAATTTTAAAAATACTTAATAGATGCTTAAATGTTTCCTTAAAATTAAAGTAAAAAAAAGAGGAATAAGAGTTTGTTTCGCTCTCAAACGAAGCTTTTTTCTACACCATGTACTTTAAAGATAATACCCAATTTTTTTCTAAATTTTTCTTTAACAGGGCTAGAGAAACTTATCAAAATAATCATTTTTAATCTTATGTAACTGTTCATTTCCAATTTTAATGGTAGACTGTTTTTTTAAGTAGGAAGAAGTCAAATAATGCTATAAATATTCAAAATAATTTGCAAGATATTTGCCAAAAACACTTTTTATACAGATTTATAAAATAAATTGTTCTATCGATAATCTAAAACATATTTTAACCAATCCAAATATTTTGCATTTTTCATGAGTCAAAGCAATGCTGTGAAAGAACATCTATTCAATTAAAATATTAGGTAACAAACGCTACTTATTTTTACAAAAAATGGGGCTTTAATTCATATAGACGTTTTGTTACCAATTTCATAATTAGCTTATAAAAGGCTGGCCGAAGATAAGCAAAACGTGGCCCCACAGTGCTTTTATAAATAAAAAAGCCTTAATAAAGTGCCTTACACTCGAGGGAAAGATATAATTTAAAATTATATACGCAATCTTGAAGTAATAATTTGGGCTTTAGAATAGACAAAAAGTGTAAATACTTTAAAAAAGTTATTAAACTTTGTTAAAAATCGTCAATTTGGCAAAATTTTTCCAACTAGATGAAAACTAGATGACTCTAGCCTCTAGCTTAGAGGCTACGTTGCAGTAATTTTTTAAATATTGTTATTACAATTTTTAAATATTATTTAAATATTAACAAATGTTTTTTATATTCACAAAACAGTGACTTTTTTTCTCATTGACAGTTTGCAAAAGTTTCATAATTGATATAGATGACTCGGGCTAAAGACAGGCAAAAATTGACCAAACAGTCAAGTCATGAACAACATACAAGCAACAGTTATACAAATAGCATATTATTCGCATAAAAACCTTTGTTTTATGTGATAGCAGAGACTTCGACAAACAGCCCTAACAGTCTTTAACAACATTTAAAATCTCACTCCAGTTATACATAATAGCTTATTAGGGTACTTTTCGCTTAGCTGCGCACAAGAGAAAAGTTGCCAAAAAATGTAGAACCCTCCAATTTCTTTTATTTTTATTTTTTTAACACGAAAAATTGCATAAAAAAGTTAAATAAATGGAAAATGAATTTTTAAATAAAAATAAAAATAAATAAATAAAATAAAAACAAAATAAATATAAAATAATTTTAAAAAAAAAATAGTTGCAATTTCTTGCGCCTGGCTAAGTATCCATAGTAGTCAGTAAAAAAACGGTATCTCATGTTATGTCACAGCCTTCAAAGAAAAGCCCTCAGATAGTCGATAACATTTTGATGTGAATTGTTACCAACCAAAACAGTTCATTCAGAAAAATCACGTTTCAAATAATGACATCAAATAACCATTAAATAACCATTAAATTCGAACAGTGAGTCAAAATGCATTTAACAATTAATTGTTTCCAAAATCTTGAACAATCAGGAGCTATTTGAGTTCAGTCAATTCTTCAAACTTTTTATTTAGAATAACTAAACTAAACTCAGTGGCGCTACAGCCCATAGATGACCAAGACCTAATGTGCCCATCTCAGTTTTCTTGACCTTGGGCTCTGGGGTGCAGGAGCAGATGTTCCGGTCAAGTGGTCAGCCGAACGCGGAAACCCCAGTGTTTAATTCCCAAGCATGCTTGGTGCTCATTTATCGACCCACTGAAGGGATGAAAGGCTAAGTCGACCTTGCCTGGCCCGAGGATCGAACCCAGGACCTGTGGCACGCGACCACGAAGCGCTACCACTCAGTCACCGGGAGTCATCTAGAATAACTAGGATTCTTTTTGAATTGGTATTGCAATTATTTAAATTAAATATATTTTGAAAAACTCTCAGAAGACGATGTTTCGATACAATCATTTTCTTATGAAGGTTTTGTTTAAATAGTATTATTAAACCACTTTCCTACGAAGATAAATTAATTAAATCTTTTTTTATTAAAATACTTTAGCTAAATAACATTCTAAATAGGCTTTATATTTAGATCTATATGTTTCAAAACCTAATTTTAGTAAAAAGTATTAAAATTGGTAATTTTAATTAAAATATTTCAAGATTGTAACTGAAAGCTGTTTTAAAATGAACTAAAACCCACAAATGTTGGATTTATTTTTCTCTTCCTCCTTTTTAGGTTCCGCAGGCTATGTCACTTCATTGTGAATCACAGCTATTTTGCAAATATTATCCTTGGTTTCATATTAATTAGTAGCGCTATGCTGGCTGCAGAAGACCCTTTGAATATAAACTCAGATCGAAATAAGGTGAGCTTTAAAATGATATTTAAAGGAATCATTTACTAAAAAAATACAGGGTTATTCATAATTCCCTCCGGGGTTTTGAAGCGTTATAGTAAAAAAAAGAAGACGAATATGAAAAAAAAAAAACATATGAAATTATTCCGAAACTATTCAAGTTTTGGTTCATTGTAGACCTCGCCTAANTTCCGAAACTATTCAAGTTTTACTTACATACATTACAGGTGTTCTATGTGTGATCCCTTGGTCACACGGCATACATCAATGCGATAGTCCAGTTCCTGCCATAATCTACTCAACATGGTATTGTCTATGTTATTGATAGCACGTGTTATCCTTTCACGCAGGTCAGCTACATCACACGGCATATCACCGGAGGGAATTATGAATAACCCTGTATTGTATTTAGATTTTGCACAGTTGAAAACTCAAAATATGTAAGACAGATGCAAAGATATAGTTATCAAAACGGAATTTATTTTGATAAATTTTCTAAAAACTTATATATTAATCTCTGCTATTTCTTTTATTTAAATAAGAAATTATGTATGACGGTAACTTTTAAAATATAATTCATCTTTTTCACATAAATGAGTATTGTAATGGTATGTGGCAGTTAATGTAGACTAAAATATATGAAGCATTAGCTTCCATTATTTTTTTTGTTGTTGCCATTATTTACCGAAATTCATCTAACAATTTCAGACAATATATAGAAGAATAAAAATAAATTGCAGGCGATAAAGACAGAATGTTACTCAGAATAAAGGTTTTTTAATTTCGAAAAATTATAAGAAAGAGTAAAGAGCTTCAAAATTAAGAGAACGTATCCAAGCAACATTTTAAGCAAAATAATGAATTTAGTTTGATAATTTCAATAGGAGACAAAATCTGATCATGAGCCTATTCAAAAAATGTTAATTAATCAACGTTTTTGAAGTACAGGAAAGATCCATTATAGGCGTGTTATCGAAAAAGGGCACTGACAATAGTAAAGCCAATTTATCCAACCTTAAGATATCTCATGTTAATATTCAAATAATTTGGCTGAAGATTTAAGGCCAAAAGGTTAGTTGGAAACTAAAATAAACCTAATAACGTGCAATTGAAAAGTAGGTTTTGATGCTCAGTTGTGACATTGTAGCGACAACTTGTAAACACTTGCATTAAAATAAACAGTTAGTCGTTACATTTATTGAGAATCGAAATATTTTTATTCGCTTTTTATAAAATAGAATTAAAATTAATTAACCAATTTATTTAAAAAGTTATTAAGAATGATATAATTTATGAAACAAAGGTAACTTAGAAGCTGTTAAACATATAATGCTTATAATGGCATCAAATGGAGATACAAAATTCAAAATTTTAAAATAAAAACGAAAGTATTTTAAGCGCAATTTCAGATTTTTGAGTTCTACTAAAATTTGTCTTTCCAAACTGTATGGAAAGAGATTTCTTATTTCTATTCCAGTTGGGCAATTTACAAGTTTGTGTATCAATTTAATAATTAAATGTGTAATTAATGCATCGATAGTAAACATATTATGCATTATTTATATTATACGTTATTGTATACATATATACTCTTTTTCTGTTTTTGAGTTATCAGAAAATATTGAGAATTTGCATTTAATTTTTTAGATATTGAACTATTTCGACTACTTTTTTACCACTGTGTTCACTGTCGAAATCACATTAAAAGTAAGTAAAATTAACTAAATTTTGAAATTCAGAATTTTTATCATAAGAAATAGAGTTCATATTGTTATAATTTTTAAAATGTTCTTTATTTTAAAAACAGGCCATTGCTTACGGTCTGATTTTACATAAAGGATCTTTCTGTAGAAGTTACTTTAACCTGCTTGATGTGCTTGTTGTGTCTGTGTCGCTTATTTCATTTGCTTTCGGGTAAGTATATTTTAATCAGTCAATTTATAAAACAAAATAATTTTTGAGCTCGAATTTGACACAGTGTTATCTATTTTCAGAAACGAAACATTTTCAGTTGTAAAAATTTTGCGTGTTCTTCGAGTGCTTCGCCCTCTCCGAGCCATTAACCGTGCCAAAGGATTAAAGGTATAAGATTTTAACGATTTTTTGAGTTTCGTATTAGAATAGCTTTTCACATTTTATCTTACAAAACTATTCTATTTTTTTTTCAAAATAACGGCTGCAAAACAACATTGGTTCATGGATTTTTTCAAAGGAAATAATATTACATATCTATAAAGATGTTTACCGCTGCTTTAGGGTTTACCGCTGTTGTCTTACATGATCTTGAGTAATTTTTAAATTTTTTAATCCTATGTAAAAAAGACACTTTCTATTAAAAAACTTGCACTGTTTTTCAAAAATTTTAAACATTATGCTAATTTGTGATACTTATTTTAAATACGTTAACCATAACAATTAAGTGCTAAGCAATGTGCTTTTCGGACTCGAAAAACGTTTCAGAGAAAAACTAATTTATTTTAAAAGTATAAAGACGCCAACATATAATGTACGTCTTTAATTAAATCATCAAACAGATAAAATTTATAAGAAGAATGTAAGAATAGCGTAAAATAGGAGAATATATAAGAAAAACGTAAAATAACTCATATTATGGAAAATTTGATAAATTTTTGTTTCAAAGTTTGAATCTAGAATGCGATTTCAGAAAATCTAATACCTATATTTCCCTCTCATCTTACCATAGATTTTGCAAGTGCCAGTAAATTTTGACAAAATCATAGCTTAGAACTTCTAATAGTAGTTTCGACAATCATCTTTTTTAAGCTTCGTTGCCGACTTATTAGCCACAATTTGAATTCCTGTTCAACCAATTTCTCACATATGAAAGCATTAGTTATAACCTCGAAACTATTATTCGACGAATAATCTAATTTTGCAGGAAAATAACCAACTAAACGATATAAAACAAGATCTGCCAAGTCTTTCATAATTTTTAACATATCATTAAAAACATCTCTTAGAGGAAATATTATATAAAAATGTTCACTTTCACATAATTATTGTAATTATAAATCAAGAGAACATTTTTCAAACTTAAAATTTTATTCATAAATTTGTAAGCTATTTAATTAATTATTTTATTTTTTAATATACTTACAGATAAATAAATTGAAGCAGTTATTGATTTTATTTTATGTAAGTTTTACAGTAAAATAAAAAAAAATCTATCAAAAACGACAATTTAATAGAAAATTTAAAAAAAATTGTAAAAATTTGAATATTTCTTAAAAAATTAAAATGACAACAAACACACTTTCATTATCGAAAATCATGTTCGTTCGAAAAATTAAAAAGACTATAAACACACTTTCATGATAAAAACTAATGATTGTTCGAAAATTAAAATGACTACAAACACACTTTCATGATCGAAATTCATGTTCGTTTGAAAAATTTAAATGATTATAAACACACTTTCATGAAATTAAAAATTACACAAGAGTGGGACAGAATGTTATTTCAAATTATTTTATGTCAAAGCCTAAAAGTAACACTGTATTAAGTTTTATTTAAATTAGTAGCTAGATGTGTAGAAATAGAGACGAAATAATATTACTTAATAGCCTTTTGTTGGTAATTTCTCGGTGAGATCAGCAAACAATGATATACTATATTTTATTTGCATTTAGCAAGTAATCCAGTGCATCTTTGTAGCGGTTAAAACAATAGGGAACATCTTGTTGGTGACATTTCTGCTAAACTTCATGTTCGCAGTCATTGGAGTACAGTTATTAAAGGTAGGATTGTCTATCACATATGCAGCTCAGTGATTTTGCTCACACAATCCCTCTCCCTATACTAATCACTGATAATTTGCAGTAGATTTGCCAGGTACAGCTTTGTTTGCGTTGTCATTCACAACCAAATACTCATTAAATCCTACTTAATATTTGGTCAATCTGTTTCCAATACTTTCACTATCAATCTTTAATTTGTTATAAAGGTAACTGAAAATTTAATATTGAATTGTATTTGTTTCAGATAATCTATTTACTTCCTAAATCAGAAAGCAAAACTAGTGAAATCATGAATTTTTAAAGTATATATTTACTACGCATTATTATTATTTTATGCTTTATTTTATGAATCACGAAATAAATAATTAAAGCTGTTTATCTTATACTTCAAGGCTTGTTTTTTAAGAAAGAAGACTTTTCTTTTTATAAATAATTACCTTTATATATGTTAAACCAAAAACGATGATTTACTCGACCGTATGAAGACGTCAAGGAAAGAACGGATTAAATTCACAAAAGTTGATTCAAATTAAAAAACGAGTGCTATAAAGGAAAGGGTTTTTCCCTAGTGTGGCCCATCTTCACTGAATAATGACTCTCTAGGAGAACCAAATTTTTGCTGTTTGACTTGTAAGAACTTAGTAATTTTCAAAATGCAAAAAGACGGTGATCCAATTTGGGAAAAAAATGATATAAACCGTTCTTCACTTTTAATCTTGATATACATTCAAACTGTTGTATAATGCACTACATAGAAATCGAAACAACTGAACAACTTTTGTTCTAAAGAACAGAATTTACCGTTCTAAAATGCAATCTTTGTGGTACGAGAGATTGTCCTTGAATAAGCGAATCAATTATTGCAAATTATACTTTAAATTACAAAACTAAACACCGAGAAGTAATATTTCTAGATGTACATTATTTTTCTCAACAGATTCAAATATTAGAATATCAAAATAGAGGGGGTTGGGGGAGTTGTCACAATAAAGAAAATATAGCCTTAGAATCTTAATCAGGAAAGTGGTCAAAATGTAGGTCGTCTTAGAGCTAAAAATTAATTTTATTACCTCGAAATTATTTGGCCTATTGAGTTGAAATTTTATACTCTGTTATTTAAAATTATACTGTATAAAATGAGAATGATCTAGGAATAATTAACTTTTTAAATAAAATTATCTTGCAATAAACGATTTTGTAAGCAAAAAGTTTTCTTAAATAGCTCCAAAGACATAGCGGAATACACAAAAAGTGAAATTAACTCTAGACTCCATGTTTTTTACATTGTGGGTACCCCCATATTTTATGTGTAGAGAATCTGATTATGTTGATACAACAGCATATTTATCAAGCGAGAGTACGTTTTTGTGTCCATTATCGTAACTTAAAATGTTTCCCTCATCAACTACTAAGCACATTTAGGTTTAACTCTTGAATTATTAAGATTGTATCTTACTATTTAAAATTCCGAAAACTAGAGCAAAAAATATTCCGAGAGGTCCATTTTTATTTTGCGCAATGTACATCAATATTTCCTTTTACATCGATATTGTAGGTCGTTAGAAAAATATGAAACTATGTGTTTGGATTTAGCAACATGTTTTTTTTAATCTTAAAAACAAGTTCGATAGTTTCTAGTATATTAGGTTGTTTTCTCCTAATACTATTCAATACCTTTGAATTAATTTTTAATGCGCTAAAGCAATTCTATCTATGCACGAAATAGTTTTTGTTTGTTGAAATAGTTTCTGGGTTTTTAACAAAGGTAAATTGAGCAATTTTTTTATGTAAAGCAAAAAAGGTAGATGTTAGCGATTTTTTATATTAATCTTGCATTTTGTTTAAGATATTGCTAAAAGATTATTTCATTACTAAAACTCAATCTAATTATTAAAGGAACCTACAACTTATTAGAAGTTTCTTTCCACTAGAAAATGTTTTATTTTCGCAACACTTTGTATCACATTGCTATATTCATCAAAGTACAAAATGAATGTAGTCCCATGATTACGCGTGGAACTATAATAATAACGGATAACACTGATAAATTTAAATTAGAAATTTTATTGGTAATTTATTAACAATGTATAAACTATAAGTAATTATACAGTGTACTAAATATTTTTTACACTATAAGTATTCCTTGAGATTTTTTTTCTGTAAATAAGTGCTATTTTTAAAACATTATATATTTTGCTCTCAAAGGGATATAACTTTATATATCTCGAAGGAATTAATTGAATTCGCCAAAATTATTTGAAGAAAAAAAAAATACCTGGCAAACCTACGATAATTGAAATTTACCACCTTTATTTTGCCCTCTAGTACGTAGTCAAGTGCGTCATAGTAGCAGTCAAAACTATAGGAAACATCATGTTGGTCACCTACTTGCTACAGTTCATGTTTGCTGTGATCGGAGTACAACTGTTCAAGGTAAAGCAATGTAGCAAAGAAGATTGCGCCTTCTTTGTGGTTCAGTGTCGAGTCATATGTGTTGCTGCTTTTGTGGCATTATGCGCAGCTCGTGTGTGCAAAACAATCTGTGTGCCATCAAACTGTTATGTAAGTGAATAAATGAAAAAAAAATTACATCCTCCATTAACCTTCTTCAAACCAAATACAACAATTGTGAAAAAAAGTACCGACTATTAAGTAAAGAACAAAGCAATACTTAGTAATTTATAGCTAATTAATGAGAATTATTAGTAAGAAGAATCTACCCTTAAAAAAATAAGAAGTTTTGAGGCTATAATAAAGTTGACAAATGTATACACCAGACATACCAACCATACACCATTAATATACCTCAATTTCAACTTCATTTATACCTCAGAAAATCAACCTCATATATCACTCAGAAATAATTTTAGTTTAGATCGGCTGAAAGTATTTATACCTCAAATATACGTATTAGCTAGAAGAGTAGAAAAAATAATCCGTACACCTCAAAAGCAACCTGCCTAAGCTGGTTGTTCTGAAGTAGATTCCCATCAACCTCAAGTGTGAATAAAACAACTTCATTCAACTTAATTATACATCTTGCGAACTTTTAAGTTTTTTTTTAAAAAATCATCTTCAAATAAACCTCAAATTTACATTAACACCTCAAAACAACCTCAAATAAACCTAAAAAAAAATACCTTAAATTTCTGTATGGGTAATTTCTTCTGAATTCTGATGAAGACAGTGTTTATCCACGAATTTGATAAAAACAAATCAAATATTAATATAAATAATTAATTTAAACAAAATTAAAAATAAATATAATTAAACTTGGCAAAATCTAATACTTTAAATAAATAATCCTAAGAAACTGAACCGGTGAGATATTACCTAATTAAAAACTTCACTCTCTTCAAAAATATATTCTTAGTAAAGAGCAGTGGACATGTTTCAAGGGCTCAAAAATGGGAGCCCATTTTCAAGACTTGCCAGACGTGAATGAGAAGAAAGAAAATTTAATCGAAATATAAAACGTATAGTTGATAATGAAAAAATAAATGAGAGAAACAACAGAAGCGGAGAGAGAAATTATTTCCTTTTTATATATTTTTTAAAGGGAATGAAGTTTTTAATCAGGTAAAACTAAATATAATTGATTAATTCTAATAGAATTAATAAATCACGAAAAGTAAACATTTAATTTTAGAACGTAATCAAATAGAATGTAACAGAAGTCAATGCAAATTAATATTATTAAATAGAACGTAATAAAAAGCCATAAACTCGGAATAAATCGGAATTAAATGTATTTAAAACAGTTGACATAGAATAATCAACTAATAGTAATATGTTATGAAAATTACATTAAGTATATTTTAATGGAATTTTAGTTATAATTTGACTATAATTGGTTGTTTTACAATAAAATGACATTAATATTATTGAATTGAATATAGTATGGAATCGAATTACATTCGAATATAAATTTTATATAGAGCACCTNTTTCCTTTTTATATATTTTTAAAGGGAATGAAGTTTTTAATCAGGTAAAACTAAATATAATTGATTAATTCTAATAGAATTAATAAATCACGAAAAGTAAACATTTAATTTTAGAACGTAATCAAATAGCATGTAACAGAAGTCAATGCAATTTAATATTATTAAATAGAACGTAATCAAAAGCCATAAACTCGGAATAAATCGGAATTAAATGTATTTAAAACAGTTGACATAAAACAATCAACTAATAGTTATATGTTATGCAAATTGCATTAAGTATATTTTAATGGAATTTTAGTTGTAATTTGACTATAATTGGTTGTTTTACAATAAAATGACATTAATATTATTGAATCGAATATAGTATGGAATCGAATTACATTCGAATATAAATTTTATATAGAGCACCTACACAAGCTCATGTCAGAATTTTTGTCAGAGGTATTCTTAAAATGTGAGATCCATTTTCACCTTTCTATCTTGAAGTTCTTTGTGAATGTTTCTTTTTTTTTGTCTTATTATAAAGGACTGGGATTAATATAATATGGTCTACTTTATGTTATATATTTTCTTTTAAATTTTTCTTAAGTACCTATTTCGACCATTTCCAAAAAAATATATAATTGATCAACAAGTGAAGTGTAAGGGGTAAAAACGGTTTATGTTCATAAAATCGGACAAAAGACAATTTTGCACTCGGAAAGTAAGGGTTTTTACCCAGTGTGACCCATCTTAACTGTGTAATAACTCTCGGGGAAGCTAGTTTTTCGCGTTATTGGTATGTCCAAACTTGGCATCAAATGTGTTAAAAATAAGAAGAAAAAAACTTCTCGAAAACAACAGATTGATATTGACTCGATCATTAATATTGACTCGAAGACAACAGATATCACTCCAATCGTCATTTTCGCGAAAAATGGTCATAAATCGCTCACATTCAACAATAGACACAGATTTCAACATGTCTTCTATTCAAGTCAACATATTTTTTCACTCCAAACAATATATTTTTTCACACCAAAAATTAAATCAGAAAAAATCATTTTAATAATCTTATCACACAGTTTCACAGTTTTGACCTAATAATAGTGACACCAATTATAAACTTTTTACTTTATTTTCTCACACAAAACATACTTCCGAACTTTACCGTTAATTTGCTTCCTAATTTACCATCAACCATTAACTTTACCATGAATAATAGTCTAAATTTTTACCCTTTTCTTTATGAATAAGAATAAATTACAAAGTACTATGATTCTAATTCCTGATAAGGACAGATTTAATGCTTCGATTATGTGCATTCATATATTTTTCATTACTTTGATATTCTTTTTAAACAATCTCTCTTACTTTTAATTGCATCTGTTATGATTATAATAGATTATCATTCAAATCTCTTTTTAAACTTAATATTCATTTGATATTTAAATTGTATAAAGAAAAGGATATTACAGTTTAAACGTTGAAGATTTGAAATGAAAATTTCAAGGATTTAAAGTTCAGTATATTAAAAAAAAAAGATAAATATTCTGAAATGATATGCATTTTTTCAATTAACTCAAACAATCTATGTAATGCTTAACAATTTTTTTCATATTTAAAAAAAAATATTTTTCAGTTTAAAAAAACTCAAAGACCAGGTAACAATGTTACTCGCTATAGGAAAGAAAATATGCAGGATGTGTTAGTACTAATGAATAATTTTAAATTCATAGTTTCCATGCAATAAAAAATTTCTATGAAAGCAGTGAAGCTGGTTAATGGAGAAATCAAAGTTTTTGAATACAGTGGAAAATAGAAAAACAAAAATTTGAATTTTTTCCTCAGAAAAGAAATTTTGGCTGCTAGTTTGCACGTTGCACATAGATGATTTGTGAATCTTTTAGACTTATGCTTGAAATATTTTCATAGTTGAAAAGTCAAGTTGAAATTTATAATTAACAACTGGTTTGAAAGTGTTTTTCGAAGAGAAAAAAAAGATATGTCTATTGAAAAGCATATGAAATAAAACTACAAGTCAAGGATTACATTTTTTTAAAAAAATAATTTTATTAATTTTACACTAGTGCCTAAAGTCCCTTTTTGTGTTTGGTTCCAAAGATGCACTATAATTTAATTGGAATTATTCGTTTTTTTTTTACGTCAACTTTTTGTATGTATTATTTTATTTTAAATTTTATTAACTGCAACACGTATCTAATAATAAGAATTAAGGCGTTTTTTTCGCATCGAACTTTAAATTGATTTTCACACTGTCCAGAATAAAATAATTTAAATAGTTAGACTTTGGTTGCATTTGTATTTATTTGAATCTATTGTTTTTGTATACTTTTTTTCTTTTATTGTAAAATATAAAACACAAAATAATTTAAATGAAATAAAAGCTTCTTGGCAGTGGTTTTTGAATGATTTTTGGTATTTAAAAGTAATATAAAATCAGAATGGCCCAGAGGTTACAACGCTGTTTTAAGTGCATGGCTGAGGTTCGATCCCCAGTAGCGGCATGAGGCCCATCTAGCTTCATATCGATGGGAGCAACTTTCACTTTAAAGTAAATGTGGTCCTTGCGCAGTGCTAATAACTTTGCCCCAATCATGCCGTATGCCATAAATTGTGTATCCCTTGTCCAAAACGGACTGTTGCGGGGACACTTTGTTTTTACTTATAAACTACCATTTGAAAATTTTTGACTTGTGCATTAATGCGTTAGAATTTCAATGCATATTTATCATGTGCTGTCGTATTAACAATAAAATATGAGAATCTAAAATTACGAAAAGATCTTTACTTAACATGATTTCAATTAAGTATTTCAAGCATGAGTTTGCACCAAAGCACTTTGAATTGTTATGAGAATGAACTTAGATATCCCTTTATTATTCCCAGCATTTGCACTCTATCCTATCCTTTTAACACACTTTCTTCTATTCAGCACAAAAAAGCACATTTTTATATCGCATCGACATTTCATTCTTTCATTTTTTTAATATTATGTTACTATTATATTTTGTTTCAGTTTAAAGTTAAGTTTTTGTGTTATGAATGTAAACTATGCAGTGGTTTCTAATAAAATATACTTTTTTTTTCAAAATAATTTTGTTTTGTTTTATCATATGTAAAATTAGGTTTACTAATTCTTTTTATTTATAACATACCTTTAAATAAAAGTCTCAAAAATCCACATTCTCTTGCTTTTTTAGATTTTAATGTATTTCTTTATCATTAATCATCTCGTAAAAGGTTAGTTTTTTTAAAGTTATGAAATTATTTAATACATAATGATGTATTTAAACCGTATGAAGATTTTTCGGTGGTAAATATTAATACTTCTTGCAATTTTTAAACCAAATCGCAAATATGACAAATTTCTTTTAAGTTTATATGTTTTTAAGTTTAAACATAAATAATGGAATAATTTTTCATGAACTAAAAATTTTAATCAAAAATGCTTAATACTATAATTCGTCTTATTTTACTATTACTGAATAGAAATGGTTATTTTTAACTTCTTGATTAACCCTTTATGAACACAATTACATTATTAATAGTTATAATCCAATTATGATATTAAAAGTTATGATCGCAATTATAATACTTACAGTTATGATCACAATTATGATTTGAACAGTTCTGATCACATTTATTAAATGAACAGTTATAATCACAATTATAGTATTAACAGTTATAATCTCAATTATGATGTAAACAATTATAATTAAATAGAAGTCATAGCAGTTTTAAAAAAATATATTGTACCCTAAACTGCATTATTTCACATGCTGTAAACTGAAAAAAAGAGAGTGAAAATGTCATCCTAACTGAATCTTCATAATTAAATCTAAAATAATACAATGTCAATACATTTGAATACTTACTTTTAATATAACTATTTTCACTACATTTTACATAACATTCAAAAGTTTACTAATTTGCTTTTCAATTTTATCTTCGTTTACATACTTATTTCAAACAAAGTAGATACTAAACTACGCAAACATTTACACAAAACATTTAAATATAGGAAAAATCTCGTGCATTTTTGAGACCTTTTGTTTAACAAAAACAACATTTTCCTTAGTTGTTGATAGTACTTTTTGTTAATTTGAGTGAAAGTTTATTTAAAAAAAAGAAACAAATATTGCCACTTTCAAACAGGACTCAATGCTTTAGTAAATCTTTGTGGCATTCTTTCTCTATCATAGTTGTATATATCCCGATATTTATTGCTTTTGTGATTTTTGTGAGCATTGCATTTTGCAAGCTTTTTGTGATGCTGTGATATTTTTGTGCATAGTGAAATTTTAAATTTATCTGATTTGAAATCTTTTTATAAATACAAATAGTGATTGTTTCAAACTTTAAGCATACAAATATTATTTTATCTCATACCTTATCATGCCATACCTTCTATTTTAATATTATTACAGAACAATGGATTTTAATTATTAATTTAAAAGCGAAATTATCTAACTACAGATTTAAGTTATTTTAGGAGTTTAAAAAAAAAGATTCTTACTATTCATCTTCTATTTTTGCAGGGAAAGTTTTACCGTTGCAATGATGAATCGAAAATGACTGAAGAAGAATGTCAGTATGTATTACTTAAAAAACAATATTTTAGCGAACTGGAAAAAAGCACTGTAATAAATTAAGATAACTTTCTCAAAACGAGAAAAGCATAGTAGATTCTCCTGTCAAAGTTATCCTTGTGAAATGTAATATCTACAAATGATTGCATATCTTTATAAATAATACACATCTTATAGTTATTTTAAAATAAGATTTTCAAAATAAAAGACATACAAAGTTTAAATTTTTTAAACTTATGAGAACATAATTTGAATTTCTCTGTAGCAGGACAAATTGAAATTTAATAATTAAAGTAAAATTTATCTTACATTTCCTTTTACTATTAATTAAATGCAAACTTTTTATAGTAAAAAAGGACATAAATGACTAGGATTTCCATTTTCATTTCTAATTTTGATGTGATTTGGTGTACAAATGTCTTTAGATGTTAGAAAGCTGTGGTTCAGGACCAACATATTTTTTTTCCCTCTGAAATTTGAGAGTGGCTTACGTTTGGATAAAATAAGAGCTAGTGATATTTTGGAGCAGAGCTTGTCAATCACTACCTAATAAATAGCTTTCTTCAAAATTTCAAGCCTATATTATAGAATTTGAATTGAACTCTTGAAACATTTTGACTTGGTAATTTAAACTTTCTTTTTAAAGCGACGCTTAAAAAACAATAATTGATTTAGCAAGTGGTTATGGTTTTTTATTTAAATTATAATATTTCCGACCTACTGATTTTAATAACATTTATCTACCAGCACAACACTTAGAGAAAAGATCTTTTGGTGCTGGCTGCGATATTATCATCTTCTAACATAGTGCTCAACTTTACTAATCATGCCTCTACTTCTACACTGTAACAATTTTTAGATCAAAAGTTTACTGAAAAAAAGTGTGGGCATTCAGGTGACAGTACTTTTTATAGTAAAATTCATTTTTAACGGTACATGTTTCGAAAAGAAAATTGTTAAATCGTAATTTTCACAGTATCAAACACCATGAAACAACTCTATCACTTTAGTTATAAATATAATTATAAATAAATATTACTGCAAAACATACTTTTCGGTAAAAATGGATTTTATAATAAAACGGACTTAAGGATGATGCACCCTTAAGTACTGTACTTTTTACTGTAATTTGATCCAGAATTTTTTACAGTGTAGTTTTTGGAATGGAAAATACAACCCTTTAGATTTATTTTTAATTAAAAACTGAATTGATCAAAATTACGAGCAATTGATTTTATGGAATGTCTTAAATGAAAGATAAAGTAGAAATTTCGTTGTTATTACTTTTGAATAAAATAAAGTATAGTTTTTGTTTTACATTTAATTATTTTTTAACACAAGTGAAGCAACGAATAAATTATTGACATTTGTATATGTTTTCATAAGATTTACGTAGACAAATACTTATGCATCTCATTTTACAGAGGCCAATATGTTGTTTATCAAGGGGGTGAAACAATGAAAATTACTATAGAAGATAGAATTTGGGATAATAATGAATTTAATTTTGACGACGTTGCCAAAGCTATGCTTAGTCTCTGTACAGTTTCTACTTTTGAAGGCTGGCCAAAGTAAGTGTTTTTTTTAACTTTCCATAATCTAATTAATTAACTTTTTTCCTTTAACTTCTCCTAATTTTATTTTTAATTTCGAAAATCTTTTATATTTAAATGCAGCAAAGCAGTTTTAAGTCAAATTCAGTAGTATAGGTTTATCATTTGATTCATTGAAAATATATTTCTTATCAAGCTGAATTCTTACATTTTTTTCTCAAATAATAGAAAACAAGTATTTAATCAGATATCTTTTAATCAAACATTATAGCACTTAAAATATTTGTTAATTTCGAAATATGTTGAGTTAATTTAGATGTTGTTCTTAATGTATTAAACTTGGCTTTAAAAGTGCTTCGCACTTGCCAATGTTACCTTTTAAACTATTTGTTAGCAAAAACAACCATAATTTATTTTTGCAAAATTAAAAAAAAATTATATCAAATTTAAAAAAATTTATTTAAAAATAAAATAAGCTAAAGAGAGAGCACAAATTCAATTTCATAATGAGGCTTTTTGAATCGTTTTCAAATTTGAATTCCCAATTCAATTTTATTTTTGAATACAAAGTGATTTCCAGATTTTAAAATTGTTTTTAAAAATTAAATTAAATCTCAAGAGACATTCATTTGTAACAATAATTTACCGGCTTGTTTTTATAACAGGCTTAAACTAAAAAGACACTCTCTATAAACTTCGAATAACGAAATATTAATAGCAAAAAAGTTTTAAAAAAATAATAAACTTCAATGATACAATGTAGTTTTTTATTTAAAGAAATATAGACTTTTTCCAAGCTTAAAATTTTATCTATCATTTTGTAGACGGTTGAAACTATGGAAATTTATTCTATTTTATATATTTTGTATTTTATTGATAGACCCAAAATTTTTTTCTGACAGTTTTGTATGTACAACCTTCATATGCCAAGTAACTTTATATTTCATAACTTTATGCTTCATATGCCAAGTTTTATATTTAACAAAAAGACAGTGAAATTCGGTGAGAAATCGTTCTTAATCGTTATACTTTCTTAACTACATAAAATCAAAAAGAGTCTCTTAAACAATATTTTTCCAATAATTTCGACCTTTTAAACCTTTGTCACAAAAACTATCTAAAATGTATTTATTTGAAATTAAATGAAAAAATTAATTAAATATTCTTAAGTTTCATAATATAAAATTCAAGACAATTGCTTCAAACAAAAGCTATTTTTTATTGATATTTAACAAAAAATAATGAAATAATTTGATTCAAGAATTGAAGAAGGAAGAACTTGAAATGACTTCAGGTTTTGTTGCTTAAAATGCAAACGTTAATTTTACTTAAATAAAAGCATTTCTTTCCATCTTTATATTTCTAACAAAATAAATCAAATAATTTGAACTGACTTTAAATTTTATAGTTTAAAACTGAAATGTTTTTTTTAAGTTAATTTTTACTATTTTTATGTATTTTTAAAAGCTTTTATGCAATATTTGTTCTAATAATAATAATAGCTTTTAATTTATGACATAATTTATATATTTTAAAAAAAACTAAAATGTTTTTAAAAATTTAATGTCAGAAATGTGTTTAATTTCAGGTAATTAAACACTAATTTGAAAGTTTGCTTTCCAATTTTTAAAATTAATTTTATTAGACTTGGTACATCAGCTAGATTGTACATACATAATTAACACACAAAAATTTACCTTTTTAGCATCAAGAATAAAAAAAATTATTTCAAAGGTACATTGTTCCCCAATAAATGATTATATTATCATTGAAATAAAAACTTTATTTTCTTGTAGAAGCTAAAAGATTAAACTTTTCTATTTCAGATTACTCTATGTTGCCATAGATTCTCATGCAGAAAATATTGGTCCTTTATACAATTACAATCCGCTGGTAGCTGTATATTTTATCGTATATATAATCATAATCGCATTTTTTATGGTTAACATTTTCGTTGGTTTTGTCATAGTCACTTTCCAAAATGAAGGAGAACAAGAATTCAAAAATTGCGAATTAGATAAGAATCAGGTAAAGATGGTTATAAAATGAATTGTTATATTTTGTATATTTCTTCCGATTAAAATGTGTTTTCTTACTATTTCAGAGAAATTGTATTGAGTTTGCTCTCAAAGCCAAGCCTGTTCGACGTTACATTCCCAAACATCGAATACAATACAAAGTGTGGTGGTTTGTGACATCACAATACTTTGAATATGCTATTTTTGTTCTCATTATGATCAACACTTTAGTTTTAGCTATGAAGGTATCATTTTGATATTTTTTCCTCCTTCTCCGTGCAGAGGTGCCAACTTTCTGAACTAGATATCAGTAATCAGAAGTATAATAACACAGAAATATATACACGGAGAAAGAAATTCCATTAAAATTACCGTACTCAGGGCCGATAATATTTTGCAGACTGCAATATTTCATTACTCTTAATAGTTGAAGGAAATATGCTTTTTGAAAGGTGACACAGAAATTCTGGAAAACTCTCGAAAACTCAAAAGATTTTATTGCTCAACAGTAAAAACGTAATCTTATGTATGAAATCGTAATAATTACGGTTAAATTGCGATAGTTGGCACCTCTGCTCATATTTAAATTTATCTTACTAATGCTTTCATTTTTAAGATTTTATTAGATTATGAAACGCCTACTTTAAAGCTTATTAAGGGGTCGCTAATCTTTTTGTCAAGTGCTTTTGGAAAAAAAAATAATAAAATTGTGTACCACTTCTAAATTTTTTAATGTACTAAAAATATAACAATGGAAAAGATGTTATTTATAGGCTAATTATAGAGTTTTTACGCAAATACCACATGTTATTCATATAGTCATATAGTAGAGATTTAATAAAAAAAAACACATATGAAATAAAAGTACAAACTAAGTTTTATTGTTAAAAAAGATTTTCAAAAGTTCAGTCAGTAAATCTATATAAAATAGAAATAAATAATTTGACAAATTCGTTTCAGAATAATTATTTAAATGTAGTAATTAATTAATGACGAATATGTGAATTTAATTTTATTTACATTTTTTAACGATTACTAACAAAATTAGATGTTTTAGTTTCAGAACTGATAATCTTGAATCATATTTTAATTTTACCGTGCTCCAAAAATTACAAAAAACTTGTTGAACTGGGCACAAAATATCCGACAGCCAAATCATGTAAAATTTGAGAATTGCTTAGTTGGTACAAATTAATATAATTTGAGTAGTAAAGTTGTGAAAATAAAAATCAAAAATTGGAAGATAAAGGCCAAGGGTAGGAAAAAGTAGAGCTAAGTAGTAAAAGAGGCCAAGATCCTACCTAGACTATAGAGCCGAGAAGTAAACATGGAAATAATATCGTTACGAATTTTAAATAAGTTCCTGAAAATGATATTATTATGTGGGTTATCATATGGATATTTCTTATCACATGGATTTTAAAAAAAAAAATTAATATGCTTCGGTACGGCGCTGCTAAATTTCCACCGTGCCACATGGCAGCGCAAGTGGCGTAGGCTAATCATCCATACGTTATAATAAGGAATAAATTAGTCATATGGGTATATTTTCAATCTAAACTTTTTACTTTATTGTTTCTTATAGGAGTATAGTAATTATTAATAGTTATGAACTACTTTAATATTTTCCAGTATTATGGTCAGCCAAAAGAATATACTTTTGCCTTAGATATAATGAATATGATATTCACTGCAGTTTTTGCCTTTGAATTTCTCCTAAAGCTTATAGCTTTTAAATTTAAGGTAAGCAATTAAAGCTGTAACTTTTCACGTGTATATTCGATGCAATGTTTCCTGCATTTCAAACTTTTTCTTAAAAATCTATTTCAGAACTATTTTGGTGATGCCTGGAATGTTTTTGACTTTATAATCGTATTAGGGAGCTTTATAGACATAGTTTATTCGGAAGTCAATGTAAGTTTATTTTAAAAGTTTATGCATTATTAATAGCATTAAAAATAATAAATGGTTGTTGTTTTATTTATTAGTTTACATTACGGAAAGTTCTTTGAGAAATTAAAATTACTCAATGCATTTTTATAAACTACTTTTAAAATATCATATTTAGCTTGTATGCGTTAAATACTATTTATTTCTAGAACTTTTTAGATATAATTTATTCAAAAAGCAATATAAATAATACTATTTCATTATTTGTATAGTTAATCAATTATTATGGTTAACAATTATAAATTACACTGGGGAACAAACTTTTGGACAAGCTGGGGAATTTGCAGAAGTACTTGATCTTGCCTAATTCTTGCTCCTAAAGCTACAGATTTTTTCAAGGCTATTTTTAGTCTATTTTGTGTCGAAATGTGCAGTTTAAAAACATCACATATGACAGGGGTTGAGTAAATGCTGTGACAAATTTTAAGGACTGTTAGGACACATCATCATGATTAAAATTGCATAGGAACCCTTGTCCGGAAACGTCGTCGTACACGGCTAGGGGCTCTTCTTTATTATGATCTGTTCAAAATCTCATGAAGAAGTAGTTTATTTTGGGGAAAGTGTCCCTAGTGGCGTACGATGACATTTTCGGTCATGGGTTCTTACGCACTTTTAATCTTTCTGACGTACCTTTACTTCTAAAGAAGTTTGTGGCAACATTAATTCCGGATCAAATTACGGTTAATAAGTACTGGTACCCTGAGTGTAGCATCCATAAAATCCATTTTACCGTATAATCTATCGTTACCTTAAAACTTTATACTATACAGTAATATTTACTTAATTGCAGTGATTTTGCAGTAAATATTATTACACACAGAAATTACGGTACTTCGGATTTTTGTTACAGAAAGTTTTATGGTAATAATGGATCTGGATTTTTTTTTACAATGCTTGACAGCAATGGTGTTTTTCTCCAAGAGATATGCATAAATAAATAATTCTCCTCAACTATCTCTCTCAATATTTAAGTACAACAATATTTTTCAATGCATGAACTCCTTTTTTTAGTAATGCATAATATTTTTTCAGTTTTCGTAAGGTGCAAAACGCACCAAACATTACCTAATATTTCTGCAAGACACTATTTAATATAAATTGGTACTCAGATATATTACACTTGATGCAGCGTATATAGAATTCCTTCAATATATAAAACTTCGGTTTGATGAGTAAAACTAGCGACTAATTTAAAACTGTTTTTAATTTTTACAGCTTCAAAAATTTTTACATTCATAAACTTATTTTTTACTTGTTAAAACATTTAAGTTTTAGACTTATCCAAAAACTCATAAGGGTGACTTAGAAAAACTTGACACATCAAAGTTTTTTTCGAGAAATTGGGTAATTTATATTTACAATTTCACAGGAAAATTAAATTTGTATCCTTATTCCTTCGTTCTTCAGAAGTTATGTTCGTCTTTTAGTCAGATTAAAATAAATGTTTACAATACAACAAATTTTACTCAACAAAATTTGGATACATAAATGTGCCTTCTGATTACTCAATTCCTTATACAACCATAGATAAATTGTTTCGTTTATTTGTTTATGCAGATAATTAAACTTGTTGACGCATTTTTATCATTCTAAATATTGTGCTTACAAACATTATTTGAATATGAAGAAATAATCTTGAGCATTAAGTTTCAATTCTGATTTTTTTCTTTTTTGATGCTTTCAGCCAGGAACGAATATTATTAGTATAAACTTCTTTCGCCTTTTTCGAGTGATGCGATTAGTAAAGCTTCTCAGTAGAGGAGAAGGAATTCGAACTTTGCTTTGGACATTTATAAAATCTTTCCAGGTAAAATAATTCTTATTTAACTTTTTTTTCCTATATTTATTTTTTCAAATCTACTTATGTTTCCGAAGATTGTACTTTGCTCCCTTACTTATGAAAGCAGCTTTTTGAAAAATCGCTTTGATTCTAAATAACTAAAATTCAGCCAATATTAGTCTCTGTACAGTTTCTACTTCTGAACGCTGGCCAAAGTAAGTAATTTTTTAAAGTTCCATAATCGAATTAATTAACTTTTTTTCCTTTAAATTTTCCTAATTTTTTTTAATTTCGAAAATCTTTTATATTTAAATACAGCAAAGCAGTTTTAAGTCTAATTCAATATTATAGGTTTAGCCTTTGATTCATTGAAAATATATTTATTTTAAAGCTGAGTTCTTACATTTTTTTCTTAAATAATAGAAAATAAGTATTTAATCAGATAATATTTTTTAATCAAAAATTATAACTCTTAAAATATTTGTTATTTTTAAAATATGTTGTGTTAATTTAGATGATGTTTTTAATGCGTAAAACTTAGCTTTAAAAGTGCTTCGCAGCCTTTCAAATTATTTGTTAGCCGAAACAACCATTATATTTTTTTTACAAAATTAATAAAAAATTATTATTAAATTTAAAAAAACTAATTTAAAAATAAAATAAGTTAGAGAGAGAGAGAGAGATAGAGAGCACACAAATTCACTTTCATAATGAGGCTTTTTGAATCGTAACTTTACTTTGTACATTTTTGAAATCCTTCCAGGTAAAATAATTATCATTTAACTTTTGTTATATATATTTTTTCTAATCTACTTATGGTTCTGAAGATTGCATTTTGCTCCCTTACTTACAAAAGCAGCTTTTCGAAAAATCGCTTTAATTCTAAATAACTAAATTTCAATCAATGTTACTCTGCGTGGAATCATTTGATTCCTAGTTAATAAATTGTAGTTAAGACACTAATTAATATTAATATTACTTAGTTAATATTTTTTTAAACCAGAATTGTCAGAAATACGGTAATTTTAACAGATTATTTTTCGTCTTTGTGTAGAAAAAGACCAAATTGATCTTTGTGGCGCTTCTAGTGTAAAATATGTGTAAAAAATTAGAAGTGAATTCGTTTAATTTGGCAAGATTTTATATTTAAAACACAAGCAATTAATAATCATTTCTTATCAGTCTGACTAATTATTTTATATATAAATCTTAATTGTCTCTTTCGTTCTTTAATTTAACTATCTTTATCTTTGATATAGAAGTTCAATAACATATGTTTTTTTAAAATAATGACATTACATAATATGTTTATTACTGGAACTGAAATAGCATTTTATTTCTAGGCATTGCCTTACGTAGCCTTGTTAATAGTTATGCTCTTCTTCATATATGCTGTAATAGGAATGCAGGTCTAATTTTTGCTCTTACATACGAATGTTATATATTATGTCTTATTATTTAAGCTAACTATTTCATGTCTAACTTTTTTAGATGTTTGGGCGCATTGCTTTAGACCCAAAAACAGCTATACATAGAAACAATCATTTTCAAACATTTCCTCAAGCAGTTTTAGTGCTTTTTAGGTACGTGAATATAATTATATGTAAACATTCTCATGATTTATCACAGCTAGTAGTCATGTCAATAAAGTTTAGGGTACTGCTGGATAATTTTAATTAATTGAAGAAAGACAAAAAATATATTTTTTTAATAAAACGAAGCCGCTTTTGTGTAAACAGAAAGATTTAGAATAATTAGTAGAATGTTATAATTTGACAAATTTCAAACTCGTTATTCTTATTTTAAAGTATACACACAGTACTCCCCCACTTAATATAAATTTTTAGAATCCTCGTTATAAATGTAGTCGAGTAATTTCTAGTAACATGAATTCAAATAACATGACATAAAAAAAGTCAAGTAGCATAAATTTACAAATAAGTGAAGAAGAAAGAAACATAAAAATCTTGATGAAACTTTTGCTTTGTGGAACTTCGATTAGTTTCTAATGATCGTCTTTTAACTCCTTTTTTTCCATCCGGAAATCAAACAGGCCTTAAAGTTTTCAGCAGTGACTTTAAAAGTTTTGATAAAAAAAAAGTTCCTAACTTAAATAATTATCTGCGAAATAATTATATAATAAAGTGCAATGTAATAATAAAAAAGTGTAATTATCGCTTTTTCGTCTCTGTAATTTCGCTAGTTTCGTTTCGTTTCTTCTATATGTATTTATCGAAGAATAAAATAACTTGCTAAAAACTTCCTCTTTCCACTTATATGTAGATGCAAAATTCTAGTTGATTAGGGAGTGTCCCTGCCAAGGCTTCAGCAATCAAGCTAATTTTCTTTACTATAATTTATGAACTATAATTAATTTAACTACTTAACTATAGGCTTATTACGTAATAAAATAGCAAATATATTAGAATAGTTAATATATAATGTAATAATAAATATGTAAAAAATATGTAATAGTAAATATAAAAGGATTTAAATAATATATATTAAGAGTGGTCATTAGAAAACACTCTACACCTTACAATAAAATTAAGGAAAACTAAAAATAATTTTCCTAAACGTTTTAATTAATATATGAGGGCTTAATAAGGCCTGGAAGATTCACTCTTATCGGAGAATTTTATTTTTCAAAATTAATTTGCAAACTGTAATTTCCCTTTTTTTCTGTGTATTTTATGAACAAAAAACTTACTTGTTAGGAGCTTTTTCTTCCCATGCATGTATAGATTCAAAAATTTTAGCTATCAAATATTATTTTTCCTAAATGTTTCAATTGAGATACGGTAGCAAAATAATTGCAGATTCTTTTCCTTTGGTGACTTTTAACTCAGTAATTTTGTTTGTAATTCTAATGAATAATAGAAATGTCTTTGTAGTTAATGAATAATAAATGAACTTGCTAGAAGCTTCCATTCCTCATTCTTATGTAGATACAAATATTTTAGTTGATTTGTGAATATCAGTCCCGATGCTCTTCTGTCAGCAACCATGCTCTTTTTCTTTACTATACTTGACAGATTATAAGTAATTGAATTACTTAAGCATAGGCTTATTACGTTATTAAATAGTAAATATATAAAGTAATAGTAAATATATAAAGTAGTAGTAAATATATAATGTAATAGTAAATATATAATGTAATAGTAAATACGTAATATAATAGTAAATATAAAATGCAATAGTAAATGTAAAATGTAATAGTAATTATACTGTGATAAAAAATATATATTAAGGGTAGTCATTACAAAACACTCTCGATGCTATAATAAAACTAATGAAGTATTTTTTCCTAAACGTATCAATTGATGTTGGTGGTTAAATCAGGCTTCAAACATTCACTTTTATCCATGAATTTGAATTTTGTAAACTCTTTAGTAATTGTAATTTCCCTTTTTTTGCGTATTAAAAGAATAATAAAATAATTTGCTAAAACCTTCCTCTTCCCATTCATCTGTTGATACAAATGTTTTTGATGATCAGTGAGAGTCACTCCCGTGGCCTTTCTGTCACTAATCAAGCACATTTTCTTTACTATAATTTACTGAGTATAATTATTTTAATTACCTAAATATAAGCTTTTAAGCATAAATAAAAATTCCTAATTGTTTCTTAATTGCAGATCTGCCACTGGTGAAGGATGGCAGGAAATTATGCTGGCGTGCCTAAACAAGCCCACGACTAAATGTGATTCGCGAGCAGATTTATCATCTGGTGACGTGTGCGGATCGGAAGTTGCTTTGCCATACTTTATCTCCTTTTACATCTTGTGCTCGTTCTTAGTTAGTTGCATTTTTAATGCAAAAATTTTTCAAATTTTTAGTACAATTTAGATAGTCTGAATTTTAAAAACTGTGGAAATATAAACATGCAGCACCCGTGCTAGGTATTTCAAATTATTAGCTAAATTAGCCAAATATCAAAAGTATTTGCCAATTTTAGAAAGTCTTCGCCAAATGCAAATTTTAAAAATTTTTTAAATATTTTTTCTTTCCAGTGGAAAAACTCATTCGCCAATACTTTTGCCAAAACACAATTTTATTCTCCGAATTTACGATTTAATCACATTTGACAAGGTTATGAATGCTTAGCATGGGCTGCGAACATGCAATACTTTATTGCTTTTTCAATCTTTAGCTTGTTCTCAGTTACATTTTTATTGTTAAAACTTTTAATTTTATACTACAATTTAGATAGAATACATTTTAAAAACAACTAGGATATAAGCATGCAATATTTTTAAATATTTTTACATCTTGTACTCATTTTCAGTAAGTTACATTTTTAATTCTAAACTTTTCAACCTTTTACTGCAATTTAGATAGCATAAATTAAAAGAAATATTAACATATAAACAGGCAAGACTTAATCGCTTTTCACATCATGCGCTCGTTTTTAGTTAAATTTTTAAATGCTAAAATTTTCATCTTCTTACACCAGTTTAGACGTTATAAATTTTAAAAACCATTAAGACATAAACTTGCAATACTTTATCGATTTTTTTTCATTTTGTGCTCGTCTTCAGCTAGTTGCATTTTTATTGCCAAAATTTTCAGCTTCTTACTAAAATTTAGATAGTATGAATTTTCAAAACCATTAACGAATAAACACGGAATTTCATAATAGATTTTATCTGTGCATTTAAGTAGCATTTAATTATTTTAAAACTAAACATACTATTAACTAAATATGCTCATAACATTCGAATTTTTATTAGAGTAACTCTAGTTAGACATTATCAATCCTTATTACAAAAAAAAAAGAATTCAAGTTTAATTAAAAAGGGAAGAAATAGGAATTTAAAAGCTTTTGGTAAGATTATATCTCAAGCTAAGAACAACAACTGTAAAATTTTTTTATAAGAGTGCTAATTTGGTATCAAGTTTCACATAAAATAAATGATCAATTTTCTTTTTTTTCCAGAAAATCTGACTGATTCATTATTGATTCACGCTTTTTCAAATATCTGATAAAAGAATTAAAGCACCAAAGGCTCTCACAGTCTTAACATACCAAAATAAAAATGTTACTTTAAAACTTATATAATCAATTAGATAATTATGCAATCAATTATACAAAAATATTTAAAGTAACTTATAAACTTAATGTTACTTTAAATATTTTTGCTTTATGAAAACACAAAGTAATTTTTATAATTATTAGGTACTATTAAGAATGTGTGTTTCTATGTTCTTAACGAGACTATGTTGGATATTACAGATTAAAACCTTGTTTGCTTAGTATTCTAAATTTGCAGTTCGTTGCAAATAGGAGATCAAAGAAATAATATATAAGTAAACATTAACAAGATAATATATGAATTTTATATTTTAAAGTTTTAATTTGAATTTTATATTTTAAAGGAACTTTGAATCTGTTTTTACATATTTTATTTATACTCTGCTAATAAAGAAGTAATTTAATTTTATTTTTAGGTAACCCAAACTATTAATACACTTAACGTACTTAACATAAAATGCATTGTAATTATCTTTTGTAATTATATTTAATAGGTAATTTTTTAAAGAAAATATTCTGGTTGATTATCTTTTATCTACTCTCTGTTAGGGATATTTAATGGATTAAAAGTGTTGATAGTTGTATACAATTCATTTTGAATAGTCAAAGTCAAGTGTTTTTTGTATGCTTCAAAACGTTGTAATATTTTTTAGGTCATAAATCTTTTTGTTGCTGTAATTATGGATAATTTTGATTATTTGACTCGCGATTGGTCCATACTGGGACCACATCATTTAGATGAATTCATTCGTTTGTGGTCGGAATACGATCCAGATGCAAAGTAAGTTAACTTATTTTATAAATTGTTATTTTCATTAAATATTTACTCTAACAAGCAACCAAAATGCATTTTTAAAAGTACTATATCGTTAGCCAAAAATATATTTCAATTCCAGCGATCATTTAACATCTTTTAACACAAAAAAAGACTTATAAAAGACTTATCATTAAATGAAATTAACTCGTGACTTATAATTGCATCATGAAGCGAAAAAATAAACACTAATAAATATTATATCTACTCGAGGGTAAAATTTTGACCTCTATAACCATTTAATGACAGAGAAGGCGAACAGATATTTCGCAAGCGACAAATATTTCGGTGGGACACGACAGTACAGATTAAAGTATTTTAATACATTCACTAACATTCACAAAAACAATTTTAAAAAATAAAAAAATAACTCGAATACTCTGGAGATCTCTAATACTCATTATAGGATAAGTTCGATTTTAGGCGCCATTATGATATTTCCCTGGACGTAAGGATAACTATAGTCCCCTCAGCTATGGAAAATCATGTTGCAGCGTGAGTGCTATGTTGCGTGAGTGCAGTCTAAAGAGATAACCCGAGCTAAATTACAAACAATGAAAAATAAAATTTACAGTAATAAATTTTCACAATGTTGTGAGTAGGTGTTTTAACAGTCAGTTTTACATAATTGCTGCATAAAAACCCCCCAGTTGCAAAATTTAAGTGATTTGTGTAAGTGTTATTTCAGCGTGGCCACTCAAATCAGGTTCCAAATTTCCCTGATTTTTCCAGGTTTTCCAGTAAGAATCTTAAAATTTCCAGGTCAGAGTGTTTTTTTTCCTTCTGTAAAGTGTTGTATAGTTACAATAAATGTGTCAATATTATTGTATTAGTCAATATAATAGTGTAGTATTTCACTTAAAATGTTATTTTTTTAATATATCATCTTGAATAGATGTGGAGGAAACAATATGTTTAGCTTGCAGAAAATAACACTTTTATTGAATAAAAAATATTCTTAAGTGTTAAATAGCTTTTGCACAGAATGTACCAAATAGCTATGACCCAAAACAACCTTAGATAAGTACTGTTTAATATACTTCTATTAAGCAAAAGAAAATAATTCCAGGTGATTAGAAACCAATAAATTTTTATATTTATCTGCATTTCAATATAGAGCCATTTTATACTGTATTTTATCCAAACAGTGCTCTTTATAAAATTCATTGAAATAATTTTCCTTAAATCAATATCATAAGTCAAATGTTTAAATAATGTTGTTTGTTTCGAATTAGCACTATTATTTTAAGGCATGTTCAGTCTTTGTAAAGGAAAAATTTTAAAATTTTTTGTTCAATATTCCATAGAAGAAAACAACTAGATAAAATTCTTAAAATTTTATTCTTTTTCTTATTAGAAATTTGAATATATTAAGAATTCCAATCTAACATGGTTTCCCAGTTTAGATAAGATAATTTTTTTTGTTTTTACATCTAGGCAACTCCGTGGTGTCAGAAAAAAATTAACATTAATTTCTTAGAAAAACTATCTTATAAAACAAAAGTTTATAATCATCAAATTTTTACATAAATATTTAGTATATCATAAACCTATCGAAAAACAATTTGTTTAATAAAAACTGATTATTATAAGTCCAAATTAAACGAATTATCAAATGGCTGTCGGATGTAAATCGCGTGAAAGCAAACAATGATTACTAATTTATAAATTGTCTAAACTCTGTGAATTAGTTTATAATTTAAATGTAAACTCGACTGAATTTTGAAGCAGACATTTAAATAAAAAATTCGATGCAGTTGCTTGTGAAATATGATACATAGTTAATTCGAAATTTTTTACTTCAGTGTCAGTCTCAAATTTCTCAAATTGGATAGAAATTTAAGTTAATGATAACCATTATAATGACTGAAAATAACTTTAATTTTAATCTTAATGCAATAAATATTAATTTTCAATTTAACAGCTTCTTTAAATTTAAATTGTCTTCTATTTCCTGTTGGAATGGCTGGATTAATATGTTTTATAACTTTTTCCATCTTATAAAAGTTAGTTGAAAAATCACTCATTTTAACTATACAACGTATATTAACAACAATGTAATATATAAACATCAATGTAATATATTAAAAACAATATAACTAAAATATAACTATCAAAATATAACTATAAATTATAACTATAAAAACCTTTTTTTATTTTTTATTTTTAAGAGCAATACGGGAAAAAATTTTGAAAAAAATCACTAGTGTTATATCCAATAAAAAAAACTCTATTGAAAAGAAAAATAATCACTGTACATTAAAAAGAAGAAGAAAATTTTTTTACTGTATTATTAGCCTATAACAAATTTTTCTGGGCACAGGAAAAAAAACAATAGCTTTATTTATTGCCTGCATAAAATTAAATAATCTCTTTGTAGTAGACAATATTTACTTTTTCTTCTATTTAGTGGCATAGCTAGCGATGAACAAGAAAGAGCATATGTCCGTTTATAGCATAAAAGATGGGCCAAAGTTTTGAAAAAAAATTAAAGATGAATTCTAGAATAAATTTTTCTCTCTTTTTAATACCCCCTCTTCAGTTTCGTTGACCAATTACAGAACCAATAAATAACTAATGATTTTTATCCCATTTACCTAAAAATTGAATAGGATGTGAGTTATTGTTGTAGTTTGCTAATGGAAGTTGGTTTAATATTTTTTTTCACAAAATTATTTTCTTCTTTACTCAAAAAAAAAAATAATAATAACTAACTACAGAATGTTCTGAATTTTTTCCCCTCTAAATACATAAATTTTTCAAGTTCTAAGCAAAATGATTGATTTAAAATGTTCTAAATGAAGTGAAATTGTTACCAAAATAATTAAAACTGAGATGCTTACCTCAAATAAATAAATAAAATAAAATATCTAAAAACTTCATGGATCAATTTTAAGTTATAATATAAATAATGAACAATTAATTAATTCAGCCCATAGACTAAAAGCAGAATTTAAAAAAAAAAACTACTTTTATAAACAGAAGCAAATATACTAATCCTTTATTCCTCATTCACCAAATTTTTGTCTTTCTGAAACTGCATAGTCCCATAATCTCCAAAGAGGTCAAAGATTTCTCCATTCATTTCCCAACATAAAAGAGTTTGAAATGACATTTTAGTTTAGCAGGGTAATAATGAAGAGAATTTTAATGCAAGTAAAGTATTGCTGAGTTGATGATATTTCAACTATTTTACAATAAATGTACGTCTGAATAAAAGTGGATGGTAAAATAATTTAAATTAAGAGAAAAATTCCAGCTTTTCCTTGAAATTCCTTGATTTTTCCAGGTTTTAATCCAAATTTCCCTGACTTTTCCAGGTTGTTTCCAGTATAAAAAAATTCCCTGATAATTCCAGGTGGGTGGCCACCTTGATTATCTACAAGTTATGACCTAAATATTAATAGAACGTCTGATAAGGTTTCGTAACAAATTTAGCTCTAAATGGGATCAAATGAAGTTTTTGAATGTTCTAATGTAGTGTATGTTAGCAATATTATATACACGTATCACTAGTAGCAATTTTACCTGGGCCCCAGTTGGGATCAAAAATTGCTCAATATGGGTCCTATAAAAACATGCACCGAGAGACCAATATTGAGATGCTTAGATTTTTCAATATTGGTCCTAGAATGGCTTTTAATATTGGACCAAGATTTATTTCTATCTAGGATCAATATTACAAAATATAGACACCCAACATTATAAGCCTATAGGGGACGTTGAAGGAAATCAATCGTGGTTTATTCTTGAAAGCCATTCTGGGACAAATATGAAAAAATCTAGACATCTCAATGTTTACCCAACATTATAAGTCTATAAGATTCCTACATAGAAAATAATATTGGTCTGTTATTAAAAGCCGTTCTAGGACCAATATAGAAGAATCTAGACATCCCGATGTTTACCAAACATGATAAGTGTGTAAGGGTCCTACCAGGAGAATACTATTGGTCCATTATTGAAAGCCATTCTAGAGCCAATATTACAAAATATAGACACCCCAGTATTGGCCCCACATCGTAAGCCTACAAGAGTCCTATAAAGAAATTAATATTGGTCAAATTTTTAAAACTATTATGGGACCATAAGCACATATTTTGAAATTCTGGGGTCTATTTTGAAATAGTAAATATCTTATTTATTTGAAGGACGAAGAAAAAGACACCATTTCTTGAAAGGGGAAAAACATAAAACAAAATATAACTTATATTTAATTGTATTGATAAATTTAATTTTTCATACTATAAACCATTAAAAATATATAACTTTAATAATAAAATTAATATTGGTCCTAGAATGGCTTTTAAGATTGGAAACCTATTCATTTCTCTCTAGGTCTCTTATATGCTTATAATGTTGATAAATATTGGGATGTCTATATTTTCTAATATTGGTCCTAAAATTGCTCTCTATAATGGACTAATATTATCGTATATGTAGGACCTTTATAGGCTTATAATGCTGGGTAAATATTGGATTGTCCATATTGGTGTTAGAATGACTTTCAATTATGAACCACAATTCATTTTTAAATAGGTCCCTTATAAGCTTATAATGTTGAGTAAATATGGGGATGTCTGGATTTTTTTAATAACAGTTCTAGAGTGGTTTTCAATAGTGAACCGCTATTCATTTCAATCTAGGTCTGTTATAGGCATATAATACAAAATAATTTCACAAATATATATATATATATATATAGTTATAAANTATATATATATATATATATATATATATTTGTGAAATTATTTTGTTATCAATTATATACATGATTGCGAAATTTTTTACATGATGTAATATTTTTAACACCATGTTAAACAGTGACAAATATAAAATTTTAAACTAAAAAGAATGGCTTTATAGGCAAATAATAAATTCATTTCTAATGAATTAATGATCTTTCTTCTCACAGAGGAAGAATAAAGCACTTGGATGTTGTGACATTGCTCAGAAAAATTTCTCCTCCACTGGGATTTGGGAAATTATGTCCTCATAGAGTAGCTTGTAAAGTAAGTATTAAAAATTTATTGGAGAATTCTTTTTTTCTTCTTCATAATTTGCATGAATAAATTCGATAAGAAACTACGTAAAAGTTTTAAATTTTTGTGCCGTCAAAACTTAATATTTCATTTAAATCTTAGAAATGTTAAATTTCTTGAAAATTTACGTATCAAATTATAAAAGAGGAAATATTAAACCCGAAGTCAGAACATATAAAATTATGCCTCACTTTTCAGAAAAAATTATTATTAAATGAAGTATCTCCCAAATAGAACACAAAATCCAAAACATAAGGAAATAGCGCCATCAAAGGAAGAGCAATTCGTTGCGCAATGTTTATGCCCTCAGATAGATGCCGATGGTTTCACCAAAAAAGAGCCATTGTCCATTCTGAGGTTAACCATCTCGAGGATGGCCTGATTTCCATCAGACTTTAAACTCCTCAAAGTCTGAATTCATCACTTCAGGACTATTTTCTTCTTAGATATTTAAGAACTGTTGGGTACCCAGATTTCTCGACATCTAACGTCGAAGTAAAGGTGAAAGTTAAACAAGATATCAAAAAAAAAAAATTCTCACAAATGTTGATTTATGTTTTTGACTATTTTGTTATGCGTTCTTAATTTGTCAGTTGACAGATTACAAAAATTCAATATTTCTTGGAATTAGTGCTGAATAAGAAATTCTTTTTTCCTCTGACCCTCTTTCGCTTTTCTGGGTTGCGTTTTATTTGGGACTTACTGTAGCTGTGAATTTCATTATTAAAACGGTATCAAGCATCATATTTATAAAATCATAAAAATGTCCTTCAAAGTTACAACAAACAAACTTATAACAATTTTTTTTTTAATGTCATGAGTGGTTTTAGTTCCATTTTAAATAGCAGGAAATTTCAGTTCTTGTAATTTTTCTAAATCACTGATTGATTTCTTTCCATAAATAAAAAATAATATAAAATTTGTATCTGTTCTAGAAATTAGTCTCAATGAACATGCCTCTAAACAGTGATGGTACAGTTATGTTTAACGCCACTTTGTTCGCTTTAGTCAGAACATCTTTGCATATCAAAACAGAAGGTAACAAGTACTCTTGGTTCAGACTTTAAAAAAAAACGGCGTTTGATTTATTTTAAATATATTTTATTTGCTTTCAGGTAATATAGATGAAGCGAATGAGGAATTAAGAGCTGTGATCAAGAGAATTTGGAAGCGCACAAGCGACGAGCTTTTAGATCAAGTAGTACCTCCTGCTGGTGGTAATATAATATCTTGTTTTGATATATTGGAATGCTAGCTAAGATCACTCGTTTAATGAAATCTTTTAAGATATTTAAGAGCGTTGGTAGTTTAAACTCCCAACGCTCTTAAATATCCTGAAAAATTTTGGTTAACCAAAATTCTGGTTAAAAATAGCAAATTTTTTAAAAGCATTTTCCTTTATCATATTGTGTCTAATGTCTTTATATAAATAAATTTTCCAATAATTTGATCGCTTTCGTATATAATATAGTTTTAATAATTAGTATAGGAAAACTTCGCAATAATTCTATAATATATGAATAAATAATATAAAAATTCTATAAGAAAAATACAGATACTTCCATTAAAACGAACTCAAAACGATAGAATCAAATCCAAAATAAGTATCAATCAAGATGGGAGAAGGGACTAAAAAAAGGAGTGCACTGCTACTTAAAACTTCAGAAACTGCACAGATCAGCGAATCACCTAGGTTTCGAACTCGAATTGTTCCGGAGTATAGTTTTTTGCTTTCTAATACGAACAGTATATAATTACTCTGTAAGAGTTGATTCATTGAAAATACAAATTTCTGTTGACACCATTGCTCTATATTCAATGTTACAAAGGCTTTTTTTTTTAAATCAATTTTTTTTAACTGAATTGTTTTAAAAGTGCGTTATAGATTTAATAACGTTCTTGTGTCATCCGCAACATACACACGCACAGAGGAAAAATAAGCTTATAAAATTTTTGAACTGTAATGTCATTTTCGAAATAATTTATATATATTTTTCATTGAACAATTTTGGAAGAGCTACTTAGGTAAATATGTCGAGTATACTATTTTACAACCAATAGAGTTTTCAAATTTTTTAACAAAATAGTAAAATAACTTTTTATACAATCTCTTACATGTGTATTATTTAATCAACAAAACCGCATAGTTTTTGCTCAACTTTCATTAAATATTTGAAGACTAGTTGATATTTTAATTACATTAGTTATCTATGCATGAATATTTCACAACACGATGAATCATTTTTTTTCCTAAGAATTCTTTTTCAACATAAAACCTACATCAAGGAAATATTTTTAAGAGATAAATGAATACAACAACTCTTTAGAAAACTTTTTAAATTAGAAAGATTTGCAGAATTAGATTACCTTATGTAAAGTGTGAAGGTGGGCACTAAGTACTATAAGAAATTTTTCTTTTAGCTGACGATGATGTTACAGTTGGGAAGTTTTATGCTACTTTTCTTATTCAAGATTATTTTAGACGGTTTAAAAAGAGAAAAGAAGAAAGGTCACATGAGGCAGGAGGAAAAGGTCAAGAGACAACAGTTGCTCTTCAGGTACCTTATGCATGCTGTACATTTAATCATATATAATTATAATTTATAATGTAATTATAATTTAATCATAATTTAATCAAGAGATTCAATTTTTATCAAAAAAGCTTTCAGAATATGTATCTATAAAACTTAGTTGAACAATTTGTGTTTAAATGTATGTAAAAAAAAAAGATTCAGAACTTTCTGAAAATTTGAACTATAAAATTCCTTTTAACTTTTTCAGTTTATAAAACTTAAGATATTCATAAAATTCAACTTAAACATTCTTTCCATGAAAATTCACAAAATCGTTTGCCTAAATTAAATTAAAATGTACTCATTTTTTAATAAAGAAATTCAATTTTTATTTATGCATTTTTTTAGAATATTAACAAAACCCATACTTGAAAAATTTCGTCCTGAAATAAAAAAAAAGAATGAGAGCATTCGGAAATTTAGAATTATAAAACTTTTTTAACTTTTTAAACTTATGAAACTCAAGATATTCTTAAAGCTCAACTTTCAAACTCAATTAAAGCTCAATTTTATTCATTAAAAATAAGGAAATCGTTTGCTTAAAATTAAATTTCTTCGTCTCACTTTAAAATAATGAAATAGGTGGAATACAATAGAGTCATTAAATAAAAATATTTTTTCTAAATTTTAAACACTGTTTTTATTATTAGAAGTATTATAATTTAAACAAAAAAGAAAAACTTCTCTTAGAGATTTCGATAAATAATTACTTATATGACAGTTATTTTTTAAAATTTTAATGCACGTTGGACCGTAATAATTTACATCTGTTCTGTAATCAAAACAATAAATTGAATCTATTGCCAAGAATTTTTAAAACTTTTTCTACACTTAATAATAAAAAAATATTATCAAGTTTAACAACGATTGTTCTACATGAATATAACACTAAGGTTGCAGAAAAATTACAATGTATGACTACGTAAATGAGTATACAGTATGAATCAAGCATGAATATTTTTTTAACAAAACTAACTATTAAGTTAACATAATTTAATAATACCTTTTCACAATAATACAATTCTAAGTTATGTAAAACTTCGTAATCGACTTTAAGATATTTCTTAAAAAATACATAATTGTTAAATGTGCCAATTACTTTGAAAATACGATGCAACATGTTTGAAAAATAAGTAATATTTATAAGTTTATGTTGAAAAATAAATTTATGATTATTTTTGGTAATAATACTTTTTTATATATAAATTTACTTCTTGTATGAAATTATATTTTTGTTATATAATGCATATATGAATATCATAACTATTCACCTTGAATTTACTTTTGTAACACAATTTAAGCAGTACTTTTGTCATTTATTAAAAGAATGAAAATAATTATTTAAAATAATTTACTCTTTTTGAACAAAATTAAAATTTTTAAATTGTTTCTTTGTCAGAAATAATTTACAATGTAATAATTAATATAATAAATACATTATATAATAATTTAAAAACAGACAAACATAAAACATAATGTTTTTATATTTCTTAAAAAAAAAACTAATTTAAACTTCATAACTTATATAATTTTTTTTTCATAGCTAAATATTTTCAAAGCTCAAAACCTAAACCTTCAAATAAATACTATTAATTTCTAAATTTATATCTTCACAATCATAAATATGTTTTATTAGTTGCTATTTTTGAAGTTGAAAAAATTATCAATTTGAGTTTACATAAATTATACAAAAAAAAGAATTGTGCTTATTTGGGAAGACTTTCATCTTATATTTCAAAAATGTAAATGTTTATTAAGTTATTAAATTAAATTATATTTAGATTCTTATAAAGATCTTTAATATGATATGAATGTTAAAGTTTATATAGTATACTTCCATACAAATAACATATCTTGAGTTTTTATTGTTATTTTTTATTCTTAAAATGTATTTCTTCTTATCAATATATACTTTAATATCTCTCTTTCTATTTACAGCATATATATTTTTTCAGAAATTCCTTTCTGTATTTGTCTATACATATTTTTATTATGATAAAAATTTATTCTATATTTTGTCATTTCTTAAATAAAATAACATCTTCTGCACCTTTTATATTGCATGTTATTTGTCACCCATTTATGTTTCAATCTTTTGCTACCATTATCTATAGATATTTATACATTTCTAACATAATAAAACAATCTAAAAAATTCAGTTCTTATTGAAACAAAATCAAATGAAAATAATTAGATTGATGGGAACTAATGGAATTGAGAATGAAAGCATGCTACGCTAGTAACCAATTGTGCAATCAATGATTAATATAGTGAAATAAATATTTACCTTAAAATTAGTTTAAATCACAAATTTTACAGAGAGGTGAATTTTATTTATGCAAGTTGGGATAAACAATGCATTTAAATAACAAAAAAATATTTAAGCAAGTTGAGATAATCAATGTATTTAAAATTCAAAAAACTATTTAAGCAAGTTGAGATGAGCAATGCATTTAAATTACCAAAACATTTTCTTAGGATAATGATTAATATGGATGGAGTCAAATAATTATTGAAAGGACAAATGATTAATATGTAATGAAGTCAAATAATTATTGAAAGGACAAATGCTCCAATAAAACACGATAATTCTATTAAAAAGTATTTTAATTTTTGCAGTTAAATTTTTTTTAAATAATTCATTTTAAAACAATTTCAAAGTAATTAAGGATTTAATTTTCAGTAAGAAATGAAATAGTAGATTGCATGCTACAAAATCTAAAAATTTGACATCACAATAATATATTCACTAAGTTTCTGAGAGAAACTGTCATTCTTATTAGACATCTATTGGCTAATTAATCATATTTTGTATGGCTTGTAGCATAATATTACGATGTTTAAATTACACTTTTTCAAAGACGAATTTCTTAAAAGCGGTTTCAAGAATTTTTAAAAATTTTGCTGTAAAAATATAGTTTTACTGTTATAATTTCTATTGTTACACTCACAGTTATAGTGCGAAGATTATAATACCATAAATAAATGAGGGCCATAAATAACTTAAAACTGCAAAGAATAACCACCAATTTTTTTTCTAACTGTTTTCAGGCTAGTCTAACTTTGTATGGATGGTGTTTCTTGATACAAAACGTAAACAAAAACGAATCTTGAGCTTTTTACCTTCACGACTTCCGATTTGAAAGTCAACAGCTTTTCAAACAGATGATTTTTATTTCAATAATAAAAAGAAATAAATAATATAATTCTGAGCTCAAATCTGCTGCATTTCATAAGATATTAATGTCTTTAAGTAATTCTGATGTGTTTGAAGTAAAAATTTGTTTTAGGTGTATGGTTTCTACATTTAGAAAGAACTCGCTCTTTTAGCAATCCTGATTTGGATACTTTTGACTGATTTATTACAATTATTCTTGTTGCAAGCAGTACACTGTGTATACGTCAGAGTTAACATTTAGTTAGAGTAGCGAGACTTAAATTTATTGTGCAAATTATCATTTAGAACAGAGAGCACACACAATTAAAGTACGTTGAGGCAAATGATCTCATAATACACCGGATATAGAAACACTTAAATATAAGCGGTAAAAACTCTGCAGCGTTCTCTGGTGTATAAAACAACATCCATAAAAATTCAGATTTTTTTTCTTACGAAATTTTAGTTTAAAAAATAATTTTAAATTAATCAATTTTGTTGGAAAAGTAACAGACGCTTGGCAGGTAAAGCATGTTAAAGAAAACCGCTTTATTTTGTTTCTTGTGACAAACTGGCATGCTAAATAATGCATGCTTCCAAATTCATAATAATTATCCATGATTATTGTTCATTAAAACTTATTCTAAATACACTTTTTAAAGACCCTCACGAAAAACTGCAACTGAGTTTTTAATGTAAAAATTTAAAAAAAAAAAAATTTTATTATTAAAATGCATTACTATAAAATTATTAATAAAATTTACTTTTATCTTCCAAATAATTTTCTGTCTTCGATAGATCATAATAGGACCCAAAAGCAGGAAGGAGAAGAGTGAAAAACCTTTTAAAATTTTATTGCTTTCCAAAATTGTAAGAAAAATAATATTCAAACGCAAAACAAAAACTAGAGAAATGTAAGGACAAATTTTGGAGAAATAAAATGTCATCTATATATAGTAATATCATTAGTTTCAGATAATTAATTATATTATGGTATATTATAATTAATTTAAAATTATTAATATATAATAATATATTAATATAATAATAATTTAAAATTTTTAGGATAATTAATAGAATTAATTAATTATAACCCTAAAATTAATATATAATTAATTTTAGGATCTAGAAATGAAACGAGCATATTAATAACAAGTAATAAACTAATATCATAGAGAGTATTTGTTGTTCATTTTAAAACTGAAACATTTTTTTAACATAATATTTAATAACAATCTTATAACAACTTTATAGCATGGAGAAAAAAATGTCAGGAACAGAAATGCATGTTATTTGCATGTTGAAATGATATCCTTGCATGTGTATCAGCTGCTTTTGTAATGTTGTATCTCGTGATTCAATGTTATGCTGTGTTTTGTGGTGACCGTCCTGTGTGTAACACCAAATAACCTTAATTGTAGCTGCTCTCCATTGTTCAGGCTGGACTACGTACACTCCATGAACTTGGACCTGAAATTCGTCGTGCAATATCTGGTAGTTTGGAAGTAGAAGAAACTGAACCAGTAGAACCAGAACCAGCTCATAGGGTTAGTTTAGATAAGAAGAAGCGAACAAGACAATTTCGCCTAATTTTTAATATCATACTTAACATGCATTTTTTTTCATTGAACAAAATTCTATTAATAATATTTTTTTAAAAATATTAATATTTTATGATTAATAATAGAACAGCAATGGTTCAATTTTTTGCTCAGGCACTGAGCTGCGTATATGAACCATTGAGGGTCGATTCCTGGTGCCGGCTGGAAGTCAAGGCAGTTTCAGATTGATAAGTAGCAACTTGTATGGGAAGTAATGTCAGTGCGCAATGTTGACCACATTCGTACATCATGCTGTTTGTCATGAAATTGTGGGTACTTTTAACCTACATGGCCCACAACAGACTGTTGAAGGATTACTTTTTAGCAAAGAAAAAAAAAGCAAAATTATCTAGAACAAGTGTTTTCGAAAAGGAAAAAAAAACACTTTTACAGTACTAAATCATAATAAATACATAAAAAACAGAGCATTTGCATCCCCTTGAATTATATTTACAATATGACTTTCACGAAATCGTAGATAATATTAATTTTAAAAATGATTCAATTTAATTTCCGTTTTGTAAATTAATTTAATTTCGTACGTCTTCTGTCAAAGGTATATTAACTTGTTAAAAGTTGAATTCGCAGAATTTTTTTAAAAATTTAAACATTTCTTTATAAAAATTAAATATTAGTTGGGCTTAGAAGAGCAACGATATCTGATTCGTTTTCTACTCTAGTCCCAAGACTTAATTCCAGGAATTTTTTTTAGTGTTCTAAGTTTGCTTTAACACTGCAAAATGACGCATACGCAGTTAAAAATTATCCGCATACGCTTTATGCGACTCGTTCATTTAATGCCGGTAACATTGATCAAATGACATCTCGACTTTCACTAACCCAATAATCAATTAGATGTATGCATCAGTTTTTATAATATACATACGCTTTTATATTCATTGATATTTTCATTCTTAAATTCTGATTATTATTAGTCGTTTGATCATGTTTATTTAAGACCCATATGGCAATGTTAACTCACACAATCGTTTTACTTAATTCGTCTTTATTTCCTGGAACCTGGAATTATTATGAGGTATTTTTAATCCGATAAAATTGAGCTTATAATGAAAAAGGAGAATATTTTACTCGAATACGCGTGGATAATTATCGCCCAAATAGGCTAAAGATTCTGATTCTCATGCAACTTTGTATATTACAGAATGATAAATTAAAAATCGTAAGTTTTAATGCTTAGATCATAAGAATGGTGATATAAATTTTAAAAGTTATTTTTTTCTTTCTCAGCGTAACCATTCATTGTTTGGTCACATGTGGCATTCAGTCCGAGGTGCTCCTTTAAAACGAACAAGGTCATTAAAATCCAATAGTGCTAGATCTCACGCTAAAGTATCTCCTACGAATTCCTTGGATGTTTCCAAGTCATCTTCACAAAAAGCTCACGTGCCTGGAAATCATATCCGTTTTACACGGGAATCCAGTGGTGCTACAGTTACATCGCCTCTTGCTTTACACAGAGGAAGTAAATCCAGGTAATGTATATAACATATCTATTTCACCAAAAAACTGTAGCAATACTGTACACGTTTAAACAAAATAGTTTGCGTAGTGAATTTCATAATAAAATTATCATGTTGTCAGTAACTCAGTAGAAGCCACGATGGTCAGTGGTTAAAGTATCGAGCTATCATAGTGGAGATTTAGGGTTCGATCCTCGGTGGCGGTTCGAAGCCCGTCCATCTATAGATGGGCGGGTATCAGCTTATCCATATGCAATGTTCATTACCCTTTTGGCTATAGATTGGTAGTTGCAAAAATACTTTATTTTTACTAAATATATAAGTAATAACTAAGTGCGGAAACTAATTAAGTTCGCAAACAGGTCTTTACTACACATATTAATAAACCTAGGTTGTTTTTAATAGCTGTTCACCAAACATTTCTACAATTTGCAAATCAAATTCTCTTGTAAAAGCTTGCTAAAAATCAGGACTAACTGATCATGCCCAGATTATTAAAAAGAGCATGATTCAGATTTTTTTCACTGACTCAGAAAATTTATCAAATATTGCTTCAATAATAAAAAAAGGCAGCAAAAATAAGTCTACATTTGTCCACAAAAGTATCTGAACATTTTCATGATAAATTTATGAAATTTTAGAGTTATACGTTAGTAAGGATTTCTTAGAATTCTCGACTTTTTAACTGCGAGTAAAAAGTTATAGTTCTTATATGGAACATAATAATGACTTATTTAAATTTTTTTTTCAGCTCAGTTTCCGTTGACGATGTCTACTTATATCAATCTCCAAGTCATTCCACTCAAACTTCCCCTCAAAATGCTCCGACTGCTCCCCAAATTAATTATTCTGTGATGGGCAGTTGCAGCAGCTATGAAGGCAGCTTCACTATTGAAAGTAGAGATCATTCCCCAGGAAAAGAGACCATTCCACTTCGATCGTTGAGATCAAATCAACACAGTCCGAGCCCCTTGGCAAAAGTTGACAATAACGAAAGCAATACCTCTAGCGTACACAGCGATTCATCATCGGGTAAAAATGAAGCAACTGGCACAAGTTTCTTAAGGTATATACAAGTTGAATTTTTACAACAGAATTTAATGTCTCAATTTTGGCATTTAAATAAATCACTTAAATTCTGTTTCTGTAGCATGATTCTAATCTATAATAATTCATCAAAGATATCTATAATGATGTTGTTTGCTAAATGAATTTCTTTCATCAACCTCATTCATGTTTAAGTTAGATCTTCGAGGTTTTTTAGTCACTAAAATATTTTCTTAATTAATAGTGGTGACTATTAAAAATGCTGAAAACGAAATGTTTTTTTTTAAATGCTGTTTTTATTTTATGCTTTTAGTTTATGTTCAGATTTAAGTTTGGAACAATATACAGTATTAATTTAAAGTTGTACATGCATCTTCTTTAAAAAAAATAAATAAATAAAGATTACATGAGCGAATAACGATAATCTTAAAGAATTTGACTGTTTCTAATCTAAGCTATAATCAGTAATAAATTAAAAAAAATTGACAGTTTTTATTTTATTATTTTTAAACAACGACGCAAGATCAATTTTCGTAATTAACGAGTTTTAGAATTTTGTTCGAAGTTTTTTGATTCGCTCAAATACAGAAAAATAAAATTAAGAGGCTCACACTCTCGACTGATCATCTGTCTAAACTATCGAACATATTCTTAAAAACACTATTTCATATTTTATTTTAAGTACGAAGCAAAAAATAAGTTTTTGTTTTGAAATAAATTTTTCGTTCCTATATTCTTCGGATTATTATTTTTATTAGGACCATTTTTTTCAGATTGTAGCCACTACTCCCTAGGGTCAAAAAACAGAATCTGATATAAAAGGGTAAATATTGTCTGGGTAACTTACTTAGCCTGTCAAAGGTGTATCTCTTGGGCCATAAAGATTGCATCTTACATTAGTAAATGAAAATCTGATTATTATGTTTAAAGTTATTCAGAGTTTTTCTATTATTTTTCACATGCATTCTACAGTTTGAACTAATTTAATATTTTCATTAGAACTAAAAATGTCGCGTCTCTACTTGGAATTTTCATAATTTTGGAAATAGGTGAAAAAAATGTATTTTACATAATTCTACAAAAGGAAATTAAATGGAGTTCTGTCGAGCAATCAGAGCAGAATATAGATGGGGCAGCCAATTTAACCAAGCCTTCGGGACCAATCAGTCAGTAAAAACATTATCAAGTCATCAAGGAAAGGAAAAGACACATTATTGATAAACATTAAGGGCTACTGATATGAGAAGTAAAAGTATAAACAGCCGTGGGCATTTAAACTCTTCCCATGTATGTTATTAATGTTTTAAATATAAAGATCTGTATAAAATATTATTAATTGCTTAATGTAATAATTTTAGCCTTTGCCTAAAAGACGAAGAGGACATGGACAGCTTAAGACCACCAACTCCTCCACCTAGAAGATTTCCTACACGTTCAGGAGCAGCTTCATTTCGTCTACCATGCCTAGGTAAGCGAGACAGTCATGAGAGGCCTATACTTGTCCGACAGTCTTCCAGTACACACAGTTGCGGGGATCTACGCGGCTCTTCCACAGAAGATCCTCCAGACATGGACGAACGTCCTGCGAGTCAACATATGAGGCATATTGCTGCTTCACTCTGCTTCGCTCATTTACCTGCCATGGCAGTTGCCGGTGTTCAGCCAACAACAGACCAATGGAAGAGGCGCAGAAGACTAGGTGATGGATCATCACATATACCTACTCACAGAGCTTCATATCATGGTATGTGAATTTTACTTTCTCTGTAACTAATTATTAATCCTTACGTATTGGAATTACTTAGTGAATATCGTCAGGACAATCGTAAATAGATATGTCTAAGTTGACGTCACTTCACTTATCTGTCCACTGGAAATCCATCAATGAGTTACAAGACATCAACCAATAGGAATACTCTTCTATTGGGATGTGAACATGAATCATCCAATAGGAATGGTGCGAATGACGATTAATTATTCCACTCAGTGACATCTCTATTGAACTTGGGACTATTTAAAATACTCTGTAGCTGTAACTAAAATATAGATCGATTTTAAATTTTTAACAGTGAAATTAAATTCATAAAACAGGCTCGACAAGTCCTTTTTCAGCAAAAATTCAAATTGAAAAACGTCATATTATGTATATATATATATTATACTTCTTTTCTTCTATTTTCATAATTATTGCATTTATAATCTATAATTATATTGTATACATATTGTATGTAACACCTAAAGTAATAGCTAAATAGAATTAAAGAATCTAAAAAACGAAACCCAAAAAGAATTATATTTTAATTTTATAGTAGCCTTTCTTAACAGATGAGAACATTCAAGAATCTCTTGCACATAATAATAATTTCGCAAATAAATTATTGTTCCATGTAATAAGAGAAATGTCCATTATAAAATCATTGCAGTGAATGTAATAATTACTTAACTTGAATCTCAATAATTGATTACTGTTACTAACAATTCTAAGATTGGTTGTTTTCCAGATTCCTATAAAAATCAAGTTTTTTATAGGAATTTTTCAGATTTTTTATAAAAAATTACAACTTTACCTTTTTAGAGTAAAAATAAAATTCTCTGACAATTCCAGGTATTCCCTGATCCGTGGGATCCCTGTTATACTGCAATCTTGTGGTCCATTATACACAGTTTTTCTTTTTTTCCTCCATTTTTTTTAATGCGAGTAGTTTAGAAATTTACAATCCACAAAAAATTAAAAGGAAACTTTTGCAAAACTGGTCCATTATTGTTGGATGTATGCAATTGGCAAAAGTTTTGAAACTGTTTCTTATTTTTAAGGTTCCCGTGATACATCATTAGGATGGAACAGTGATTCTCCAATAAAATCAAAATCTGGAGATTATATGAATGCAGACATTCTAGGAAGTGCGGAAAGTCTAATAGGAAGAGTAAGTTATTCAGCACATCGTTAAATCAAAAAGAAGACAAAAGTTTAACAAAAATAGTGTGCGTAGTAAACAAAAAAATAACTTTCTCCAAATAATATGCAAAATTCTATATTGCAAAATGTATGAAAATGGCAAAAATAATATTATGCAGAGTGGTAAACATTTACGTTTAAATTCTGAATTGATGCATTTTCAGTCCGACAACAATGCAGTCTCAAAAAGAATAAATGAAACGATAAGTTAGTAATAATAACATCACGGTTAGAAATTTATGATCAGATAAGTGGAAGTTTGCATTGCTAAAAAAAATTCATTAATTTACACTCATCAATAGTAGAAGTTAAATAACTTTTACTTCACTATAATTTGTAATTGAAAAGTTATAAATAACTTCTCAATTACAAAAAAATTCAATAATACCAGTTGTTTTCGGTTGCGGCATTCGGTTCTGCTACATTATCCATACTGAATGAGAGTATTAAAACCACAATTATGAACAGTATTTTCCAATTAAAATGTTAACAAATTTATTTTATAAAAGAGTCAATTTAAATTGGTTTTATAAAACGTTAAGTTACTTTTAAGTGTTAAGTTTGTTATAAAAATTTTTATATTAAGTTAACTAAAAATCAAGTTTAAAAATATTTGCATTCTAATAAAGACTTTTAAGTTCAAAACAAGCAATATAATTTATCTCCGAGAAATTCTCATTATTGAACGTGTAGAATTTTAAGTGCCCCTTTGTATCGCATTGTAATAATTAACTCATTAAAAAGCCTTCTTTATTTGTGATCGAAATACTTGAATATACTAGGAAGACTGGGACAATTGACAAGAGCTTTCTTTCTAATCTATACTCAGTTGCATATGAATGTATTACGATGTTTACATCATCCACAATTCCCTTCGTCTAACTCTAATTGTCAAAACTACATTTTAAAATTCATGTTATGCTTACTTTAAGCATTATGTTCAAAGCAATTTTGAGTTCTTTGTAACTAAAGTATGTTTTTAAAAGGTTTTCATGTCAAAACAGAAACGAGCATACCTCTAACTCCTGACTACTCACACGCTAAAAGCATGCCATTTGTCATGAAAAGGAATTCTACAATACACCTTCTGTAAACTATTTCGATCGCAAATAGTTCTATACAAATTTTTGATTCTGAATCATATAGTATTTTTCCCGAACATACAAAAATTATAATCGACTTTTTGAACCGAAATATTGATATTCAAACCATAACAACTACTACTTTTTTATTTATATTCTATATCATATGTTATCAAAATCATTTGTTCCACATTGCCTTTTTTTAAAAAATTTGAGAGACGAATTTATTTTTAACTTCCAGGTTCTTTTAGAGCAAGGGCTTGGTAAATACTGCGATCCAGATTTCGTGCGTGCAACACAGCGAGAACTAGCAGAAGCAATCAATCTGACACAGGAAGAGATGGACATGGCTGCACACCAGCTTATGCAACTGGAGCGTCGACAAAGTATGCCTCACATGTGCCTAGAAACTAATCCAGATCATGAAACGCTGGATATTGCTGAAGCTACAGACGAAGATGATCAGCTCACTATGAGAACAATCGAAAGTGGAACGGAAAACACAGCGCAAGAGAATGATAATAGTAGACTATCGCCAAGAACCATCACAGTTAATATTGAACAAAATGATTCCAATCAGGATGCTAAAGAATTCCACACAGAAGATACTAATTTATAGTATTATGAACAAGTAAAGCGGTATTTTTACTCTGTGTTATCATTACAACAAACAAAACAAACAGGGATGAATTGAAAGTCCCGAAGCTTATTTCATAGTCTGGAACTGAATTAGAATGTTGGAAATACGGTTGATATTTCGAGAAAGAAAACATGCAGACACAGGTAAAATATATGCTTTTATATTATTGTGTTATGCTTAAAAAGGCTTGTTATAATAACAGAAAAAGAAAAGTTTATGTTATTTTCAAAATATACTACAGAAAATACAATCTATCTGATACATTACATCTGATAACAATTACCTAATACACCTAGTTAAGACAAATAAAATCTACCCGATTATAACAGGATCATAGAATATTAGGTAGAAGGCACTAGTTTACTTCCTTGCAGAAATCCCTTTGCTGAAACGTGATAGGGCAAAGGCAGAAAATCAGAAAATAAAAATTATGCTTTTAGTAAAACTAAAATTGCTTTTAACAGATAATCGAGAGAAAAAATTACGTTTAGTAAGTAAAAAGTATTTTGGCACCGAGTACATGAATGTCAAAAAAGTACTTTTAAGCTTCATATGGCAAATTGTTTTGATCATTAACTGGATATATCGTGTTACAATTTTTACGTCGAATGTTAATGTACTATCACTTTGGGTCAAAAACTATAAATAAAAAAGACAACTATCCGACTTTCTCCTGTAAACACTACAAAGCAGGACAACGTGTGAGTATGAAGAATCGCATGTATGATTTTATTAATAAAATAAAAATTATATTGTAATGAAAATCTACCACTATATAGATTGCTAGTTTTTCATAAAAGCTGAGCCACATTTTTATAGCAGGCTTTCGAGTCTGCAAAGGTGGAATTTCGGCCACTTTATGACATAAACAAACTGACAGACAAAAAATTGAAAAGAAAATGAAAAAAATAAAAAATTTTATTTTCAAATAGACTAAAAGAGGAACATTTTACTTTTGTCAGACCTAAAACTAAAAGCATAGGGAGCGAAACTTTTATAATAAAATCTATCACCACCGAAAATTCCATCCATGTTACTGATCCCTACCTTTCAAGTTTGACAAAAATAAAAATTCCTTTTCAGTCAACTTGAAAAACGTAGTTTTAAAATCTTTATTTCATTATTTTGCCAATGATGTACAATTTTCAACTCTAAGCATCAGAAAAAAAAGGAGTTCTGATACCTTTCTACTTCAATTTTGCAATATTTCATTTATCTTACCTTATAACTTTTCTTTCAGGTTTTCTTTTGCATAAAACCTTAATTATTACGAGCTTTGAAAGTTTTTTCTGGACATAGAATGGAATGTTACGAAGAAAATGAAAGTTGTAAGAGCTGGAGTTTTACTAACTTTCAGAATATTTATTTTAAAAAGGATCTGTGATCCAAAGTTTGTAAAAAAAAAAATATGTATTCTCTTGTCTCAGTGCCTTCAGAGGAGAGGGCCAGCGATTTGCACTTAACCCTTTAATCTTAAGCCAAAGTGAAATAGATGAATTTATAAGATCAAGATCTCTCAGGGTTCTAATGAGTTTCCTCGTTTTTAAACTGGAGTAAATGCACGAAAATATTTTTGTTTATTTTACAAAGCCATTACCGCAGTATTCATTAATATTAGTCAGAAAACAATATTTAATTTACAAAAAAATTAAATGTTAAAAAGGGAATCATAATTTGACAAAAACCTATTTTATGGATTCTTTCACAGAGTTTTTTACTAATTCCTTAAAATTATTAAAACAAAAAAAAATAACATAGATGAAATACTAGCTAATTATAACTAATATAAACAACAAAAACGTTTTCTACAATATCCTATAGCTTTGAAAGGCTTTTTGAAGTTATTGTTGTGGTTATTTGAGTAAATAAAATTAACCGATACAGAGTTATGAACGAAATAATTCTGGTCTTATAATCTAGTGCAAAACCACCAAAGATCATTCCACTGCTAAATTAGATAAAAAGTGTTTGAAACAGACAAAATATCGTAATAGTCTGGAAAGATAGATAGCCAGTGCTCAAAAACGTTAGTATCTTCTTTAGAATGAAAACACTTTTAACCCACTTTCTAAAAGGAAGTGCAATGATGAATCAGTTGAAAAACGCATAAATATTTTTTTTAATCAAAGTGGTTATAGGAAAGGAGGTTCACTAATGCAAAATTTGAGAGGCACCGTATGAAAATTGAGTAAGCACAACTTTGAGTTCTATATGACAATCAATATATTGAAAATTTTCACAAAATCTAGATGGTCTAAGTACCTGAAAAGCGCTTTTGTGGTTAAAAAAAATAATGACACTGCAAACTTGTAATTACTTAAATAAGGAAAAAATATTAACACAAAATAAACAATTGAATATTTTTTCTATATTACAATTTTGTAGAGCAAATGCATAGTTTATATTTGTTAAAATAATTTCCACGTGATTTTACTTATAAGATAAATACAAAGTATCGTAAATATATCTAACAATGTTAAAACTTATTTTTCTCCAAATCGTAGACGTAGAAAAATCGCTTCTTTAAAAAAGCTTACATCTACTATTCAAATACGAAAGATTTAAAATAGCACACACATTGTAAATATTTTTCACTTATTAAACTTGTATCTTTGCGAACCGAAATATTTTATAGGTTCAATTATTATTTCATTTAACTTACTGCTAGTCTATCATTTAAGAAGAAACAATTATACAACTAGCATTTCAAATCATAAAAAAATAAATAAAAATAAAAAAACCTTTTTTCGTATAAATCAATACCAATTATCAATAATAAGATTAAAACTTGCTAAGTTTATAAAAAGGAAACATGAATTGTAGAACAGTTTTTTTTTGCACCCAAATAAAATATATTATATATTTTTTAAATTATTATTAACAAAAATATTAATGTGATGAATATATAATGATAGTAATAAAATAAATAATAATACAACAAAATAATAAATAAATTCAACTAGCCTTAATTGTTTAAATATGTTGTATATGAAAATGTTGAGTAGTTTAAAGTCTTTCAATATTAAATTCAATGGTAAGAATAGACCTACAAATGCAATTAAACTAACGCTATCCTTTTTACTATTTCAAATGCTTTAATTAATGAATTTAATCGATAATTTTTTGAGAGAAAAAAAAATCATTGTATGAAAGCATCATACCAGCATACTTAATAGTATGGCTTTGTAAAAGACAAAACTATTTCATCTAAATGATTAACTTCAAACCACACATATATCTGGTATTAATTGCTGCACTTTAACTATTTTGCACTTAAAATTCAAGTAAAAATCAATAGTAAAGAGGAGTTGGAGATAAATATTTATTCTTAACTTTAAAGAGAGTGCTATAATTAGTTTCCAGAAAGAAATTTAGAAAAAAAGGACAGAAATTAGAGGTAGGTAAATTATAAAGTTTCAGATCGTAATATTCATAATTACTATTGCTAGCACTTTATTACCAGTGTATTTCCAGAGGCTTTCTTATAAATGAAACTAACTTTTGAGAAGAGTATTTAAATCTTAAATATTTGCACTAAACTGTTATAAATATATTAGTTTATATAAACTGCCTTAATATTTATTTTTAAAACACGTGGTCCTTCCTTACAGATTAAGAATTAGGAGAGATGTATTTCTTTTTCCTAAAAGTTGATGTTTTAGAAAACTGTAAAAATTTTCATAATTTAGATTTGAAATATAAAATATCAAATGTTTTCCTCATTTACTAAAAGAAATTTTTATTTAAATCAGAAATAAGTAAATAGAATAAATTACATATTAAAAAAAATTAAAGCATTAAAAAACAGTAAATAGATAACTTAAAATTAGGAAGTTTTGTTTTAGAAATTAATTAGAAATTATGATTATGTATAAGATTTGTATAAGAATATATACAGTCAAACCCCGCTATAGTGAACCTGGGATATAGTGAACACTCGGATGTAGTGAACTTTTTTAGCGGTCCCGTCCGTATTCCTATTTAAATAATGTTATTTTTAACGCTTATAGTGAACAGCTTAGAACTTGGAAACTCGGTTATAGTGNTAGATACGAGTTGTTTTACACAGATCTAGGAAATTTTATACTATTGAGGTTTAAGTTAACAAGAATTATTAAGTTTACAAAAGTTACATTTTTAATAAGTTTAACTGGAAATTTCCTCCCTAATAAAAAAATTAAGTTTTTCAAAATTTATATTTTTGATATATATTAAATTTACATTGAAAATATTTTATTTAAACCATTCAAGTTTTTTAGTAGCCTGGTAGCGATCAGAAATTCTCTACCTTGATATAGAATAATAATTATTTCAAAGCACTTTTCTATTAATATTAATTTTTATTTTTAGTTGAAGATCAAGTAAGGTTTAAATTCATATATACATTTTATTTTTATAAAAGTTAAAACGAAAATAAATGTTCATTCATTAAATTTTTATGAATTAGGCATTAATTTTTAAAATTGCTACTATATATGCTTTAAACAAGTCTAAAAATAAGTTATTATTGAGGTTTAAAGTAACATTATTGAGTAACATAAATTATTTTATCTTAAATGTTTTAATTTAATAAATTTAGATTTCACTTTCAATTCAGCCTCTATTATTTCTTTTATTTTCTTATTCTTTTTTATTTATTTGGAGAACACCATTGATATTAAAAGAAAATCAAGCAAAGGGGGGATAAAGGAATAGAAGTTTCTCGAGAAAGAGGAAGTGAAACATTTTTATTTTACTATTAGAATAATGTTTATATCTGTATTAAGAAAGCGGTTGTGATGCAGTGTGAGAAATAAAATCTTTGTTGTGCTTTTTTCCATCAATTTTTGCTTTATTATCTGTTAATTAGTTAATAATTTTTTAAATAACTTATGCAAAATTGCAAAGCCAATTTTCAATCATTCAACTGTCTTATGCAAAAAATATTCTTCAAAAAATTTGGATATAGTGAACCATCGGTTATAGTGGACACATTACTGAGTCCGCAGACGGTTCACTATAGCGGGGTTCGACTGTATATTATATTCAATATCCTAGGATTAATTGTGGATGGTATATAATTATTATATAATTGTATAACTATCATTAGTCTTATTATATTTACAGCAAATATGTACTTGAAATTTTGATAAAATGCAAAAAAGTGCTTATTAAAAGGGACCAGAAAAATAACATCAAACATTAAAATTATTTATTACTTTCATTTTTTAAAAAAAATATCTTAGTTATTTAATAGTATTAATAAAAAACTGGCAGTAATTTTTAAATGAAGCTGTTAAGAAACTAACAATTTTGACTATTTAAAATTACACCAAGACAGATAAATATACATGTGAGCAAATTTAGATTTCACTATAAAATGCTTTTTATTAAGCAGTTTCATTATTCTTATTTGACTTTAAAGAATAAAATCAATCCTAAAAAATTCTAAAACAGCTTCAAAATCTATAAAAAAATCAAATAAAATAAATCACAACTTGACCCATTCCTTCTTTGTGTCAAGATCAGAACCAGCATTTGACATATCTGAGTCAACCAAGTCAACACATTAATGACATTAAAACTTTTGTTATAAAATAAGGTATAATTCAGGAGTATTTTTAACTTCAATTATTTTGCAAATCTAAAGTTGAAATTAAAATCTAGCATGTTATTTAGACTTCAAATGTTTAGAGTTGAATGTATTTGTTTATAACATCCAATTTGCTGTTAAAACTGATGAGGAAAAGTTTAAGAAAAGTATTTTGTAATGATTAGGTCATTAATTATAAATGTATAAGGCTCAATTTGAAAAAAGTTATAGCTTACACAGAGAGAAAGTTTCTGTTGTAAAACTTGGAAACACAGAATATATTTTAAGAACTCACTTTAAACTTGAGAATAACTTGGTGCTTAATCTTGGGTGTGATCAGTTTGTTTTAAAACTTTTGAGTGTTTTTGAAAAAAAAATGTGATCTATTAATTGAAAAAGATTTAGCATGTTTCTAAAATACAGTATACTCCTGAGTATCGTCAAAGCTATTCACCAGGAAGAGTGACATGTATAGTCGAAAACCCTTTATTTTACAATAGAATAAAATGTTGTTGACAATTTTTTTGCTACATTGTTATTCAAATTTAAATAGTAAGTGATTGTAAAAAAAGGAACGAAACACGTATTTATTACAATTATTACTTAATTTTTATGTCACACATTCTTTGAACTTATGTTACGATTTATTAATTTAATGGACATTTATTATACAATCTTATACATTGCAGTAAAACATTGGTAAAGTTATAAACTTTAAAATATATTTCTCAACGAAGAAAAAAACAATTATTCACTGCATGATTATAATAGAGTCTCGCAACTGACAGCAAGATGCTTTATTTATGCATTATGCAATGCAGTAAAACATTGATAAAGTTGTAAATTTTAAGAATATATTTCTCAACAAAGAAAAACAATTCATGGTATGATCATAATGGATTCTCCCAATTGACTGCAATATGTTTTATTTCAAGACTAAAGTTTTTCTTTGCCTGAAAATGTGGCGCTGGAAGTTAAATAAGTCAAAATTTGTTTTTGTTACTTATATGTTTTATTAATCTAGAAATAACAAAATGACTACTTTTACCATCTGAAATAGATTTTGTACAAATACTTAGCAAGCAAGTATAGTCAGGAGTATACTGGAAAAGACATAAGTTTCCAATACAAAAAAAATAGAAGTTTTAATTTAATAAAAATATTCAACCGAATACAAATATATATATAAATCTGGAAAATAATATATGATTTCAAAACCAGCAATTTTATGTCAGTAAAGGAAATAGGAGATAGTAACCTACGATAAAGAGTAAAATATAATCAAAATTTCAGCATTACATGAAGTTACTATAATCTGTTTTTACAATTAAATTAATAATCATTGATTAAATATGGTTACAAAACATTTTTCACCAGTTTAATGAATATTTTTTGCTATGAGGATGCATATTTTGATATTAATATTTCATAAGCTAATAAAAAGAGAAAAAAAAATACTATGATTCATTTTCCATGCACCTAATGTTGCTGTTTAATATCCTAACTACATATGAAAAATACTTTTTCAAGTGTTATAAAATTCTCTTAAAATATTTAAAACTTTTCTTAGATAAAATATAATCTTTAAAATATAGAGTTCAAATTGTCACTCGTTAAATAAAGTTTTTATTGTAATTGTACAGTATATGTAATTTGTTGCGCTTAAATATTCCTAAAGAATTTCAAGTTGCTTTGATGAATTTATGTACAAAGTGCAAGAAATTCCCCTCTTTGTGTCATAAATTTATAATAACACAAAGTATTTAAGTACTTACAGTGTTTATTAAGAATTTTATGAAAGAAACTATTGTACAAAAGATTTGTAATATATCTATCACCTTTTGCAAAAGTTCTTGATGATGTGTAATAAAGTCATATATAATTCTTATACTTGCCTCTTTATTAAAAAAATAATTTTCATTTCAGTAAAATTTTTCACTACACTTAATTTTAATGATTATTCAGAAGCATAAAAATCTTCAAATTTATTAAACTAACTTTTAAAAGTTATTGATGCTCAATTGTAAATGCAGTTCTCACAAATGAAAGCACATCGAATAATAAACACTAAATGAGTATTTTAAAAATGATATGGATAAATATATATACAGTCAAATTTCTCCCTAAGACTGAATTGAATAGAACTGAGCAATATTTTTATTTTAGACAGTATTCTGCATTACACAAACACTATAATACCAGTTAAAAAGAATTCCTTTGATAATATGTTCTTTCTATCTGCCTCATAAAAGTATCTAAATACTCTATAAAACTTAAAAAAGGCAAACTTAAAAAGGAAACATTTAATTATGACCGAATTTAAATTTAGTTATATGCTTATTTTTACCTTGTTACATTTACTATTGGCTATTTTATACATTACTAATTATAGACTTAAAATTTTCTTTTGAGACACAAAATACACACAAATATTGTTTTGACACGTTTCTGTAAAATATATATGAAATAGAATCAATTGAAGATGAATATCGTGTTAAATAGTGCAGTAAAAATGTAGGGGACAAGAAAAGTTTAATAATTTCCAATTTATTATAGCATTTAAATTATACACCTCTTTTATGTTTGCATACAACATGTTAACTTTTAAATAAGAGCTTCTTAAGTACCAAAAGAAATAGGTATAAAAAAACATAAATAAAAAATACTTCTAAATCAAATACTGTGTAGAGCAATTCAATGTTACAATAAGTCTGTCTTAAACTTAATAAAAGACAATTTTATCAACATTTCTGTCTAATTTTAATTATGAACTAGAGGCTGAAAATTCTTTGAACCATTAAAAAAACCCTTCAAGATAACTGTAAAAATTACGTAAAATTAATAATTAACCCAAGGGAAACATATTTAAGATTTCTGATTAATTAAAGAATCACCAATGAGAATTATTAACAAACAAACTTAAAAATAACAGCAAATAAAATTGCTAAAAAAGCTATCAAAACCATTAATCTTTTAAAAAGTATCTTCTTCACTACAAACATTCTTTGAACAAAGTATGAAAATTATAGTTAACTTATTATACATAAAAAAAACATAGAATTCAAAACATCACAGCGTTAAAGAATGCTTTTAATAAGATTGTATATGTATAATTTATAACTCTACAAATTTTTTAAAGCAGTATTTCTATCAACAAATGGGGTTTATAAATATTTCTAAAAGGTACTGCAGCTGTTGAAAGAATTAAACTTAAACACTTTTATTGCCAAGCACAATTTGTACAAAAAATTCTCTGCCAAGCACAGTATCTCAATTAAAATTTGTGGGGGGGAAATCAGTTTTCTGAGAAGGAAAACAAACCAAGTTTGAATTACTAAAGACTTAATAATGTTTTAATTGCAATGCATCAAGTTAAAACTTTTACTCCCACTATTTTTCGGCGAAAACTATTTTGAAAAAGCTGAAAATTATTTTGAAATATGCACAATTTTAAAATCAATATTTTAGAGTTTGTCATATCAGGACTAGATTGACACAAATAGATATTGAATCAGGAAAAAATTCAAGGATAAAAACAAATTCAGTAAATTATCCTTTTATTACAGCAATAGGTCTTAATTTAATACATTTTTTACTAACTCCTGCCTCATGACAGGTATCAACTACATCACATACATTTTTGTATGAATCTGGGGCTTCTTCCATAACTAGCTTTGGAGATGCAACTCTAATTGAAATTCCCAAATCAGCTAAATTATTCAAAACATCCATATAATCTAAATTTCTTCTAGACTTGGCCCGGGATAATGCTCGACCAGCACCATGGCATGTTGTACCAAATGTTTCAACCATTCCTCTTTCAGTACCAGTCAGTACATAACTACATGTACCCATAGTCCCACCAATAAGAACAGGCTGGCCAGTTAGCTGGAAAAAAATTTTGTTTATGGATTCAATCAAATATACTGCAAAAGAGTGAAACCATTATAAATAATTTGATTTCTTAATTGGTTTGCAATTAAAAGCTATTCTATGTTATATTTTAAACAATATTTTAGATGGATAACATATTTCTTGAGTTAGTTTTGTTAAATGTTATGAAATTATATTTACCTGATAGTCCACAGGAATTAGAGGATGATGAGGTGGAAAAGCTCTAGTAGATCCTTTTCTATGAACAAGTAACATTTTTTCTTTGCCATCAACAAAATGTTTTTCCATTTTGGCAATGTTATGTGACACATCATATATAACATGCATATCTAAGTCATCAGGAGTTGTGTTATATGCTTTGGCAAATGCCTAGAAATTAATAATGAAAACATATTTGATTAATAATATATAATCGACCAATATTTGAAAATCTACAATTATATATAAGTGTTTCATTTAATGTGAAATTAGTTATAGTTTTTCAATAAGAACGTCCTAATATTTCTTAAAATAAGTTTCTATACTTTTCCTTAATATAAGGATAAAATTTTCAATTTAATATCAAAATACTCAAGGCATCTATCTAACAACAGATAGAAATAATATTATACATCAAAATCAGGGGTGAAAGCGAGACGGAAAAGAGGAAAGGCTGGTAGTAAAACCATTTCAGTTATAGCTAGTTTTGGGGAGGAGTTTACTTAATCTTTTTTTAAATTTTTCAACAATATCTTCTTTATCTTGGAAAAGAAGCAGTTTTATATATATGCCAGAATTATAAAAGAAATCTTGATAGTTACAGATATTTAATTTTTTTCGAAAAAAATGCTGGAATGAAATGTTTTACGTACCAGGTTTTTCTCTTTTCCGTCTTGCTATATAAGGGCTTTCACCCATGATCAAAATTAAAGTGATCAAAACAATCATCAGCTGATTTTTACACAAAAAACAAATAAATAAATGCAGAAAAAATTAGCATGGAGACTTTATGTTGTGTTTCTCATGTTTACATCATGAAAGAAAACCCCTGAATGATTTATTGATATGAACTCATGCTTTATTCAACCTCACTGAATAATAGATTATCTAATTGAAGGTAGAATTAATTAATTTTCAATTTACTATAAACTTACTTAAGCAATTTACTATATTCAAAAACAAAACAAGTCAATTTTTTACAATAAGAAAAATTTAAACTGCAATCAACATCAGCTAAATCCTCTAAAATCATATGATAATTCCCAAAAATAAGAGGGCATAATCATTTTCATATATACAGAGCTCAAAATAAAAAACAGACCACCCTGTATAACTTTTGATCCAATGATGGGATCCGCACGTTCTAGGACTTAATCTCTGAATAAACATAAATTTTTTTTCGAGACGGTTTTGGATTTCTAGCCCCCAAAATATGTTCCCAATAGTTTGGTCAGGAGAGCAGTCCAAAGTTTGAACCCCTTAATGTTAATTTTACTTTTTGCATATTTGTACTCGAGGACTTTTTAAGCAAATTAACAAAATTTGCACACAATTATAAAATTCATTTATCCAAAGATAACTCTCTGTGAAAAAATTATGAAGTATTATATATTTTTTATTATTTTAACTAATAATAGCTGAAAAATTTTGAATTGTAAGGTATGCAATATTTTACATAATTTTAAAGAATGTAATTTTACATAACAAAATACAAAATTTGAACAAGATCAATTTCATGGTTCTCGAGAAATTAAATTCTAAAAATGTGATTTCTCTATTTATGATTTGTCCATTTGTCTTCCTCTAAAAATGTGATCTTTACTCATTTCGCTCAGATTCTTTAGTTTGCCATGTAAAATTACATTCTTTAAATATGCAAAAAAATTGCAAACCCTTCAATTCAAAAAGTTTTTCACTAATATTAAATAAAACAATAAAAACTTACTAAAATTTATATAGTGCATGAAATTATCGTTCAATAAACAAATTTTATAATTGTGTGCAAAAATTTTTAAATTCCCCTAAAGAGTTCTTGAGATTTGGCCATACTTTGGACTGCTCTTCTGACCAAACCATTGTGGCTACCCTTGAAATGTAGGGGGTAGCCATAATAAAATTAATTAAATAATAAAATTTAAAATGGCATTATAATCATCAAAAGAACATAACTAAAATAAGGTAAAATTGAGGGTCACTATAAAAATCAGAACAATTTACTATCAAAAACAAAAATTTTTAATAAAAGCTTAAAATTTATCAATTAAAAAAAAATCAAAACACTTTAACAATAAAAATTAAAAAAATTGAAAACTACTTAATTTCAATAATTTTTAGCTCAGTAGGATAAAAACTTAGGTAATAACTTTTCTGATAAACCACATTGAACTGCTTTCACTTTATGTTTTCATTCAGCTAGCTGCAGATTTGATTTTTATGGGGCAGGATAAACCACTGTCTCATCCATTATTACTAACAGATGCAAAATATTTTCTTCATACTGACAAAACAGGGCGAATAAGAGTACAGTACTCAGAAACCCCAAAACGCTGCTGTTTTTTACGGGTGAGTAAACACTATATGAAAAAAAAACATTTGCCCCATTTTTCTTTTTGCTGTCATCCGATAACTTTAGGATGTTAAGCATTTTCTACCGCCCGATTGTCTGTTACTACTGTGAAATATCATTTTATAAATTTTTTTAATTTTTCTTGAACACTCACTATATTTGAATGCCTGGAGCCTTCTGTATCATTGGTGTTCTCCCTGTAGCAGAATTTTTTCGAGCATTCTGCAACAAACCTCTCTATTACTAATATCTTTCTGCAAGATACTTAAAAATAACAAATATACACGTTACTAATTTAAAGTAACAGAAGTGTTAACTTAAAAAAAAAAAATATTTATAAATTAAAAAAAAGCGGATAAAATAAAATAATATTTTTAATTGAATATGTAATATTCCTTTTATTCTAATAGTATGGGAGGTATTCTCAAATTTTATAGGAAGATAACACTTTATTTTCCTTTTTCTCATTTTGTAATTCATCATTACATTAAAAAAAAAGCGAAATCTGTAGCAGTAATTATCGAAAAAGAGGTATATGGCTAAATCACGCGAACCGGCGTCTTCAAAAAGCGGCAACTAAATGCCTGTTTTAATTTTGAGATTCAGTTGTTGTAATAAATAATATCATATTAAAAATACCGAGTTTTAAAACTATGTGGAAATCAGTAGTAATAACAGCATGAAAAAATAGTAAGAAAATTTCTACAGAAAAGAAAACCAAATTTTTTACTTCATTATTCTTTATTTTTCATTATTCCAAAGGAAAAAATCTTTCTCGAAGAACTCCATAAAGTTCTGCAACAATATCGTCACGATTCTGAAACGGGGGTGTTATTAGGGTCTCCTTTCTTTGTTACACTTTTCAAGCCATTGTTGATCTTGAATGGCATTCTTCTTCAAGAAATATTTTTTTAACAGATACACACAATTCTGTTTTATCTAACCTTCTCTTCTAACCCTTATTTTGACTAAAAACTAACTGAATGTTGATAGCTTGATAAATAATAGTTATAATGGTCTAAACCTTAAACAGTTACTTTTTTAGAGTATGTACATATTACCTAACATAGGCTTGGATTTGATTTTAGTAACGTGGTTTATGAATTGACCTCAGGACTGACATATTCAGAGTATCTGCTACATTTCAGATTTTCAAGGTCATGACTTTTCATGATTTTCCATGACTAATTCCAAGAATTTTTCATGACTTAACGAAGTTACTATTTTGTCCAACAAAAACGCAACAATAAATTTAAAAAAGCATTATAATTACATTAATTGTAATGATAGGTATAACCAAAACTGTTATACTCTGCATCTTCATATTTATAGATTTTAAATTTAAAAAACAGAGTAAAGAAAGAGTTGAAACAATGAAATAGCTATAAAAAATACAAAAGCAAATAATTTTTTTCCCACTTTTTTTCTGCAGAATTATATTCTAAAGATACTTTTCTTGTTCATCAGAAAGGAAAGAAATACTTCTGATTTTTCTGTTCTCATTTCCAAATAAAAAAAATTCGCCAATGACTGGTTTGCTTTAGCTAGAATTTTAAATCGATAAAATTTTAAAAAAATTAATAAAAATTCTTAAATCACAGAAGTTTAAAAGATAATTCGCTCTAGAAATGTTTTTTCTTTTATTTTTTGAAAGAACACCATAATTTTTAAAAAACATGATAAAATCATTTTATATTCTAATAAAATAGGACTGAGTGGTGATTTGGTTAGGAATTCAGAAATTTGGATCGGGATGAAATTGGGGGGGGGGGGGNCGGTCAGCGTGCCTGACTGTGAAGCCAATGGTTACGGGTTCGAATCCCGCTCAGGGCATGGATGTTTCTCTCTGTGTGATTTCTCTATTGTGTGATGTGTGAGTGTGGCCCACCCTATAAATGGGTATGAGGCAGTGTGGCGTGGGTAATGTTGCTCGCCTCCGTGACTTAGGTCCACAGGTGCCCACTGGGTAACGTAACAACTCCGGCATCTTCTTAGGCGAAGAACGAAAGTTCGGTGCCTGCCGTTAAAAAATAAAATAAAAAATACATTTCAAAAATTAGATTTCTCGGAGACCTAAATTCATGACTTTCCATGATTTTTTTTAAAAAAATAGTAAAAATCATGACAAATTTTGTTCAATACTGAAATTCATGACTTTCCAGGTGCGTGAATACTATGTATATTATTCATCTTTAGTTTACAGTTATTTATATCAACTCAGCTATTAATTGAAAAATAAGAGTTATAATCCAGGAACATTTTATATTCTTTACCCTTCTTACCTGTTTCAGGGTTCATGCTCTACTTTAATACTTTTTTAAGACTTATTATAAAATTCTGTAGGACTTAAATTTCAGTAAAAGATAGACTAAAATTTAACATTTTAAACTAAAATGTTTTGACGATAATAGCAGTACTGAAAAATAAGACTTCCATTGCTCTCTCTCCTGATTTCGGAAAGTGATCTAAGTATAAAAAAAGCAAGGGTGATTGGCATCAAGTCAAGAATAAAATTCATGAAGCATAAAAACGTTGGATTTGAATTTTGCATAAGGCCTATTTTAAGCTAGGTATACAACCTCTGAATAAGCAAAGATTCGGGCAGAGGACGGGGTTGTTCTATATAATACAGTGATATCAATTAGATATTTAAAAACAACTCTGCTGGGAGATTTTTATTTAACATTTAAAGTGGCAGAAGCATTTAGACAGTGAGATTTAAATTGTTCCTAAATATTATTTTGAAATTTCGACCACTTTTCTATGAAAGAAAATTAATCAATTATTGGATGTTGCGGCTTAATTATCATTTTAAATTTATTACCGGTCAACCATTTTAAATTGAAACAGTTGCCAACTTTCACCTCAATATCTTCTGATAGATTCTTACTAACAATTTTGGTCACCTTAACTGTTTTAATTAACCACTCACACTTGAATAAATTTTTTTTCAGTAGCATCGATCATACGCACTTGACATGGTCACGTGAATACGAATCTCAACGAGTAGTTTTCAAATCGCGTATAAATACGAAAATCGATGTTTGATATTGCAAAATGCGTGAATACGAATAGCGATATTAGATTTTAAAATCTCGGAAAAACTAATCACGACATTGGGGCTTAAAAATGCTTAAGTAAAAATCGCGATATTGATTTTTAAATTGCTTTAATGGGAATTGCGAGTACAATTTTTGAATCACCCGAAAACGAATCGCAACACATAACTTTGAAATCAGTTTAATACGAAGATCGATGATTGATATTAAAATTGCCTGAATAAGAATAGAGATTTTGTCAGAATCTGGTGCAGTTCCCAATATTTAAAATTCCTAAAATCAGCCGAACATACATAAAATCCTAAAATCAAACAGTACATGTCATCATCTGATAGGAGGGAAAGTCGTTCTCTCACACTTACGCGCGTCAAAAGTTAAACACAGAAATGCTAGTTGAAGCAGTTGCCAACTTTCACCTCAATATCTTCTGATAGATTCTTACTAACAATTTTGGTCACTTTAACTGTTTTAATTAACCACTCACACTTGAATAAATTATTTTTCAGTAGCATCGATCATGCGCACTTGACATGGTCACGTGAATACGAATCTCAAAGAGTAGTTTTCAAATCGCGTATAAATACGAAAATCAATGTTTGATATTACAGCATCGATGTTTGATATTGCAAAAGGCGTGAATACGAATAGCGACATTAGATTTTAAAATCTCGGAAAAACTAATCACGACATTGGGGTTTAAAAATGCTTAAGTAAAAATCGCGATATTGATTTTCAAATTGCTTTAATGGGAATTGCGAGTACAATTTTTGAATCACCCGAAAACGAATCGCAACACATAACTTTTAAATCAGTTTAATACGAAGATCGATGATTGATATTAAAATCGCCTGAATAAGAATAGAGATTTTGTCAGAATCTGGTGCAGTTCCCAATATTTAAAATTCCTAAAATCAGCCGAACATACATAAAATCCTAAAATCAAACAGTATATGTCATCATCTGATAGGAGGGAAAGTCGTTCTCTCACACTTACGCGGGTTAGAAGTTAAACACAGAAATGCTAGAACTAGGTCTGTTTTCCTGAGTTTCCGATACTTTTCAAGGTAATTTTGAATTTTTCAAGGATTTATTATCATTTTCAAGTACTTCTAGGGGCCCTTGAAAATCAAAATGAAATTCAAGTACTTTTCAAGGTTTTTTCAAGGCCGCGGGAACCCTGTGTTTGCTAGCAAACAAGTTTATATGAAATGTTTTAACTTTTCAAACATTTATTTTGTAATGATGATCTTAGATATCCCAAAATAATAAGAGAAACCAGCTACCAAGAGTTAAAGTTACATAAATATTATATATAAATGTTTGTTCATAAATAAGAGTGATTACTCTTATTAAAATAATTCATATTATCACATCGGATTTGAAAAAGGCTAAAGGCTAGTTATCAAATATATAAAGGACAATAATTTGTAATTAAATCTACTTCTTAAAGTACAATACAAATGGCAAATTTACAAGCTCAACTAGATATTTAGTCTTTTCCACTCACTAATTTTGAATAAATAAAAGAAGAAATAAAACAAAAGAAAGAAAGAAAAAAATTATGTATATTGGAAGCACAAATTAGTTTGGTCCGTTTTCAAAAGATGGCTCTGGCTGTCATGAAAGTTTCATAGTGACAGCTGGTTTCGGTGGTTTCAGAGGTTAGACATGCGTCAATAATATTCAGTTTATATCGCTTCGAGTTTCATACAAAAGCCTTGTTTTTTACTTTGTTGAATGTCAAATTTTGTGGTAACTAAACAGCATTTGAGGAAGATTTTGTTTCTGCCTTAATTGGAAAAAAATTCAGCTCAAGCGACATGCTTGTAGAAGTTTATGGTGACAATGTTCCAACTGATAAAAAATGTAGGGACTGGTTTTGACATTTGAAGAATGGTGATTTCAGCGCTGAAGACAAGCTGCGCTCTGGATCTAAAATTTTTTTCAAAGACAAAGAATTGGAGGCATTACTCGATGAAGATCTGAATCAAACACAAGAGGAGTTAGCAGAATCATTGGGAGTTAAGCAACAAATCGTTTCTGCACGATTGAAATTCATGGGTATGATTCACAAACAAGGCAATTGGGCGCCTTATGAACTGAAACCGAGAGAAGTTGAAAGGCAATTTTTCAATTGCGAGCAGCTGATTCAAAGGCAATAAAGGAAGGGATTTTACATTGGATTGTGACTGGGGATGAGAAATGGATATTATACAACAACCGCAAGAAGAAAAAATACTACGCTATGTCCGGTCAATTGCTGCCATCGACACCAAAGCCGAATATTCATGATTCAAAGGCCATGTTGTGTTTCGGGTCAGACCAAAAGGGGGTTGTATACTATGAGCTGCTACAACCTGGCAATTCCATTATGGACGATCGGTATAGGCTACAAATGATTCGCTTGAGCTGTGCATTACGAGAAAAATGACCGGAATATGAGCAAAGACATGACAAAGTTATTCTTCTGTATGATAACGCTCGTCCTCATGTCGCAAAAAAATTATTTGGGAACACCTAAGTGGGATATTTTATTTTATTCCTGCTTTAAATTCCAAGAAAAATATATGCAACTCTAAAATTTTTTTAAAGGAAGTACATTTATTCAAACTAAGGTAAACAACGTTAAAGAGCACAAAAATAAAAGCAGACAGCTGTTTCGGATGCTCAAAGGGTAACTTTTATCAGTGCAACAGTTATTTTTGTGCTCTTTAACACTGTTCACCTTAGTTTGTATTTTAGCACAAAGGTCGCCCACTTGTGTATTTAAGTACATTTTTGCCTTATCCATAACTAAAAATATTGCTAAGCTATTTTACTTGTAAAGAATCAATCTTTCTCCTGTCCACTTGCTTTATTTTTGCAAAGAAAGGAGAGAAAAAATGATACTGCTCACGTGAAATAATTCGGAGAGGGGCATCTTTTGATCTTTTCAACTGGACGACACAGGTTATTAGACCCCACAAGCTGAAATAACCTCTTAAATGCTTCTTCTGCTCCGAAAATTTCTTTCATTTGCTTATCAATTTGAAGGAAATATTTAACACAGCTGGGTTAAAAAAAAGAGAACAGAAATACAGTCTTTGAGGTGTTCATATAAATGAAACATTTATTCAGATACTTGACAGATAATCAATTGTGAATATATCAAGTCCATAGGTCCTCATGCCTTGCAGGTATGCACTGATTCTTTTTCCTGTGAATTGAGGGAGGTTTTGATGTATTAATCATGTTTTCTATCAAATGATGGGTAGGTGTTAGGGGTGTAAACCTATTATATTAAACTAACAACTGATGACTAAAAGCTCCCATTTGGTATCATATGACTAACGTGAATATCTGTATTAATAGGAAAATTATATTCCTTTATCTGTAGGTACATCTAGATTTATGTATTTATATCTAACTTTTTTCATATATTCTTTTGGTTTAGAAAAAATAATTTTTTTTAAAGTTTAAATAAATATCCATGTAGATAGTTATTGTAGATTATTTAATTATTTCTATATCATTGAAAATATTCTAAAAACAATTTATCCTGTCAAACTTCGTAGTTAGGGTACCCTTCCCGGAAACGGACAACTCACATAGACAGACAATTTTTTAGGTCTAGAGATTGTCCACTTAACAGAAGTTTCATTGAATATATATAAACAACAGATCACTGTTTGAATGAGAGTGAAACAAAACTAAATTTCGTTAAGTTCAAATACTAGTTTGTGTGTATATTCAGCATTTAAAAGCTACTAATACTACCAATAAATCAGAAACCATTTAAAATATTTTGAATAAATAATCTATCCACATAATGAATACAAATATTCAAACAAACTATATGAATCATAAATTAATAATCTTGCACTAGAAAGTAATTAAAAAAACATATGCGTAAAATTATTCTAAACTATGGAAAATTTTAAACAAGAAAATTTAAAATAGATTTTACAGGTTTCAGAACTGCATACCTGTCTACTTAGGAATGTCATACTGGCTCTATTCACCCAAGCAAAATTACCAGCCGCAGCCATTGATTTTAAGTAATCCTGGCCTTCTTGAGATTTTATATGTGCACAGGCCAATTGGCGATCATTGACTTCAATATTGTCTCGTTTCATTGCTTTCTCCATAGCTACAAGAGCATCTAGAAAGTAAACAAAATTTTAAGATTAAAGTGTCAAAGTCTCATAAAGGTATTTACAAACAGTAGTATAGCACAGATAAAAATGTAGTTTCACTTAAATAATCAGATTAATCACCATATAATCAGATTAAATTGTAATAATATGCAAAGCATATATTTTTGACATTACTCAAAACTAAAGAAGCATAACAATGTCTCATAGTATAAAACAAAACTCACTGAAATAAAAATGAAAAAATAACATGTATACGTAAGGAAAATAAATGAATACCAGTATATTTATTGACACTCTTGTTTAAAGAAAACTTAGTGATGCTTTCAAACCTAATTAATATCGAAGCATATTTTATTTTTCATCAGAAATAACTAAATTTAAAAATGTAAATTAATAATACATACAAGGCAATTCATAATTCCAGCTACTCATAATTCCTTCCTATCATGAGTGACTTTTAATTTGTGGGGCTAAGTAAAAATCTCTTCTTCACATTAAGCATTATTTCAGTTTTATTTGGTTTGATTTTAAGAGAATTAATGCAACCTTAAGTGTCAATTTTATCTAAGGATATTGTATATTAGAACAGAAATTCCTTTACAAAAGCATTGCATACTGATGATGAACTTTTGCTTTCCTTTTTATTTTCCAGATTAATTTTGTTTTTTAATAATTATACTAAATTTTTTTCATAATTGTTATATATATAAATTATTATTGGGGAGAAATCAAAATATTAATGCAAAAATAAAAATTAAAAAAGATTAAAACATCCAAATGGAAAAATGCACTTAGCAGCAAAGAAACCAAGAGGAATTAAACAAATGAGACATTGAAGAAAAATTAGCAAAAAATCAAAAAAAAAACATGACAGTCAAAGCTGATGGCATCGGGGGTACCAGCCTTGAATTGTCATGAAATGCAAAACTTTTAAGGCTGGTACTCCCTGATGACGTCAGCTTTGAGTGTCATGTTTTTTCCAATTTTTTACTAATTTTTCTTCAATGTCTCATTTATTATTGGGGATGTATAATTATTTAAAAGAAATATAACCAAATAGAATTTACGTTCGGCTATTTAAATCAAACTGAATGCTTTGCATAGAAAGAAAATAATGTAATTTGTAAAGTAATATAAATTGTGTTTGTAATTTAACTATTCTAGATGTTCTTTTGCACCTTTTTCGATGAACTTTGATAATGGAAGTTATTTATAAAAAAAAAACTTATGTATAAATTCATTTAATACCAGTTGCAACTTGATGTCCAAATCCTCGACTTCCACTGTGAATCATAACACAAACTTGGCCTTTAGAGTCTATTCCCATTTTACTGGCATTGCTTTTGTCAAAAATTTCATCAACTACTTGAATTTCAGCATAATGATTCCCAGCACCAAGTGTTCCAAGCTGTGAAACAATAATTTACGTTATAAACTTAACTAAAGGCAGTCAAAAGGGAAAAAAACAATTAAAAATGGATATAGCAATGATGTTCAGTTCAAAATAAAATCATTTTACTATCAACTCTTTGCTTAGTTTGAATAAAAAGCTGGTTGTTTTCCCAAACTTCTAATCAATGTTTTAATTTTTGTCAGTAATTCTAAATTACACGTTGCCATATGATGTAGATATGAATTAAAGTTTACTTTCCTATAAAATGAAGTTTACTTGCTTATTAGTTATATTCCTATTAAATGTTAAAGAATTTCAGACTTCAATTCATCAATTTGTTAAAAAAAACATTGATAATTAAAAGAGTGAACGTAACTCAACATTTTAGTTTGACTAGAAATTCTATTTACAATAAATTATACATTTTCATTTCTAAAGATTTTAGTTTCTACATTAAAAGTGTTAGACAAATGATCATGAAATAAAAAAATTGAATATACTGATGAATTTTTACAGAATAATTAATAAAACCTTGATTATTCAACAACCACAAAACCAGGATTCGATCAGAAAATTAAAACTATTGAATTATAAAGGGTAACTTTCATAGTAACACTTTCTAAGAGTATAAACATTAAAATATAATAATAAATAGATAGCTATTGTAAGAAAAAGTAAAGTAATACATAAACCACCTTTAAACAATTTTTCACTGCAACATCATGATTATAGAAATTGACAAAAGATTTAGATTTAAAGGCCTGGTTTCTTAGGACAGGACGCCGTCAGCTGGAAATCAGCGCTAACCTCTGATTGGTCCATTTGTGAGTTTGATTATATTTTCAGATACCTGATTCACAAATGGACCTGATTGGTCCATTTGTGAGTTTGATAGTAAACGTCATCGAACGCTCATCTTGAACTACAATTGCCGTCCAACTCAACTGCAGTTGGATTACAACGTGACGTTAACTACAGAAGCAATGGCGGACAACATCCAACAGCACATTGAAATCAGCCAAGATTTTGATTTTGGCATAATGAAAACTTTGTGTATGTATACTTTGTTACCTAGCACTCTTCATTTAGCTCAGCTATAATGTGATTTTTCTTGGACAAAGTCATTATCTGTTCTCTAAAACACTGGTCGACAATAACAAAATGAATACAAATTCAAAATAAATATTTGTTTACGTTATTAACGCATGCGAAATGAGAGATAATGTCTGCGTCGGACCGACTGCTCACGCTGAGCTAACAAAAAAGTATTTTTTTGCCGTCAGCTCTACGTCAACTTTCCGCTGACGCTCAGATAAGGCGCTTGTCCTAAGAAACTAGACCTTTACAAAGACAATTTTTCACATATAAATGACTTAAATCACACAGTGCTTTGTATTTATGTCAAATTATAAAATTAACAAAAAAATAGCTACTTTTGAAATTTGAAAAAGAAACAATATGCATGAAGAAAGGAATTAAATAAAACTGTCATTTCCCCACATATGTTTGAACTTTTATAGGGGTATTTGCACTTTTATAGGGATTCACAAAATTGTAACAGTTTGTGACAAGGGGGTGAGAGGAGGTAACAAGAAGTGTGGCAGAGGTATTTGTTAAAATAAAAACATTTAAAATCATCGTTGAAATATTTATAGAATATTTTATAATATATAAATATTATTACTAATCAAATTATTATAATTGTTAATCTCCTCAATAAAAGTTTAAAATTAAACACAAACAAAAAAGTTCAAAAATAAAAGTTAACAGTATTTAAAGTTTGAAAATAAAATTTAAAGTATGATTTGTAACATGAATTTTGTTTTTAAACTGCTGAAATAGATTGACACTTTGTGATGACGAAGGGGAGAAGGGGTAAAAAATGTTTAAAAAAAAGTGGGACATCGTTTATTGACAGCCCCTTACCAGAGTGTCAGATAATTGAGATTCGACTGCAGCAGACGAAATAAAGATCGATACAATTAAACACTACATAAACTTCCTGATTATAAACTACCGTGTAAGGAAATCAGCAGTGAAAAATAATTTTAAATGAGTAAAGGTTTAAAAGTTTGGTAAAAAAAAAAGTTCTTACAAAGATTTTCAAATTAAAAATCTGTCATCTAAGAATATTTTTAGCCTTACCTGAGGAAGACCTCGTTTTTTTGCTTTCATCGAAACTTTAGCTGGATCAGCTGTTAGCATTCTGCCATACTCCTCACAATGTTCCTTGTCTTCTGCCCAAGCATAGCCTACATTTGGAAGAAAATAAAGTTGCAATGCAACATTAAAATAAAACAAATTAAATTACAAAATTAAATACACAAGAGCTACTTTATTTAATTAAATATATAAAAATATTAACTTTGAACAGATTTATTCCTTCATATTAGTTTTTTGGAATTATCTTAAAATCTACACTGTGTGCAATTTATAGAGAAATTTTCAATTAAACAAGATTTTATAAGAAAGTTTTTGTAAACATTTTAAGTATCATTTGATTTTATTTTTAGGAGAAAAATCTAGAAGGAAAATACGTAATAAATAAGTTGTTTTGTTAACAAGATAGTTAAACAAAGTTATGATCCCCTTCCTTCTCGCTCCCGTGAAAATGACGGGGTGAGTTTTTGCTTGCTATTTCTTGCTCTTGTGATATTGACGGGCTGGAGTACTCAGTAGAAACGTGCCAATAAGAATAAAACTAATTCTTTTTTTTTTCCCGGAAAACATTTTATTTCTCATTTTACACACCATATAGCAGTACCAGGGTATTTTTAAAGTAATTGTAAATAGTTAGTTTATTTTAAAGTAGATACTAGCAGTAATCAAATACGTGTATTTGGCAAAATAGACACTTTCATAACCGTTTTCTTGAAAATTAACCGACCATTAAGGATTTAAAAAAGGAAAATGTTTTTCTAAATATAAGCCCCTGTAAAACCGTTTTATGGCGTAAAATTTTTTATGAATAATGCTGCTTAATAAAATTATTTATTATAATAAACAGACTTGTTCGGGAATAGATAAAAAGACTTAAGCCCTTTTTAAAAAAAAAAAAAATAGTAAAATGTATTTAGAATCAGTGTGCTTTAAATGATAGACAGCCTAGGTTTCAATTCTGATGATGGCTAATTAATTAATATGCTTATTAATAAGTACACTGAACACAATGTTGTTACTGGTTATGGGTTTTAAAGTTGTTTTTATTTGGTTAACTTGATAACTACTAAAACTTTAAGTAAGATACATGATACTTTACTTGAAGTCATACTAAAGAAAACTACCATTCTTATTTCAAATTTTAAGATAAAAAGTGAAATTTATACTTGCCTTCTCTTAGAGACCAATCCATTCCCATTTCCAAGGCTTCCTCCAGGTCCCTATAAGTCATATATAACTTGAATAATATATATAGTATTAGATATCCTTAAAATTATGCCTGAATATATTTTAAACCAAATAAGACCAAAAAAATATTCAGTTTAAATGTAGGTAATAGTTAATAAGTTAAATCCCACAGCTAAGAGTTCAATACTTCTAACAAGTGTTATTATATAAAAAAGTAAAATTTACCTTAAAAGAAAAGGCACTTTGATTTATAGAACTTATAAAGACAAAAGACTAAAAATAAATTGTAATCATACAATGTCATTATAATACAGCAGCAGAAGTTAGTATTTTTAATGTAGCAAAAGAAATTAATAACAACTATTATTTTACTTTTCATATGAAAATGAAGTAGAGTACTAGCAATACAAGTAAAAAAGAGATATCACCAACTCAGATTATGTAGATTTTCCTATTATAAAAACAAAGCATTCTAAACAGATACATTGATTTTGATGACACAGTTAGATCTCCCAAGGAAATAAGTTATATTTAATGCTGTAATAATGAAACATTATGTAATAATGAAAACTATAATATTCATAATTTCCATTTTTCGTAAGCTAGACTTCAATACAAATTCACATTAAGCAAATGCTTTCTAAAATTACATGCTACATTATTATTCTTAAGGTAACATAAGATGATGAGGAGACAGCAGTAGCTGTAGTTTCATGTTGGCCTACTCTTAAATTAATTGTTCAAATAATCTTTGTTGATTAATTGCAACATATAACCATATGTATCATAAAACATATTTTTCAGGAATTGAATTTTATACATGATACTGCATACCATGATAGGTCATATTTTTTGTTTATGGTGAATAAAATAATTTGAATTTATTTTAATAGAAAATTTTGTAAAAAGTACTTCTCAAATATGCCTAGGTAGTACCTTAGACTTGGAAGATTATTGAGAAGTTTTCAATTTTCTCGTTGTCTCTCTCTCTCTCTCTTTTTTTGTAGTTAAATTTACTGTTGTTTTTGCTAAAACTGCTCAAAATTGATCTGGAAGATGATGAAAAATTCTTTTAAAATAAGCAATGATATTTTATAGGTAATTTCATATCATACTCTTATCTTTTAGTTTCCTTTTTACATTTACTTTTATTTTTGTTTAAACTGATGAAAATTCATTTGAAAGATAATAAATAGTTTTTTAACAAAAATAAATAAGGGTAAAGACATTTCATCAAAATTTTAAAACTAGCTAAAGAATACTAATTTCTCAATTGACAATGCTAGTTGCAGAATAGTGCTGGTAAAGCTTTTTTATTTAAAAGAAGAAAAAAATCTGAGAAATTCTAGATGATTGCTCATTATGTCTCTCCAATTCTCATTGGATGATGACTTCATGCATGTGAATTTGTGTTAAAACATATATCATATTTCATAACTTATTTTCAAGTAGAATAATATATCAATGAAAAAATTATTGGTAAAACTTAATTAAAGATGATTAAAAGTATACTTAACATTTCTCATTAATCTTTGAGTTATAAGACAAGAGCCACTTAATAATTCACATTAATTAAAAGAAAAAAATAGTTACTAAAGTGTAGAAGTAGTCCCTATTTAGTAAATTGCTCTATTAGTTGTAGTTTCAATTTAGTAAATCATATTGTAAATATACTGTCAAAACATGACTTTTTACCTTTCCTTGTACTTTTTTTATTATTATTATTGAAATACTGACAACTAAAATTAGAAAATTTTCCTATAGACCTGAGGTGCTTAAAATGATGATGATTAAGCAAGCTCTTTGCAAAAATGGTCATTCTTTTTTTAAAATTAAATCAAATTTTTCAAATAATAATAAAAATGTCAGTCAATTGTATTTTAAAGATTTTTATATTTATTACTACTGAAAAATGGTTAGCCGACACAAAGAAACTACTAGATTTTTAAGTCATGAATAATTTAGAGTAATTTCAACAATTTAAATTATGAATGAAACTTTAATGAAGTAATACTATTTACAAGTTGACAAACTCACCTAGCATTCATTGGAATAATACCTTTGGATCCCACACCAACAGGAATATGATCAAACATACTCTGAGCAAGTTGCTCTTTAATAGGTTGTACATCTTTTTCCATCAAATTCGTTCTTAGTAAACGAACACCACAGTTAATATCAAAGCCTACACCACCTATAATCACGAAAATAAATAATTAACACTTAAGAATTTAAATGCTGATGTGAAATTATGTAATTTAAACAATCAGTCAGTTAAATGAAGAATTTAATGACAAAGTTCGGCTGTGCAAAGTTTAATGGCGAAGATCCTGCAGTGCCAAGTTTATTGGCTAAAGTCTTGCAGGTAGTTAAATTATGCCAAATGCAAATGTTTCACATATTAATATAACAAGATGAGCCAGTACTTAAATTAAATCTAATGCAAAAATAGAGAGAAGAACCATTACTATTACCTTAGGTTAATGAGATAATAATTACCTCAAGAAAGTAAACCCTCAAAGTTGTTAAAAAAATAATTGAATATAATAGTTGGAACTTTTTGAAGTGTACTTATGCAGTAGTACTACAATATCTCAACATACTTAGATTTACTCATTGCATGAAACTTTGACACAGTACAAAAATAATAAAAGTTCATAAATACAGCAGCTTTAAAGTAAAAATACAACAAAAATTCATAGTTCATTTTAAAGCCTATTTATAAGCTTTTTTATCAAACAAATTAAAAATGCATGTATATCATAATAAAATATACTCAATCCAAACAAACAGGGAAATAAAACAAAACCTTAGAAAGGTCTTTTAAAAGCAAAGGAAATGATCATAATGCGGAACTTATGTGTAATAAAAGTATAAAAACTAAAATATAATAAATGCAAGTACATTATAAAAATGCTGTATTAAGTATTTAGTCCATGATTCAATAACAAACATAAAGAAAGGAACAATATGAAGAAAAAAAAGGACTAAATATAGATACAGTTGTAATTACCTGGGGATACAATTGATTTAGGATCATCCATATCAAATGCAGCTGTATTACCAATTGCAAAACCATATCCAGAATGAACATCAGGTAGTCCAATGGATTTCTAAGATAAAATTTAAAAAGCTTGAAACGATTATTTAATTAAGGATTTCAAACATAAAAATCTGAAACAGATGAATTCAAAACAAAACAGTTAAAATCATAAGTATTAAAACAAAAAATGGTACTAAAAACGAATTATAATCACTTTAACAATTCCAGGAAGAGCAGCCACATTGCCAATTTGTTTCATAGCAGGCAAAAATCCACCAATAGTTCCAGGGCGACAAAAATTTCGCAATTCATCAAACATTAACTTTTCTAAATTCTTATTAACATAAAAGATTCCTTCAACCTAAATAAATAGAAATATATATTTAAGTCATTTATGAAATTTCACATATGAATATGTCAAAGAGAAATTTAAAAACAACAAGATCCAATTTATTTTGAATGATTTTTATCAATTATTAAACACTCTTCTTAATGTAATTATTACTTTAAATATTTTTAAAACAATACAAGTAAAGTAATTCCTTCTACCTAAGAAAATAGAAATAGAAATTTAAGTCTCTTATGAAACTTTGTTATATATGAATATGACAAAGAGAAATTTCAAAAGAATAAGATGTAATGATGAATTTTGCATGATTGAATCAATTATTAAACAAACATTCCTTTTAATGAAATTATTACAATTATTAGAGCATTTAAAACATTTTGAAGGATGCAGCAATTCTCACAATTTTGCAAACAGATTGCGGATAACTTAAAAATCAATTAATATATATAAAAAAACATAAAAAACTCAATTTCTTTTTAAAAATATATTTTCTTTCTTGTTTTAATAACAATTTTTGCAATTATCATTAATGAGGTTTTTAACAAAGTTAATTTATTTCCATATTGCAGTGAAGTGAAGTTATTCCAAAAGCTGAACATTCCTTCGAGCTTTGTTTTTATTTCATGAAAATTTGACAGCAGCGACATACAGCTCTTTCTCAAGTCTACTGAATTAGGCAGCACAAAGAGCACTTGCCTAGCTTTTTCTGCAAGTTTTAAAAAACTGAGACAATCTTTGAATTTCAGAATCTGATTAAATCCAAGTCAAGACATTCATTAATTCTCCGTTTCGAGGAGAAGGGCATAAAAAAACTGCTACCACAGTATCTACATTAGGTATCATCAACACCAAAACCTATAACAGCACTTAAGCATTACTTACACTAATAACTTTGTTAACATGTAAGAACAAATATTCTGCTTAAAAAGAGAATTCTTGTATAGAATTTAGCGAGAAAGGAGGAATAAGTTTTAAGCTTGCACCCCACTTCTCAAGGCTGATGGACCTGATAGCAGAATTTATTGAATAAATCTGCAGCACTATCTTTAAATGTGTCTATAATTTCTATTTAATCAGACAAAAAGTAAAACTGAAAAAACTAGGTAATTTGAGATTAAAACTAATCTTTAGATGCTTTGATAGTCTGCAATGCCAACTGCCATGCTACAGTATCTCTGCTAAGTGGCTGGTTTTACTACTTTTGCTTTATTTCACTATAATATATATATGCATAAAATATAAAAAAAATTTATTAAAATAAAATGACATTTTCGAAGTTTTTTTCTAAATCGAATGCAAATATCTAAGTTTTTTTTAACATTAGTTATGTTTCGTAAAATATCATTTTCAAAAGAAGAAACTAAACATTGCAGAAATACAATAACCTTGAATGCTATAAAATTTTTTTAATGAGCTGGTGAGAGAGGATAAATACGGGTAAGAAAGAGGAAATTTTAGTAATTTTGGATTTTTTTAAAAGTAATTTTATTTTATAAAAACATTCAGCTTAGCTTACATTACTTTGGAAGTATTTACAAATATTTTTAGAAATGGTGTTAATAGGCAATGCCAAATAAAAAAAAAATGAGTTTATGTGTGTTGCCTCCTTTTAATTTTTAAAATTTTTTTTCTTATTCTTATTTGAGTTCAGTTGATTAAGTTGTATGCTCAGAAAACGAAATAAAACTGATTGGAAAATATCTCACGCTAAAACAGTAGTAAAAAATACTCACCCACCCTCCCACGAAAAAAAATACAAAAATCTAAATTTTGTTTAATTAATACACTATATAAATATGATTTTAATATGTATTCGTTTGCGCTGACAAGGTTAGGATTTGAAGATATAACAAATTTAAGTATAAACTATTTCTAAAACAATTTTTTATTCATAAAACTTCAAAAAATTAAATCTTCCCTCATTTGCCCTATTTCTGATAGGTTGAAAAATCTCATTTCAAGCTAGCACATACCTGTCGTCACAAAAAACAAGAGACGATTGCACACACATATACATTTGAATTAATATAAAAAAGTTAGTACTAACTTTAAAATCCTTCAAACTTGATACCCAGTGGCAGAATTGCGGCGACATTGAAGATGTCTTTTTTGCGCATCAGAGGGGAAAGAAATAATCATGATTTTCCTATTCTCATTTGAGATTTTTTTTAAAAAAAATCTCTAATAATTGGCTTTGGCTGGAATTTCAAATTAATATAAAATAAAAAATTCAGAAATTGCAAAAGTTTAAAGGATAGTTCGGTCTAGAAATTATGTTCTCTTTCATTTTTTTTCTTTAAAGAACACCATTTTTTACATACACTAATTTGGGGAGTTCTGCACGGATTTTACTATGTATGTACGAATTTTAATTTATTATCATTTAATTTATTTACGAATTTTAATTTGTGTAATGATTTACAAAATTCAAAATTACATTTTTCCGATTTACATTTTTCCGAAATTACATTTTACTGAAAATTACATTTTTCAATATCACCTATGATATTAGAATTAAAAAAAATATTACTTTTACAATTACTTTTACAATTTTCTATACTTTAAAATTTTCTTTCTTCTGTAAACACAACGTTTCTGTTACTTTAAACTAGTAATTGTTATAATTTAAAGTACGTAAAGCAAAATATTAGTGCCAGGGAAGTTTGTCGCAGAAAGCCCGAAAAAATTCTGCTACAGGGACTTGATATCTTCTATTTAATAGCGTAACTTAGAAAGAAAAATATAAGTCTTAAAAAAAAATTTTCTTCTTTTTTCAAAATCATGGTAAATTACTTAATAATTTTATACTGACTCAGAAGAATTGTTCAGTTACATTGAAAGAAACAATTTTTCCTACGAGGCCTAAACAACCATATTATTACAACATCATACTAAATGGTTACATGAAGTAAAAGACACTTAACATTAATGTTTTTACTCACTTTCATATTTGAAACAAAACCTTTCTTTATTCTCCAACTAACAGGAGATATTCTTTCCAAATAAGACTCTTCTTCATGATAACTTCTTACGCCCATCTTTCACTCTAAACATGTAATAAAAGTTAGATAAGGTATTAAATATTCACATTTTAATCAATTTTTGTAAAAACAAATTCATATTCTTCTTAACTTCAACAAATTTTCTTGTAAATAGAATGCAGAATTTACAGTGGCCATTTAAGTAAAACAGTTACCTCGAATTCTGATATTTTAATACAATGGAATACAGAATCCTGATATTTTAATACAATGTAATTGCAGCATGAATTTGAGATGTGTTAGGAAACATGAATTTTCAAGCTGCTCACTGCAATTTTTTTAAAAAAAAGTTAATGTGATTACTTTGTAAGTTACATGATTTTTTTCAGGAAAGAGAGAAAAAAGAATTCAAGAAACAGAAATATCTGAAGTATAATACCAAATAAATATTGAATCTTATTTTGTACTATAATGGTTATATTTTAAATTTTGGTTCTTATTTAAACCCTTTAAATTTCTTTCATTTAAAATATTTAATTTAAATTTATATTACTCATCAAAATATGCATTTATTGATTTATTTTTTACACTTTCATGCTGTGAAAACTAAATTTTTATTTTCTAAAGTTTGAATTTATTTTAAAATGGTTTTTTATATTAAGTGATATGCCCCGTGTCAGAATCGTGGCGACATTGTCGCAGAATGTTACCGAGTTCTTGCAGAAAGATTTTTCTTTTGGGGAAATTACAAATTTTGGTTATTTTTTCTGCAGAAAATTTAGAAAGTTTTATCTTTTCTTCTGAATTACATTCAACTTACTGGTGCATCGGAGTGGGAAAAAAAATGTTCGTGATTCCTCTATTCTCATTTGATAATAAAGTAAAAAATTTGGCTTTCTTTTCTTCAGAAATTTTCGTTCTAATATTTTTTATGCAGTCATTATTATTGATTTCCACATAGTTTTTAAAATCCGATATTTTTTATACAATATTATTTATTACAACAACCGAATCTCAAAATGAAAACACGCTTTTAGTATCCCTCTTCATCATCCGATTCCCGCGATTTCGTCGTCGATCTCTTTTTACATTAGTTACTGCTACGGATTTCACGATTTTTTTTAATGATTTTTTTTCATGTGATGGTGATTTACAAAATACGAAAAAAGGAAATAATCAGTGTGTTTTCCCCCTTACAGAATGCGATAATATCGCATCTGATATTAGAATAAAAAATATATTTATATTTTCAACGAAAAAAAAAATTTTAATCCAAAAAGTTATTATTTATTTTTGAAATTTTGAAGATGCTTTTGTTAGTTTGAATTAATAAGATATATATTTATTATTTTTAAAAGTATCTTGCAGAAAGATATTAGTATTAGAAAGGTCTGTCACAGAAAGCTCGAAAAAAAATTTCTGCCATAGGGGTGATATGATAAAAAAAAAAAAAAAAACTATTTTTTAATTAAATTTTTATATTGGTTTAATGCATAAGTTCCCAAGTTTTTTTTAATTTAAAAAACTTGCGTTGAATATGAAATGTTTTGGCATAATCTTTTGTGTTATTCGAAAGCGAATTTTTCGCTCTATAAAATAGCATATTTCACTTTTTTGTTGACTTTAATTTTTGTTACTTTTTATAGCATCGAAGCGGAGTGTCAAGTCGACATAAAATGAGTATTTCCAACACCACCTTCTTTTCATCAAGGTGCCAAAGTCACAGAAGTTGCGAGAGAGAGCAATCACAGAGCTGCTCTAATGCTTTAAGTGGTGTTACGTTCAATAACGAAGTCTAATTGCACGCTTGGTTGGACGATTTTTTAGAGACGCTTCCGGGTGATTTCTACCGAAAAGGCATCGAAAAACTCGTTGAACATTGGGAAGTCGTAAACAACAACGAAGAGTACATTATTGATAAAAATTTATGTTACTTTATGTCAAAAAATAAAGTTATAAAAATTTTTTTTAAAAAAATGCGGGAACTTATGCTTTAACCCAATATTTTTTTGAATAAATAAATTTTTGATAAAAGGGGAAGAAAAAAAAAACATGAGTTCTTTTGTTTTTGAATGAATTTCAGTAATTAAATGTATTTTTAAAAATTTAAAGCATTTAATTTTCTGAAAATATTACTGATTAATTCCAGGCTTACTGATAAATAAAATGAGTGCCTATGTTCTTATAAAAATTTTGCTATTTGCCAGTAACATGTCTAAATACATAAGATGCCCTTTGTTATTTAACCCGCTGTGCAAGTGGCCCTTCATTCAAAAAGGTTGGGAACCTTTAATATAGTTTATGAAAAATTTTGTGTACAATCCGCCTGATGTTTATACTAACATATGCCTTTTAACAATAATCTCAAGCATTTTTTTATTTCTTAAATTTTCCATTTCACATGAGATCTCATCAAATTAGAGCTCACTATCAATGTGTAAGATACAACTTGAAAGTTATCTAGAATAATATTTCCAAAACCTTTAAGAGAACAATTTCATAGGTTTATTAATTTAATTACTTTTTACAAGGAAGTTGCATTATTAAAGGTTGTAGGTCAATAGAAATTTTAGGTGCACATTTTACACATAATCGCAACTTCAAAGTGTGTTAAAGTCCTACATAGATTGCAGTTTTCATCCAAGTTTACTAATATTTAAGACAGTAATAGTAGAATACCATTGAAATTCCAGTGTATAAAATAAAGCTGTCTTTTTAATTTATGAGTTAATGGAAACACTGATTCTTTATATTTTTTTAATCACTACATTTTAAAAACTGATTAAGCCATAACTTGAGCAAGAGAGAAACTTAAAAATTATATACATAAACCAGAATTTGATCCCCATTTATAAGTAAATTTTTACTTGACTACAAACGTAAAGAAAAAATAATTTGAAATTTAGTTTCACTTATTAATACGATTATAACTATATACGATTATAACTTATTAACTATATTTAATATGATTTAAAAAGAGCTACACTTTTGACTGAATACAAAATTTTAATTTAAAAAATGAAATGATTACTAGTTTTAAATATTTGTTTTATGCGTTTTAAGGCATTTTTAAAGATCTTTAAAAAATCGCAGTTTCGCGTGCTTTTGCTTAAGATGTGTTTAAACAGCACTAAAAATTCAAATGTTAGAAACGCACTACGATGAGTCCAAATAATAATAACTTAAATAAATAATAATTATTATTCGGAATACATCCCTTGTCACCTAATAGGGAACTTTGAGTAATATTTAGTAAGACAGATTTCAAATTCAACACCTATACAAACAAAAAGTTCTTGATTTTTCCTAATTAACATAAGTAAACATAGATACGTATAAAACATTTTATATTTTTCGAATAAAATTATAAATGATTCCGGAAACTATAACGCACATTAATTATTAAATGCACAAAAAAATAGGGATATAAAAATCCCCAAAATTACTAACCAATTGTGAAAAACAGACAAAACAGTAAAAATATTCTGATTTAGAGAAAAGAAACCTCGGAAAGTTTACAGTTTTACTACCGACAACTACGGTCACAGTGAGGCAACATTATGCAATACATCATAGGAGAGTCTTAGGTTATATAACGAACGATTAATCCACGAGCGATTAATCCTCACTTCGGCCGGATCACGCTATTGGTCGAAAATGGCATCACTGTTTAGGGAAAGGGACATGCTGTGTATTGCATAGCATTTTGGCGACAGATCTTGACCTGGCGACAAATTTTAAAATTTGGTTTTCAAACGCGCTTTGTTAACACGTGGTATTAATGTTAAGTAATAAAGACAATATTCATATTTTTCACAGTTTTGTAGTAATTTTTATTAGAATCTAAATAAGTAATATTAAACTATACTGCTTTTACGTCATGGGTAACTGGGGCTGATCTAGAAATGCAAGGGGGGGGGGGCTAGCCGAGAATTTTGGTAGTAGTATAAGCTTATATTNACAATACCACACACCCTCGGTCCCGACGCTGACTGATCCAAGTGGGTCACCCACCCGCACATTGATCGCAGTCAGTGATGCTTGACTTCGGTGATCTGCTGGGAACCGTGTCTTAACGATCAGTCCACTGCGGGACGAAGAAAGAACAATACCTAAATGAAGCATTCTTTTTGTGTCATTTTCAAATTCATATTTTTAGCTAGATTTATCTGACAATTTTGTCAGGAGAAACTGGTATGTGATTTACACTACGTGATTTTTTTTATTTTGTAACTTGCTCTGAATCAACATCAGGGTCATTCTCACTATAAAGGTATCGCGCCATCTGGGGAAGAGATTGTTTCCATGTCTTGACCCTCCCCTCTCCTTCTCATCCTCTTTTTAGTTGTATAGGAATGTACTATGACATCTTCCCCTTTCTTAAATATTTTTCATATTTACTTGTCGAAAATACGTTTAAAAATTTCCACGACGTTTTCTTTCAGAAATATGCTCAATATAGTTTTCAGTTCCATATAGTTTCCTAACTTAAAATTTTTAATCTATTTGATAATTAATAGAAACTATGCTTCCTTGCTACTTCACCCCACTTTGATGGTGAAAGCATGCGAAATGTTGAGAGTTCTGCTCTACACCACTTGTAGCCCATTTAGTTTGGGATTAGTGATATAGATTTTTTTTTAGCAAAAAGCAGACCAATCAGATTTTTCTTTTCTCTCAATGGTGATCGGAAGTGCATCAACCGAATACAGTGAAAATGGTGCCTGGCCAAAAAACGTATTTTCTTAGGCACCATTCTCGCTGCTTCGAGTTGTCACAGCTCTAAACACTCTCCCGAGATAAAGATAACTTGAATAAAAAGTTTCCGTGGGAAAATATATTTCATTATCCGAATTCTAATATTTTCTCGACAGCAATCAGATGAGAATTAATCGCGTACAGAAAGAATGCCCTTTTATGAAGAACGTTAGCTCTCAACCTCTATGCTTTTGTTTTTGCTTATTTTGCTTTGTTCTCATTCTAAAGGTCGCGTTATAGCTACACTATTTGAATAATTAATGACTTGTCATGTTTGTAAATATTTGATTGTTTTCATATTTGAAAAATATTTTTAAGCATACGAAGACATAATTTGTAAAATATATAGATATCAATGCTATATATGAAATAAATAGCATTGATTCCGGTTTTGCCAAAAAACTAAATGGTTTCATATTAAATTACGAAATGATAGTATTCATTATTGTAACGGAACAAAAAGAGCTTTTAATGGAATTATTTTGAAATAGCAAATCCACATTGTAAATACAGTCGCAATTCAATAATCAACTGGAATGGAGCAGAGTCTCTTTACTATTTCGTTTTCAATGTGATTATTTGCTCTTCTTGAAGTGATCACTGAAGCCAGTGTAGAAGTTCAACGTATTTGTTTACGTAGCAAGATCTACTTTCTGCATGTTTGAGAATGGGAGATACTAGAACAAGTTTTTGTTTAGATTCAGAGTAAGATAAGGCAAATATTTACGTTATATTTTAAGCTCCGTTAACAGTTAATTGTGATAAGTCAGAATTGGTGATTAATTAAAAAAGGACATTATAAGAAATTGAGGTAAACATATGATTAAAAGTTTTCTAGTTTGAATAAAATTAGTGGAAATTAAAATTTAAACGACTTTGCAAATTTTAAGATTTGAATTTTTATCCTAACGACGTGTTATAAGTTCATGAGAAAAATAATTTATTTTTAGATATTGATTTGATAAACTCAACGATATTTAAGGATTCAAAACAACGCAAAAAACCGCAACGATTCAAAAAACAATCAACTGTTTTTCGAACAAAAAATTAAGCTTAGGAATTCAGGATGGTGGCGCAATAAGAAGTAACATAACATTGCGTATTGAAAACACATTTTTTACTTTCTTCAAGTTTTGCATTTTGAAAAATTTCGATATAAATATTAAGATTTAAATCTGGCAGCATCTAACATTTTTTTCTTAATTTTTATTTATTAATTTTGGGATGGTAACAATGGGTAAATAATTATTCAAGAAAAAAAAAATGCAAAACAGCACTTAAAATAGCAATAGCTTTTGATCAATATTATTTTAATCAATAATATATTTATAATTTTGAAATAAAATTTCGTTAATTTTATAATTCCAAATTGTCCAGTAGCACGTCAAATTTCAACTTTGTAGTTGTGTTTCAATGTGTAGTAGATCAGCTTACAAGTCTTTTTCGTACGATAATTTTAGCAGCTAATACTTTTTTAACTATTTATCAAATCGTATTTTTTTTTATTCAATCAAATTCTTTGTACATTTTTTTACACATCGTTGCAATTTCTAGTTTTTAAGTCTTATAGTTTTTCTTGGCAAAATGAAATGTAACATATAAAGGAAAAAATGTGAAAAAAATTGCAAATACTTTCGAACAAGAACTTCGGGAAAAAATTACATCAAATTAAGTAATTAAATGAATTCCTGTTGCCTTGAAAGCGGTCTGTATGGCATTTTTTCCAACAAATACAACTGTCAGTAATTCTCGAACTAAATATCGAATGTAATTTTCTTATTCCTTCGTAATTTCTGAACATTGTTCAACTCACTTTAGTAATTTCAAGTTTCTGTTTAGCAAACCCAAATGTAAGTATAAGTTAAACGCACTTCATTGATAAAAGTTTATGCTAAATTTAATATTTTTAACTTAATACTTTTATAAAAAAAATTACTGGGTGTAGTTTCTTGGAAATTCGAAATTGGTTTTAAATGAAACCGTCCCCTTATATTAAAAAATCGAAAGTTTCACTGATGTAGCCGTTGTTTTGAGTGATCGACTTAATGTTACAGTTTTTTATGTTTTGTAACATAAAAAATTCCGCAGCAAAATCAGAAAAATATAACGGCTTATAAATTAGAAAGTATTAACCTCTTCACTACTGAAGTAACAAAAGTATAGCAAATAATATAACTATTTCAGTCCCGAATTTTCATTTTACTGCCATAAAGTCATGATAAGATAAGCAAAATAGGAATTATACTGCCAGGGTGCTAATACACGTACGTGAACCTTATAGGTTTTAACTAAGTAAAATAATATAAATATTTCAAATGCTAAATTTCTTTGAAGTAGGAATGAACATGCATATTGTTACGTAGTCTACTTAAATACAATGATAAATAGATTTAATAATTATTTAGAATTTTTTTTCTTCAAAAATACAAAGTTTTATCTAAGTGCAATGCAATACTCCCTTTAACCTCACTTTCAAAGCTATTTTAATTACGGAGACCATGCAGAATAAAATTTGCAAGATTGTTCTAACAGCGCAAAATTGTTACTGAATACAGATTGGGTGAAATCGGTGTCAAACTATCTGAAAAAATTAATAATACTTTTTAAATGGTCATTACCAGGTTGATGAAGTTGACCGAGTCTGAAAATGCAAAATTGTAAGCAAAGTTTTACGGATGTAGCCATCTTAGGTTGGAACACAAGATTATGCATATTTTTTTGTTTCCTTAATTTTATTTTGCAGCCTGATGTTACATCATCAAAGAAGGGTGGATTTTCGAGGAATTGTTTTTTAAAAAAAAGTTTTTACATTGCGAGAACTGTGGAATATTTAAGAATCAAAGTAGATTCAGTAATAATAGAATCTGTAGTGCTTGATTTGCAGGAACTGTAACTCCAGAACTGTCGGAAGCAGTATTGCAAGTCATTCTGAACAGACTATACATCCTGTTGAGTGCGATATGATTTTTAACAACTTGTTACATAAGAAAAATATATTGCATAAAAATATTGCTAAGGCTGAATCTTTTTTTACTTAGTACACGGAGAAACAAATTGGGGTAAAATACCATATTATATAGTAATGACATTTCTGAAAAGAATAAAAAAAGCAACATAATTCTCGATAATTAATCCAAAATAAACTGTATTTAAACCATTTATTTGCTACTTTTTCCGTTCATATGTAAACGGTTTATTGGAGTTTCTGTTCTAAAATTATAATTACCTGCTTTCCAAAATTATAATTCTTATTACAATACGTTTAATAAGAAATACAAAATTAAAAAGTAAATTTAACCGAATGAATGGTTTTAATGCCATGCTTTAAGGCCGTGGTTCCCAAATGATGTTTCACGGAACCATAGGGTGAGGGTTCCCTGGAGGAGTTAAGTGGAATCCACAAATTAGTACTTTTAATAACAAGCGATGATTTTTGAAACCTCTGATTATAGTTAGATCCGATTATAATGCATAATTTATTTAATCTTTCAGTTGCTTTTATGAAATTATTTCAAGTAAAATGTCAATGAGGTAAAATTGGCATTTTTTCAAAGAAAATATATTTCTAGTAACAATACATTGAATAAATTATGAAAAGAACAAGCATTAATGAAATATTGCAGTAGTATTTATATGGCTCTTTTCAAATCAAAATTAAATTATTATATTCTTAAAGAAAGATATATGTTTCTCTGATAACCATTTTCAACTTTAGTTGCAGTTCTTTTTAGCTTTTATAATAATCATAATTCGGATTTTCTTATTCATTTTCGGCTTATATTATTGAAATTCATAACTAGACTAGACTAAAAATGTAACTGTCTGGCATAAAACCTAATTTAAGGTAAT